TTGTTATGACACTTTCTCCAGTTTATAGGACCTCTCTCATATTCTATCTTATCGTATCTAAACTCATAGTCATGTATGTCCTCTAACCATCTCATGACACTTTCCAAACCACTTTTATCGGATGTAAAGTAAAAGCATGGATGGTTATGTAAAACGTCTAAAGTTTCTAAAGAGTCTCTCAAAGTCCAGTCTACTTGGTATTGAAAATCCCATGTGTTATAGAACGGCGGGTCACTATAAAGAAAACATTTTCCTTGTCTTTATATTTTTCATACAACTCTGTCCAATGACATCTCACAAACTCTATACCCTCAATATATTTTTCTATGTCCTCTTTGAAAACATTTGTATAGTTAAGATATAAAACTTTTGACATAAGTGTTTCAATGTCATGAACTCTTATAGCACCACTATATAATAGTCTAGCAGATATACTATCCCAGTCTATATATTCTGCTTTTTTCAAAACCTCTCTCACAATATTTTTCTTATCTAATGGTATACGTTCCATCTTACCTATAGGTATCTTTTCTTTTAACGCTTTCAATATATTGTTTGTGTCTGGTATATGTTTGAGACGGTCCATATAGTTGTCGAAGTCATTGCATATAATCTTTGAGTCTGGGAATATTGTATGGCACAAATGGGATATATAGAAACTTCCACCGAACAAATCTACAAATGTTAGACCATTCGGTAGTTTCTTAAGTTCTCTCAATAGAATATCTTTACATCTACTCTTATTTCCAAAGAAGGGTAACGGTGGTTTTGTAAAATTCATTTTATATATATAATAAAAATGTTTTTTCCTGAAAAGTGACAGAAAAGGCTTCTCAAAGTATACTTCCTTGGAACGCCTGTAACTTTTCCTGTAGCGACGATAGACCCTTACTTGTCCGGACAAAGTTATACTAAACATCTTCAGGGCTAGAAGGGGCGCAGCCCCTGGAAGCCCCGCTACCTTTTTTTTTTTTTTTTTTTTTTTTTATGATTGATATTAAAAGAAAGAGAATCTTATAAAACGATGATTGATATTAAAAGAAAGAAAATGTCATAAAACGATGATTGATATTAAAAGAAATAGAATGTAATAAAACGATGATTGATATTAAAAGAAATAGAATCGCATAAAACGATGATTGATATTAAAAGAAATAGAATGTCATAAAACGATGATTGATATTAAAAGAAAGAGAATGTCATAAAACGATGATTGATATTAAAAGAAAGAGAATTATATAAAACGATGATTGATATTAAAAGAAAGAGAATGTAATAAAACGATGATTGATATTAAAAGAAATAGAATCGCATAAAACGATGATTGATATTAAAAGAAAGAGAATGTCATAAAACGATGATTGATATTAAAAGAAAGAGAATTTCATAAAACGATGATTGATATTAAAAGAAAGAGAATTATATAAAACGATGATTGATATTAAAAGGAAGAGAATGTCATAAAACGATGATTGATATTAAAAGAAAGAGAATGTCATAAAACGATGATTGATATTAAAAGAAAGAGAATGTCATAAAACGATGATTGATATTAAAAGAAAGAGAATTTCATAAAACGATGATTGATATTAAAAGAAAGAGAATGTCATAAAACGATGATTGATATTAAAAGAAAGAGAATTTCATAAAACGATGATTGATATTAAAAGAAAGAGAATTATATAAAACGATGATTGATATTAAAAGGAAGAGAATGTCATAAAACGATGATTGATATTAAAAGAAAGAGAATGTCATAAAACGATGATTGATATTAAAAGAAAGAGAATGTCATAAAACGATGATTGATATTAAAAGAAAGAGAATTATATAAAACGATGATTGATATTAAAAGAAAGAGAATTATATAAAACGATGATTGATATTAAAAGGAAGAGAATGTCATAAAACGATGATTGATATTAAAAGAAAGAGAATGTCATAAAACGATGATTGATATTAAAAGAAATAGAATGTCATAAAACGATGATTGATATTAAAAGAAAGAGAATTTCATAAAACGATGATTGATATTAAAAGAAAGAGAATTATATAAAACGATGATTGATATTAAAAGGAAGAGAATGTCATAAAACGATGATTGATATTAAAAGAAAGAGAATGTCATAAAACGATGATTGATATTAAAAGAAAGAGAATGTCATAAAACGATGATTGATATTAAAAGAAAGAGAATTTCATAAAACGATGATTGATATTAAAAGAAAGAGAATTATATAAAACGATGATTGATATTAAAAGAAAGAGAATTATATAAAACGATGATTGATATTAAAAGGAAGAGAATGTCATAAAACGATGATTGATATTAAAAGAAAGAGAATGTCATAAAACGATGATTGATATTAAAAGAAAGAGAATTTCATAAAACGATGATTGATATTAAAAGAAAGAGAATGCCATAAAACGATGATTGATATTAAAAGAAAGAGAATGTCATAAAACGATGATTGATATTAAAAGAAAGAGAATGTCATAAAACGATGATTGATATTAAAAGAAAGAGAATTATATAAAACGATGATTGATATTAAAAGAAAGAGAATGTAATAAAACGATGATTGATATTAAAAGGAAGAGAATGTAATAAAATGATGATTGATATTAAAAGGAAGAGAATGTAATAAAACGATGATTGATATTAAAAGAAAGAGAATCTTATAAAACGATGATTGATATTAAAAGAAAGTTGATAAGTTTAATATTGACATCTGCTCCATGTTCAATTAATAATTTGATAATTTCGGGTGAATTTTGCTTAATTGCAATGCTAAGTGGACATTCGTTAATATAAAAAGAATTTCATAAAACGATGATTGATATTAAAAGAAAGAGAATTATATAAAACGATGATTGATATTAAAAGAAAGAGAATTTCATAAAACGATGATTGATATTAAAAGAAAGAGAATTATATAAAACGATGATTGATATTAAAAGAAAGAGAATTTCATAAAACGATGATTGATATTAAAAGAAAGAGAATGTCATAAAACGATGATTGATATTAAAAGAAAGAGAATTATATAAAACGATGATTGATATTAAAAGAAAGAGAATTTCATAAAACGATGATTGATATTAAAAGAAAGAGAATGTCATAAAACGATGATTGATATTAAAAGAAAGAGAATGTCATAAAACGATGATTGATATTAAAAGAAAGAGAATGTAATAAAACGATGATTGATATTAAAAGAAAGAGAATGTCATAAAACGATGATTGATATTAAAAGAAAGAGAATCATATAAAACGATGATTGATATTAAAAGAAAGAGAATCTTATAAAACGATGATTGATATTAAAAGAAAGAAAATGTCATAAAACGATGATTGATATTAAAAGAAAGAGAATGTAATAAAACGATGATTGATATTAAAAGAAATAGAATCGCATAAAACGATGATTGATATTAAAAGAAAGAGAATTATATAAAACGATGATTGATATTAAAAGAAAGAGAATTTCATAAAACGATGATTGATATTAAAAGAAAGAGAATTATATAAAACGATGATTGATATTAAAAGGAAGAGAATGTCATAAAACGATGATTGATATTAAAAGAAAGAGAATGTCATAAAACGATGATTGATATTAAAAGAAAGAGAATGTCATAAAACGATGATTGATATAGGGTGTCCAAAGGTGCGTTTAGCACAGCGCTCTATATGAGACTATTAAAGGAGATATATGCTGATTATAAATATATAATAAAAAATATGAATATATGTATATGATGAGTATGTTGTATTTTGGCGCCATGCCGGGATATAAAATGAATTTTGAGACAAGAGGCGGTTTCGCGGGAAATTTTGGCGGGATTTTTTTCATTTTTTTAATGAATCATAAAGAAAACATCCTCGCTCTTGCAAAAAAATGCAAAGACTGTAAAAAAATCTACGAGACATTGGTAAAATGCTTCGGTATGGATGCTCCTAGCTATTCCACTGTAACGTATCATGTTAGGATGTATCACTTCATGAACAAAAAGGCGCCCATCATAAAAATTGACAAAAAATCGCCGGATCAAAGAAAAATCAAAGCAATTCTTCAAGCGCTAGATGAAGACCCAAGAGCATCACTCAGAAGGATAGAGGAGATGACAAAGATACCACGTACAACAGTCAGTTATTATCTGCACAATTATTTGAACTACAAACTAGCGTATACACGTTGGGTTCCGCACAACCTTAATTCAGTTCAAAAAAAATCTAGAGTCCAATCTTCGAAAGAGCTCCTCTCTATATTGGGTGCGTATCAATCCAAGAAGTTTTGCTTTTTAGTAACAGGAGACGAGTCTTGGTTTCAATATGCAACAGAAGCCAAAATCATGTGGATCCCGAAGGATGAAAATCCGCAAACATTCCCGAAGAAAAAAATTGACACACCAATGATGATGTTGTCGGTTTTTTGGGGCGTGAATGGCATCATCGCAATTGATATTCTTCAAAAACCTAATACGATGAATGCTCAGTATCTAATTGACAATGTTCTTACTCAAATTATCAATTCTGATGAGTTTGAGAAATCCAAACAACAAAAACAAAAGTTTGCAATTCATTTTGATAATTCAAGAGTTCACAAAAGTCATAAGGTAATGAATTACTTGGTGGAAAACAATGTCAAAGTTGTTCCAAACCCAATTTATTCACCTGATATTGCACCCTCTGACTTTTATTTATTCGGCACGCTAAAAAAGAGAGCTGAAGGACGCGAATTCGCGAGTCCAGATGATCTTGAAAATTTTGTAAGAGAGCAATTTGAGAAATTTTCTCATGATGATTTAAAGCGTGTCTTTCAAGCCTGGATCGATCGCTGCGAACGCGTGATTGAATCCAATGGTGATTATATTTAAATAAACTTTATATATATGTAACTTATTGATTTCTATTCGCAGTATTCAGGTTTGTGCTAAACACACCTTTGGACACCCTATATTAAAAGAAAGAGAATGTCATAAAACGATGATTGATATTAAAAGAAAGAGAATGTCATAAAACGATGATTGATATTAAAAGAAAGAGAATCGTATAAAACGATGATTGATATTAAAAGAAAGAGAATAAATTTATTGTTCACACTATTTCCATTTTGAATTAGATATGATGCAATATCAAAATTCCCATAATACAAAAATTTTGATATTTCTGAAGAAGGGTATTGATCAAAACTTGTTGAAAGATAATTAACAAGTTCGTAATTTCGGTGAATCAATGCAATGTCAATTAAGCCTTTAAATGATTGACCGTCATTTAGCATTTGTGAGAAAATTATTTTATTTCCATCTTTAGAAGCAAATTTTGCAGTATTTTCAGTATATTTTGCACCTTTATCTTTCAAGTATTTGAAACATAACTCTGATCCAAATTTGCATGCACACTCAAGAGGTGTTAAATCATCGCATATCTTATTAGCATCCAAGTTTGGGAATTTGCTTTTAAGATCATCGATTTTATCCCAAGCGATAAAATATAAAAGGCTATCTTTTTTATAGATATTTAGAATGTCTTCTTCTTTTTTGTGAGGTTTGAAATCTTTAAAATTTAAGCCTTTATAGGATAATAATGTTGCTAAATCTCTATTTTCTGGTTTGATGGTTAAAGAAAACTCTTTTGAAATATCTTGATAAAATTTTGCATATTGAGCAATATTCTTGACGCGAAGTGTTGAAAAAGTATCGATTAAATAAAGTGCCATTTTGACAGGAACTTTTTGTGTTTTAATGAGTTTAATTATCTGTTTTGTGGATTCTGTGATATTGTTGGTATTGATATTCCAAATAATTTTTGAAGCTTGATTTGGATACTTGAATTCATTAAGTATATACGCATCGGTGGAATTTTCTTCATTAATTTGAGATATTATACTTTCTTTTTCTTTGAGTTCGGATTTAGGTAATTGTATTTTGTTGTCACTTTTTTGTTTTGCTTTTTGAATGGAATTTAACTCTGCTTGAAGTTTTTGGATTTTTACTGTAGATTCTGAAATAATTTTATCAGTTTCATCTAAAAAACCAATAATTCCATCTAACATCGTAAAATTCATGTATTTTCGAACAGATTTAAGTGTTGAAATAACTTCTTGGTAATTGCGAATTGAAACATTAGTGCTTCGAGCGCATTTATATAACTTATTTCCATCAAGAGTAGATTCGGATTGTTTAAGAAGAGTAATAAAATCTTCTGATGTTAAATTCGCTAATTTTAGGATTTCCTTTAAATCTTTGAGTTCAAAAATATCAAAAAGCTTTCCCTCTTGAATATAATCTTTGATATGGGCAGCCATATATTCATAATTCGAGATTAGTTTATGACTCATCTAAAAAAATTTACGGAATTGCCACTTTTTCCATCATGCCTCTCACTGATATATGTTTAATTAAAAATTGATTAAAATTTCTGAACGAAAACTATCAAAAATAAGTCATAAAAAATATAAAAATAAGAATCTAATTTATTGTAGAGTAAATATCTGCAAAGTCTTCAGAACATCCTTAATATATATACAAGGCTGTCATGCATCAGTGCGTTATAACAGATCGATTTTAAAGATGTAAGTCTCTCTATGTATTTTATTAAGCAATCCATCATTGGGGCAATACAACAGAACATAGCAATCTATACTTTGTAATAGGATATTAACTCGAATGATCTCTCTTTGGATTGATTATATTTTACAATTTCAGTAAATGTCGTTAAAAACTATTCACAGTAATAGGGTAGCTTCCAAAATGATTGGAACCAAGAATTACGTTTACAAAAGCATAAATTAAAAAATGAAATTTCGATTCGATAGTATCCAACCAAAATTTTTGTTAGATAATCAGATATATAAATCACATTCAAATAGTAAATGCACAGTTGAAATATACAGTAAATCTGTCAATACAATTTTTGTATAGAGATTAAATTGCGATGTTAAAATGCATTGATGCAGTTTTGCAGAAGTGTTTTGACTTTTCTCACCGAATTATATTTGTTTGCCAAACAATTACTTGGATTTCATGAGGTTCATTCCAAATTGAAAATTGAAATCTTATCACACTGTTATTATTTGATATCATAATCAATAACCATTACCAGGAATTTACGAATACACCTAGGTACATTTATTATATTAACTTGTTGTTATAGAAATAAAATCATTATTAATTTATCTGCAATTTGTATGATATATATCATTTTTAGAGAGGTTATCGATTTTGTAATTTAATCGTCGTCGTTATCGATTTTGTAATTTAATCGTTATCGTCTTTTTCTAAACGTGCATTTTTACATTAAAAGCAATGCAACTCCAAAATTAATTGGTATTTAGACTTTAATTAGGTGCAGACAAACGAAATGCAGTCCAAATATTTTGGTGATATATGAATTACATAAATTTAGGGAAATTGAAATTATATCTTTTTAAATTTTTAGGAAAACAGATTTATAGAATTGTTTAAGTCATCAAAATAATGCAGACTTAGGTCAAATTTTCCAAATTTAATCATTTGCAAGACTTTCAAGCGACTTCAAAATGTCGAAATATAAGTCCAAAAATAAAATTACGATTACAGTCTATCCTCAATTATTATCACGCTAATTATTGAGTGACCCATGCGTTCGTATGTATGTAATACCTTTTAAAAAGGAGATGAGAGAGATAAACTACATTTACAATTTAAATCTGATGTATTTACTTGTTACATTTACAAATGTAAATGTTTCTCGTAATGTTTACATTTTGTAAGTATAACGAATAAAAATGACGCACTTTTTTTACAAAGTCAAATTATGCGATACAACTTTACTTGTTACATTTACAAATGTAAATGTTTCTCGTAATGTTTACATTTTGTAAGTATAACGAATAAAAATGACGCACTTTTTTTACAAAGTCAAATTATTGTTCGATTTTTGCAGCTTGTAAACGATTAATTGTATAAAGCAATTGATATTAGCACGACATAACTGAATAATTCTAATATTGAAATCAAAAGCCCTTAAAATATCATGATATTTTAATTTCATAACAAATCTAGGAGACTATTTGATGAAAACATATCCGATGTGGGTTTTGTTGTATTATATAACTTGTTATTGACTTCTTAGCTTTCCAAATTTTTTTCGATAATGAGAAAACGAATGAAAAATCAACATTTGGTCCATTTAAAATTTGATTTGTTTACATTTTTTTTACTTTTTGAATTTCAATTTATATTTTCCTCAAGAAATACTTTAGATTTTAAGAAACTAAATCATATAATCTACTAAGAAAATATATTAAATCCTATAATACTCAAAGTTTTGTGATAAATCCGATCTTTTTTATTTTACTTTTATTATGTTTTTGCAAACTTAAGGTCATCACTAGGTAAAACATAATACTCTTTGAAGTTAAGTATTTTCACAAAGAGAGGACCAACAATATCAAAAGATTGAATAAAGATTTGTATTATTTTATTTATTTTTAAGAACATGTTTAAGAACCCTCATTATCTCCACGAATATTGCATATTTTTCTATTCTAAGACCACCAAAATTACGTTTTAATATAGAAAATAACATATTTATGTGATGCTAAAGTCGAAGTCCTTAAATATTTTTGAAATATTTACAAAATATGCTCTTTCTATCATCGATACTTTAATACAGAGCAAATTTAGTAAATGTCATCACATTATTTTTTCATAAATCGTTTTCGAACTTTTGAAATATTTATTTTAAACCAGTTTTCTACATTTAATATGTGAATTATATCAAAAGTAGATGGGCGATACTTGTAAATATATTTAAACTATTAGTTTGCTATTATTGAAGAACTTTATAATTTTTTTTTCTTATGTATGGAATTAAAGATAATTTTGCCGATTCCAACTGGTTTTTCTATATGAGTTAAATATGCCAAGTGAAATTGGACTTGCCAATATTGTAAATTGAAGTATGGACTATATATCGATTTTCATTGATTGATGAATAACTCGGAGTAATGTAATTGTTGATAATGAAAAATAGTTTTCAATTGCTGGTAAGGGCCAATGTATGTTCAATAGCTCCGAAAGCAAAAAATGCACGTTTAGAAAAAGACGATAACGATTAAATTACAAAATCGATAACGACGACGATTAAATTACAAAATCAATAATGACCCTCATTTTTATCATAATTGTTGAGATTTGATCAGCTTTAAGTTGAAGAATGAAAAAATTTAAAATTTAATATCAGAATCAAAAAATACCCTTACCTGCCAGGAATATCCAAATTTTTTTTACCCCAAAATTTTAGATTTTCTATATCTCCTCAAATAATTGATATTTTCTTATTGCAATTTTGCACTTCAAAAGGATTGATCTTCAAAGTCTGGATAATAATACAACAAGTTGGTTTTCCAAAAAATATTCTAAAATCAAATATTTGATTCTCATTTTTCTTTTTTTGAATTTTTTTTTTGGAATTTTCAACTATGACTCAGAACAGAAAGAGTATCGCAACTTTATTTAATAGCATATAATATGATGAGTTATATGTTTATTTTATACTAATATTTTTTATCACAAATATCTTACCAAATAATATGAAATTTTATAACAAATGTATTACAGTGTTCACAAATATGAGCTAAATCAGTAAAACACGTCGATGAAAAGAGTATAAAACAGATTTTTAGTCTATTTATTTTCATATTACAGGTTTCAACATGCAATGTTAAAATTGTAGTAGACATATGAGATCCTTGAACTTGTTAGTACTACGTGCATGATAAAGTAAGCTTCAATTTTATACCAATTTTGTAAATTGAATCAAATATACGGCATTATATTGATATATAACTCGTTTTATGATATAGCACTGATATTCTACTTGTACTGGATTGTACTATCGTGATATTTAAGAGATTTTTCTCGATAATTTTGGATGATTATATAACTCTAGATTGTATTTGCCGATTTTCTCCAAACTACGTATTCTACATATGCATAATATGTATAGCCTGCAGCTGGAGTTTAAGGCCAAAATTTTGGTTAGAAGGGAGTGGCCGTACCTTTAAATATCATAAAATAATTTTTCTCGATAATGATAACACCACAAAATTATGGTTTGTATATAAGAATAAAGAATATAGCAGCCACATAAGTCGTTGAATAGTGATTTATAATAACTTTTTACCAACAAAAAAATATTAACTGTTTACAATAGAGAAAATGTAAGAAAAGTGTAAGTACATCCTTAGGGATTAATCATTACCGAAGTTTTTGGAGTGTAAAATATTATTGTCTTGATTTTATCAGCCTACGGTGCTGATGAAATCAAATGAAACAAAATCGATCTATTCTTCTAAACTACGCACGATTTCCTTATGCTGTAATTCCATGCCTTCAACAACATCCAAGGAAACAGCACCAAGATTTGATAAAACTGTCGCAAGTGGAATATTAATTTCAGAATTTTTGACTTTCAGAAGCCGAGACAAAGAAGCTGTGCTATTTGTTAGTTTGAGCCTTGTTTCCTTATCGTATGATATTAATTTTTCTTCGCATTCAACTATAAACTTTTCAAGGAATTTTGGAGAATCAATAAGACGTTGGACATCAGGACAACTATCCATAGGACTATCTGTAAGGAAGCAAATTGATCGTACAAGATGATCAATGCAGTAAATATATTGTTGATAAATTTCTGAAAATTTATCATTATCTTCATCTATATGGTCGATTTTATGATGTAATTGTCTTATATTCTTTGAACATTTTGGAATCCTTTCAGATATTTCTGTGATTTTTTCTAATATATTGTCATGGAAGGAAATTTCTTTCTTTTTCATACTGTCAATATATTTTTGAATTGAAACTTTAGAGTTTTGTACTTCATTTTGCATCTTTTCAATCTTTAACGTAAGATCTTCAATAGTTCTCTGTGAATTTAAGTTCTGTATAAATAATTGAGCATTTTTAGACTGTTGGGTACTAATTTCTCTGTTTTTCTCTGCTACTTCTAACTTTAGTTGTGATACGTTAATTCGATGTTGATGTTCTAGAGCGTTTACTTTCTCCATGCTTGTTCTTTTAAGATTGTATACTATGTCGAAATATTTTAAAGCGTTTTTTGATATGATAGAATCTCCTTTTGATAAATTAGTCCTTGATTCTTCAACTTCTGATTGTATTTGTGCAATTTTGGCGTCATAATCTTTCTGCATATTACTATATTTCATTTCAAGTTCTTTTAGTTCTGACTCGAGTTGACTTGAATCATCCTCTTCCATAAAATAATGATGATTTTATATCAATTACTCAAATAGCTGATTATAAGGAGTATATACTATTATTATATATCTGATTAATAAAACAATTTTGCAAATTTTCATATTCTTCAATATTATTTCAATTTTATTCAAAGTTGAATAACAAAATATCAATTTAGATATAATTTTTTTATAATTCTTCTAAATGATATAAAATGTTGCCGGATATTCCCAGAAGAAATTTTATTATTGTGTGTTCGTATAATAAACATTAATATGCATAGCTCTCTTTAACATATTTTCGAAGTTTAGATTAATGTCTTGTTTGCAATAAACTCTACTTGAGGCTGCACGACTTTCTTAATTTTTTTTGACAAAATCGATGCAAAACACGACTTTTTTTCCAGATCTGATATAATATTATGACTTAGCATGACATGTTCATATAAATATTAGTGTGAAATCAACTTCAGAAGTCAGAGAGAAATCAGAAAGCGCACTAAAGGCATAATATTTGTAACTAAAATATAAATTGCCTGAGTAAATCTGATACCGAAAGAATTCTTGTGTTCAGCGGCTTCAGGCAGTTGAAGAGCCAAATCAATGACAGAGTATTCTCTGTATTGTTGTGCTTTAACAAGTCTCAATGCCCAACCAGCCAAACCAACAAATTCGAAAGAAAATGTCTTCAAATAAGAACCAAACAAAACGAAAATAATTGCCAACAAAACACAAATCGAAAGTAAGTTCTTGAGAATAAATCCTTCAGCGTATAAATACATTACAACGTATTTATCCTCTTTGGAAATTTAATTTGAAAAATATTGTAACTTGTTTATATGTTAGATGGATAAGATATCACTTCTTTGTTATTGGAAATGCATGAAATTAGTAAATTCGAAAGTAATAGTTTATAAATTATAAAAAACAACGTATAAAAACATTCAAAAGATCAGAAATGAAGTTGAATAGCATCAACTTCTACAAAGATGCTCATTGCAAGGCTTTTTGAAGTGCTTCAATTACATCTGATTTTGTAACAGTTTCTTTATCGAAAAACGCTTCTGAAAGAGATTCCAAGGCATTCTTGATCAAATCCTTAACAGAATTTTGGAGTTCAGCAATACTTTTATTCTTGAATTCTTGAGCTTCTTGTAAAGTAACAATTGGCTTATCATTTTCCTTATTTTCAGCTTTGAGACGGTTAACTTGTGTCTCCAACTCTCTTTTGGTTTTTTGGAAGTATTTAATTTGAGTTTCAAGATCTTCTATTTGCATTTCGAGATCTGTGTTATCTGTACCAACATTTGCATTTGTCTTCTCTCCTTTTTCGGTTTTCTCGATTTCATCTACAATTCCGACCAATTCATTCTGTAAATAATCTAATTGGGACTGTAAAGTAGCAGCTTTACCATTTTCGCTATCAATCTGAGTAATAATTCTGCCAACTGCTTGTCTGGCTTCCATTTGTGCATCTTGCGCTGTTGATTCGTAAATTAATCTATCGATTTCATCAGTAGATCGAGCCAATTCAGCTTCTTGACGCTTTGAATCTTCAACTAAACGCATAACACCATCTAAAATGGACTCATCATCCATTGAAATGTAATCATATTTTGCTTTTGGACGATGTAATTGTTGTAGCTCGGATGTGAATGATTCAAAGATTTTATTGACTTCTTTTTCGAGGCTTTCAAGGCCATCTATTGCATTTTTCATTGAAATAGGATCTGTCGGATAAATAATTTTTTGTTTTTCAGGTTTTACTTGTTCTTTTGGCTTCTCCTTTTCTTCCTTGACTTCAGTTTTAGGCTTTTCTTTGTCTGCTGGAGCTGTTTCTTCCTTAAAAACAGGAGTAACAAAAGAAACTCGACCTCCTGGGATTCTAGCAATGAAGGAACATCCAGGAATCTCTTTTGCAATTTCGTTAATTCTATTTGAAATCTCTCCTTCGCAAGGATTTGTAATTTTGTCAGATGTCAAATCATAAAAAGTAGCTTTAAGTTCTATATCTGTTTTCGGGTCGATTACTTCTGCGATTTTAGTATATTCATCATCTTTCATTTTATAGTAAAGAATAAGAGAAGAAACTAAACTTGCTTCTGTTTGATTTTGGAACAAAAACAGCCAACGAGTATTAGTGTAATCAAGTGATGATCCGTATACTTTATTTTGTAATTCCCAAATGACAGTTTCGTTGCAATCAATTTTTGTCAGAATTTGTTTTGTTTGTGTAATGAGAATAATAGATAGAAGTCCATTAGATCTATTCAGTAATAGAATTGCAGGACCAACAGGAGCGTATTGGTTAGCATTTGGATCCCATTTCGATGCCATGACAGGAGAAGCTCTTAATGTTCCGTCAGGAAAGCTAACATTAGAAGCTGGTTTTTCGTTAGTTGCTGAAAATAGAGAACCACCACTACTTTCCTGGAAAAGTGATGCCATATATTTTTGTCACTTTTTCTCACTAAAAGAAAAAAATGAATGAAAAAGAAATTGTCGCAGAATTAGCAAAATTACGCTACCCATCAGATGAAAGTGGTTGGATTAAGAGATCACAGAATGGTCTCCCAAGCTACATCATGCTTAGAAAATCTCTTTTTGCGAAAGGAATCAAACCATCATTAACATGGGATAAAGAAGATTGCTTGAACGCATTTAAGAACGGCGATCAAGTGTCCGAGACTATATTCGAAGACAAAACAACAGACGCGCTATATTCATCTGTTCTGAAAACTTTCCGTAATGAAAACAGAACTCTCAAGAATATTAGAGACATTACATCTAACTTGATGCCCCAGATCGATGCTCACATTAAGCATCAAGAAGAAACCTTAATCAAGAAGCAATTAAGTATGATGAAGCCATAAATGTATGTAAAAATATGATTGTATAATACATTTCATTTTACTATCAAATACAAGGTGATGTTCTCGCCAGTATCAAATATTTTTGAGATCTAATGAATATGAGGTTGATACTCATTATCTTTAATCATTCACCCGAGCTACCTTAGGCTCTAAATTGAATACACATAATACCAACTAAGTGGAGTTGGATATAAGAATTTTGGAATAATATTAATATGCTTTGTGAATATTTGGAGATTGGAAATCCAATTTTGTGATAGATTTGCACATAGTCAAGATATTCGCATATCAAAACATGTGAGTGATGAAATTTTGACTCGATTTACACATAACATGACGTAAAATCCTGTAGATTTTAATCCATATCAAGTAGCCATATTGATTTCATAAAAATTTTAAAATTCTAAAAACAACTCCGAACGTTTTACAATAAATCTTTACAGTTGTTTTTGACAAAATGGAGGCATTGACCAAGAAAAAAATCAAATCATATGGCGAGAGAAAGATCCCAGATGAACTTCCAGAGCTTCCTGATGTTGAATTCGGAGAAATTGTTGGTTCTGGATTCTTTTCCCACGTATACAACGGTACATTCAGAGGAAAACCAGCAGCCATTAAGCTCGTAGAAAGAGGAAATGTTAAACTTACACTAAAAGAAATCGAAATTTTGAAATCTCTCAAAGGAGTTGAAGATGTAGTTCAACTTTATGCAGCTTTTCAAACAGATAACATAATTCTAGTCTTTGAATACATCGAATCATGCTCTCAAGAGTATTTTTACAAGCATTTGACAATTCCTCGCTTAAGATTTTTCATTAAACACGTTCTAAATGCATTAAATGGCGCTCATGAAAAGAATGTTGTACATAGAGATGTAAAACTCGCAAATGTTCTCGTTTCTAAATCATGGGACAGAGTTTCACTTATTGATTGGGGCTGTGCTTCATTTATTACAGATTCAATATCATCATGTGCCGGATCGAGGACATGCAGACCTCCAGAGATGCTATTAGGCTACAAAGGCTACAAAACAAGTTGTGATTTGTGGGCAGTTGGCGCAATGATAATAGACATCCTTACTGAAGGTAAACTTCCATGGAAGAAAGGTACGACAATAGATGTATTAGTAGGAATATCCCAATACTTCGGATCTGAAGATATTCTTAAAATTTCTGAAAGATACAATCTTCCAATCGACCAAGAAGTAAAAGACAAGTTATCCAAAGATCCAACTAAATCATTCGACGATAAAATCACAGAAAGAATGAAACCTCTTTGGACAGACAAATTAAAGCAATTAACACTTGGTCTTCTTGAAATTGACCCAGAAAAACGTTTGACGATCGAAAAAGCAAGAAAAGCTAAGTATTTCTTCGGAAAAAAGAAAGTTGTTAAGGCAAAAACCTCTAAACCATCAAAACCAGCTGAATGATTGCTATCAATATGAATTTATTTTGTTTTGTAAGATAATGCCATGCATAGTTAGTTATTTAATAATAAATCTATTAAACTATTGCATATTTTAAATTTTTATTTTCATTTTTTTGAAACTTCTTGAGTATATACCGAAAAAGTTAGAAAGAATACTTTTTCCACATTAACATCTCACTTCAACCCTCGATTTAAATCTCAATTTCAAGATTCAAAATTTGAATTTGTCTTTTGTTTTATTTGAGACTCAATGGTATACAAACTGATAACATTTGCAATGTAGTTCATCTTATTTTATTTTTTTTGTTGGAAAATTCAAACAAAAAAGTGACAAAAAACAAAATGTCATCAAAAGCGGGTGATATTTCAAAGAATTTAGAAGAAGTACGCCAGAAAAAAGATGAACTAGAGCAGAAAAAACAAAGATATATAGAAAGAATCAATGATATTTCTAAAAATATTAATTTATTGAACCAAAAGATAGATGACTTTGCAGATATGGTCAAATCTAGAAATTCAAACTAATCAGGTTACTTGTGATCAAATCAAAGCGGATTCATGAAAAAATTAGTAATTTTATTTTAATTTCTCATAAGAAACAACAGACTGAAACGTATTGGGATAATTCGAAATCGACAATTTTGTTACATTTTGGTACATTGGATCGGATTCTCTTGAAAAATTTCATGTTTGCAATTATAATCCGAATTTTTATAGTAGCATGTTCATTATCTGGGTATGCTTATTTGTTTTATTTGTCTTATTTTAAAAAATTAAGTTAATAATTTTTAATTTATAAATAATAATATAAATACTTTATAAGTTTGTCGACAACTCTATTGATAACATGCTTGTTTGGATTTTTCCAGCATCATATGCAAATTTGGCATCATCACCAAGCATCTTCTTGATTTCTTCATCAATATCAACTTTTTGAGGGACACCAGCTTTTTCAATGATTGATTCTGCGGCATTTGTAAAAATTTGTGCATTTTTACAAATTTCTTCCGAATTCTTCTTGGAATCTTCAACGAATTTATGTATTCCTTCTAATTCCTTCAAAATCTCCTTTTTCCTATTCTCAATTTGGTCTTTCCTCTTTTTCAATTCTGTAATTCTCTGTGAAATCTTATCTGCAGCACTATTAACGTTTGTGGATTGTTCCCATCCTCCTGGGAAGCTATTGCATGACTGGAAAACCGGAAGGAATGAATAATTGGTATGATCATTTGTAACTAAGGCAAATGCGTGGACATTTGATGAAACTCCAATGGATTTAATAGTAGTTCCATTGAATTTCATCGATAGAAGAAGCTTATTCTCTAATTCGTTGAACATCCAAATTTTATTGTTGCTAAAAACGAAAACTCTTCCATTTCTAACAAGAATCTTTGAATTCATTTCGATCTGTGCCTCACAAACATATTTGAAGTCGTAGTGGTCGCTCATATCAACGTCTTTCATGACATGATGGCCAACAAAAGTCAAATTACGTTTTCCGTCGGATAAATCAAGTTCATAAGCGTAAAACATGTTCTTACTGATGATGAATAAGTATTTCCCGGAAACAGCGAAAGAATCAATGTCTGGAATCGGATTTTCTCTATTATATAATTTGACTTCAAATTGGTTTGGCGAATAGTTGGAATCCAATATGATATTGTAAGAGGAACCGTTAGGAACTGCTACTTTTTGGAATAATTGTTTATCAGTAGTATTTAGCGTATTTAAAATGCGAGAGTATGTTTCTGGATTCATAGACAGTCCCGTCTTTGGAATAAATCCTCTAATGAATACAAGTTTGCCTGAATTCAATGCAAGCAACGAATATTGATACCATGGATCGAAATCTGTACCAAATTGCATACTAGTGATAGCAGAAAGAGAGAATTCTAGTAATTTTTCAGCATTGTTGCAGTCATATAAGTAAATTTTTAAGTTCTGAAGCACTACAAAGTGATTTGGAGAATAAGAAGTCCATTTTACAGCATCAACCTGTTCTTCACGTACGTTAAATGTATTAACAAATTTGAATATAATACTTTCATTTGATGGAAGTTCAAAAATGTCGATTTTATATTTTTCATCCATAATTATGCATTTTGTATGATCGCAATTTGAAATAAATGTATGTATTACTCTAGTTAAGCATTTTGGCTCAATAACTTCTGGAGTTTGGCCATTCCTTATTCTGAAAAAATTATCTTTAAAATGTAAATAGAGTAAACCTTCTCCGCCTTCAGCAATAAGTTCATATGAGTCATTTGTAAAACTTCCTTCCTTTTTTGTCTGTATTAACTCCTTTAGATATTCTTCCATTATTTTTGTCTTTAAAATTTGACAAATAAACTTATCATGTCAAAAAACATAAATTTACATGGCAAAACCTAAATCAGTTTTTTATTTTTTGATACAATCATAAAAAAATAATGCAGGAAGATACAGAAAATCTTGTTTTCAATGCAAAGATGATCACTGAAAATCCGGAAGAAAAGGCTCGCGTTTTTTCCATAAGTTTTAATCTTAGAGAAAAGAAACTTTCAATTTTGGAAGGAAAATCTTCATTTTGCATTTCACCTCAGAGATTTTTATCTCCTTCTACTGTAATTGATCCAACAACAAAATCTCCATACACAGAATCTAGCTTTTACATCGGAAGCAGAATTATTGCCGCCGGCAGATTATTCGAACTTGTTGATGCAAGTGATTATACTCTTTCATATATGGAAGCTTATCCAAATAGATTCCCTTATACAGATGTCGATTTATGCTTCGAGTATTTAAAGAAAGTAACCGAAAACGTTCAACTCAAATTCCAGGATGCAAACCCAGCTGCATTTGGCACAATGCCAATCGAACAAGCTCGTGAAGTTTTATATAGCTTCCACCCAACATTGCCAAAACATGCATCAGTTACTTTGCTCAGAAGATTCTCAGCTGAAGGCAGATTCAATTACCAGGCTGTTTTAGAAGGAGCTAACATTTGTTAATCCACAGCTCTTTCTTTGTTAATTATTGTTTTCATAAATAATAAGTTCATTTTGATTAAAATTCAGTATTTATTCAAAGCACATTCTAAAATATTACATGTTAATGGATGTTAGCAAATTACCATATAAATTGATCGCATATCTTCTTTGAATTTTTATGAAAAATAATATTTTAATCGATAACTATAGATCCAATACTGTAAAAACGCAATAATTTATTTGTAAGCCTGTTTTCACAAATTAGCATCGATGCATATCAAGATTATCAAAATTTCAAAAAAATTTATGATATTTGATAAATTACATTTCGAAAAGGATTAACTTAACTATAAAATATTGAAAGTGAAATAAGATTTATGTAACAAACAAAATATATAATTTTTAGATTCAAAAAATAAAGTTACGAAAGAGAATATGTGAAAATTAGATGGTTTCAAAGCAGGCAATGATGGGGGTTTCATGCATTTTCGATACAATCAAAAGGTCTCAAATATTTCGCAATTTCATTGGAAAAATTGCTAAAACCTTATATTACTATTTGAGGAGAATTAGTTAAATTCTCTTCCATAGATTGATTGTTTGTTGTTGGTTCATTTTCTATTAATTTTGAAGCAGATCCTGTATAAAGGAAATAATAGTAGATGTATAATGACACCAAAGTCCAAATGAATGACATTGCGAATAATGCGCTGCCAATATCTGTCGTTCTTTCCATCAAATAAACTTTTAGTGGTTTATCGATTGCTTTACCAATAGTAAAGTTTGAATTCAATTTTGTTAAGAAATCAGCGACTTCCGATTTGTTTTCATTTTCTTTCAAGTACTTTAACATTGAAAATTCTGCAGAATTAAGCGCAGATGATGTAGTGCATGCGAATATGAAAGCTAACTCTAATGCGATGAATAACAATGCTGAACAAACTGAAGTTATTGAAATATAAAATTGAAACTCTGCTGCAAGTCTAAAAATCATTACAATAAACGATACAGTGGAAATAATGATCGAAATAGCCAGAATAGAACATAACGCAAGTGGAAATTTTGAGATGGCTTCTTTATAAATGTGATCTGATAATAATACACAGCAATTGAACAGATAAATTGTAATAATGATCGAAAGGATCGCATTTATTACTCTTGCAATAAAAGACGGCTTCAAATACCAGGTCTTGACGCCAAAATCAAGATCATATTTTTGCATTTTTATTTTTTTCAATGAATAATGATGAAAATTTTTTATATATTAATAGGATAGAGCAACTAGACGTACAGAGTATCGGTCCAATTGCACAGTGCATATCTGGCAATCTGATCGGGCTTGTTTCCTCTTCAAATCAAATAATTATTTATAATATCGTAACAAAAGAGAAGATAGAAATCCCAAATGCCGATAAAGATACAACATTTATAACAACAATTGCAATTAATGAGGAAGGAACATCATTTGCAACTGCAGATAGCGATGGAAAATTAACTTTTTGGTCACTTCAAACCAAAACTCCAATCTATTATACTAAACTCGAATACCCTGTAGAGAAGATGGTTTTCTGCTCGGGGTTGAATACAGTTGTACACTCAGATTCTTTAGGAAACGTATTTACTTCGACTCTTAATACAATATTCATTTACAAGAAGACAATCACTACTACAAAGCTATTTGAATTCGATGCACCACTTATCGCACTTTCAATTTGTAAAAAATACATATTAATTGCGGCAACTTCAGAAACTAAATGTTTGGATAGTTCCGAGGCCTTCAAAGTAGTATTTACAGATAAAACAACTACATCATGCTTTGGTTACTACAAAACAACAACAATTGGAAGAATTATTGACCAAAAATTAGTTTTGACAGATTTTGAAGCTAATAATAAGACAGTAATACCAATAGGACATCCAGTACAAGCCGTATCATTGATTTCTCCTAAGACTTTTGCTTTATTATCAAGCGGAAAAATTGATATTTTATTTGACTCGAATATTATCATCAAAGACATCCCATCAGGTAAGTTCCTTATTAGCAACAACAATATCTTTGTTTTGGGATCACAGTTACACCAAATTGTCATTGAACAGACGAAAGAAAACTTTAATCAACTAATTTCAGAAGGAAAGTACGAATCTGCCTTCAACATACTCAACAAGAAGGATGATATCAAGGATATCGACATCTACTTGAATCAATACATTGAAAAACCTGAATTCAAAATTCAATTTTTATTCCAAACATTAGAAAGACTTTCTTACACAGAATTCATTACAGACTTAAAGCTTACATCCAAACGTAATGAAATATTGCTTGAATTCGTGAAAATTCATCCAAATTGGGAGATGAATTTAAATTTCATTGAAGAAGTATCTAAAATCACAACAGACATGAATATTTTATATAAGTTCTTAGATGAGATCAATTACAATGCTTCCTGGGTCCCTTATTTAATCAAAATTTGTATATCAAAATCAATGTTCGATTTAGCTCAAAAATTCGCACACCAGGACATATATTTGAGCTTGCTAATTGCAGAATACGCGCATGACGCCATGGCGATGCACGAAAAACTGAAATTTGCCATGAATAATTCCGAATTAGCCGTAGAAGCGGTTAGATTCCTTACCAACTGCAATCTATCACTTTTCCTGGCTTACGATACCGTTGTTGCATCGGAGTTACTCCATTTGGCCTTCGAGAAAACCGAGGAATACGGTTTGGGAGTCGATGGCCTCGTAAACAACGTAATTGAATACTTAAAACCGGAAAATCCGCTTTGGCCGTTGATTATTAAGGAAAGTATCAAGTCCAAAGTGAAAATTACGTCACTTGCAAGCGTAGAAAACTTCCTGGTGTATGGAACTGATAAATCTCGACAAGATTTATTTTCTCATATCTTAAATAGCGAAAGCTCGAAGGATTCTCCGCATTTATTGGAGCTAGCTATTATCGTTGGATATGAAAACATCGAATTGGACATAATTGTCCTATCAAAAAACATTGATTATCTGTTTGAATACTTATTCAGACACAAAAAGACGACATTCATCGGAGATTTGCACATGGTATGCAAGGGAATGGATATTAAACAGATATTGATCACTCATTGGCGTGAATTAATGGCAATTAACCCGATAGAATTTGCTGCCGAAATTTTGAACACTCATGATGAGAATTTTATTCGAAGAACAATATCAATGTTAAATCCAAGCTATAATTTCCTAAAAACAATGTTTTCTTTCGACGGTGTCATAGAAATGTCCGACCAATTAACTCTTCTCAAATATATTGAAATGCTCTGTTCGAAAAATTCAAACGAAGTTATCAATTTTGTGAAGAGGGTAAGAAACATTGAATACGACAAAGTTATAGCGATTACGGAGCAGAAAGGCATTCTCGATGCAACTCTCCATATTTCTGGTCTTTTTGGAGATACAAAACGAATTATTAAAAATTCCACTCATGCAATCACCGATGAACTCATGGAAGACCCGACCAATGTTACATTTACAAGGCAAGTAATCGAGTTCTTGAGTTCTTCAGACCCAGAACAAGCTCCAAACTTATGGTATCAGATTATCAAAAGTTTTCAGCTTCCATTTTTGAAATACGGCGAATCCTTTAGTGAAAACGAAGCCTTGAAGATGTTTATCAGGTCAATGACTTATAACATCCCTAATATCCTCGAAACATCCAAAGTTTTGACGAAAAATTTCTCATTTTTGCCATTCAACCAATCGAAGAAGATTTTCAGGATTTTCTTCGACACGATTAAAGAGAAGAACAACTTTGCGATGTCATTGAACGCTATCACACACGAGGAAGCAGTAAAGAACCAACTCAAAGCTGTTTCTTCAAAGCAAAGTGGAGTTCTTTATGATGCAACAAAATGTCAAATTTGCCAACATAAATTGGATGGAATAATCGTTTGTTGTCCGTCCTGTGGAAGCTGCTACCACGTGTCATGCTGTCATTCTTGGTGTGGAAAATGCAATATAGAGCTTTGCAAGACTTTCCCACCGGATATGCCTGCAATTAAGAAGATTCAGACATTTGACAACATGGAAAAGAAATACCGAGTAAAGATTCTCCAAAAGAAACCTTCAAAGCCTCAAGTTTCTTACGTTGTAGAACCAAAAATTGGTATAAAAGTGACAAGACTTGATGTAACTCCTGAAATTAATAATACAATGACTAATCCGAAATAAAATTGTTTGTTTTTATTTAATTATGAATAATGTGAATATTCTTTTTATTAATAATTTTTGAAATTTTGAATTCAAGTTTGAATCCTTTATATTGATGAATTGCACACTACATATAATAATTGACCAACTTAACAAAAATTATGATAATCGATGATTTTGATTTTAATTGAATTAACATCAATTTTGTTTATTTTGGAGAAAATCGTCTAAAATTAGAAAGATTGTATATCATTTCTATTAGCTAATTAAATATTGTATTCATATTCATTCAGACAATAATAATAAAAAAAAGAGTTTCGACATTTAGGCAAATTCCTGCTTAAATCTTTAATTAATTCTCCATGTCATTATCTTAAATGAATGTAGAATTAATACTTGGTTAGCTCATAAGGCAAGATGACTTAGTTTCAAATGATTCTTAAATTTCACGTCTGATAAAAATTGAGAAGACCAAAGAAAATTGTATTGAATTGGCCATGAAAACCGTCAAATTATGTCAAAATAGTAATAAATTCATAAATTAACATGATATAATTTTCTGGGAAGATTTGTTTTGGTGTCAAATTTTTCTCAAAATTTTGTTTCGACTTTATTAATGAAAACCACATAACCAAATATTCCTAAATAAATTCGTTTATTCAGAAAAATTGAAATATTATCAATTCTGTCAAACCAAAAAAATAAAAATGGGTTGTATCGGATGTGGCCGCTGCTGTATGCCGACATTTTCTATTTTAATACTTCTCGCACTTGGAGGAGCCGTTGCAACAATAATTATTACAACGGATCAACTAACTTTTTATGATTGGACTTCACAGATGTACAATTACGTTTTTGCATTAGTAATACTTGGCTTATTCTTGCTTTTTACAATAATTTCTAGCTTTTATGGATTGTGTATGTGCTGCAGAACTGGCAAAGGCTGTCAAACAACTTTTATTGTATTAATTGTCATTTCATTGCTCTTTGCATTAATGATTCCAATCATTGCTTATGGTTTTCCTGATTTTCTTATTGCAGATAAAGATCTTTGGAAAAGAGTTGAGAGTACAGCAAATCCTACAGACCTTAAAACAATTGTTTCAATCGAAAATAGTTTCTTGTGCTGCGGATATGAGTACACAGATGATTGGGATAAAATACGCTGTGCAGCTTATTTGACAAATAAGGATTTCATGAATAAATGGATAAATTCCAGAATTTATGGCTGTAAGATAGAATTAATTAACTATTATTCAGATCAAATACTTTATTGTTCATTATTTGTAGGTGGTATCGCTATGTTCTTGTTTGTTTTATTAGCTTTTGCAATCGGATCTTGTTGCACCCCGCAAAACGAAGCTTCCGTCATTTCTGTTGTTGAAGATGACCGTGAAATGCACAAACAGCTCATTTAATATTATCATTTAATTTCAATAAACATATCGTTTTCATTTGAAATCTGACATTTTTTAACAAAAAAATATAGGTCTATTGTATTTTCTAAAATTTTGACAGGCTTTAGTATCAAATCATTCCATTGGATAATGGTTTTTATTATATTTCGTTGAAAGAAGTTATGTTTTATAAGTCTATATGAGATAAGGCTATTTAATAATATTTTCATATCCAATCATTACATTTGATCAAGAAGATCATATTATTTAATTTAAAAATTTTCCAATTTTCAAATCAAACAATTCAAAAATCATCTTGAATTATCATGAAGGAATGAATTAGAGCTAACAGTTTAGTTGCAACTATGGAAAACGCATGTTAAATATCATGTGAAATGAATCAAATATATTCCATTTGAATTTTTCATATTGGATATCATTTTCGGCGAAATTCATTCAACATAGATTCAAATCTCAGAGCGTTGTGTGATTCATTCTCATTTAAGGAGAAACTTGCATAATTTTAAATGGCATATTTAACCATTTACGATTGTTTCAAAATTGAATTATACAGAATGTCTTATCAAAAAGTGTCATTTCATTCAATTAATTTTCATTGCAATAAGACTTGTTTTCAATTATTTAAAATCCAATAACATGTAGTGTTGTAAACAGAAATTCATCAAAAGTAACACCTCAGAAAAGCTAAAATATTGAATTTTTGGAACTTTTGATAGAGCACGTTTTTAAATATTAATTAAAGTAAATGTATATTTTGTAAAGATTCTTTTTAATAAAAAAAAATAAAATTTTGAAGAAGAACACAAAATCTTCTGAAAAATAATATCACATAAACTCATATTATTTTCTAATATATAACTATTTTATATAAAAATCAAATTCAATGATCTTAAAAGCGAAGGATAAACCTCAAAATTTACGAATATAATGAGTGGGAATATAATGCTTATCTATCATAAAACCATATGAAATATCAATTTTTGCTTTACGCCTAATTTTTGACGACAATTAGCAAAAAATGTTAAATGTTAACACTCAGTCCATTTGAATATGAAAAATAAAATTGACTTTGATTAAATGTTTTTATTTATCATGCAATTCTTCTTGCGACCAAAGATTTGAATAAAAGTTCAAAAAATAAGATAGCTTAAAAAATAATATACGGTAGTGTTTACTAATAGATGAATAGTATATAAATTCTATTAAAATGGATTTGATCCAAAAAAATATAAAACCAAAAATAATTGTTATAATTTAAATGAAGAAGTAATTTAAAACGATTTTATTTATGATCAAATTTTATATATTTTTTGGATCAAATCCATTTTAATAGAATTTATATACTATTCATCTATTAGTAAACACTACCGTATATTATTTTTTAAGCTATCTTATTTTTTGAACTTTTATTCAAATCTTTGGTCGCAAGAAGAATTGCATGATAAATAAAAACATTTAATCAAAGTCAATTTTATTTTTCATATTCAAATGGACTGAGTGTTAACATTTAACATTTTTTGCTAATTGTCGTCAAAAATTAGGCGTAAAGCAAAAATTGATATTTCATATGGTTTTATGATAGATAAGCATTATATTCCCACTCATTATATTCGTAATTTTGAGGTTTATCCTTCGCTTTTAAGATCATTGAATTTTGATTTTTTTAATAAAATATTATATATTAGAAAATAATATGAGTTTATGTGATATTATTTTTCAGAAGATTTCATTCTATATGCCTATGAAAAGTACTCTCAAAACCAACTTTTTCCTAATTATAATTAAATCTAGAATATTGTATTATGCTTAGTATTATTTCATTTTTCTCATTCAATTTAGAATTTACAAATGTCAAAAAAATTGAGAGCTGTCACTTTTGATGAATTTCTGTTTATTACAGTACAATTGTATAAGTGGTTTATGAAATAGAAATAAAGATATTTTTTATTGAATATTTACTTAATGAAGGTTTTAATTCTGTAGATAATTTTTGCCTTTGACAATAAAAAATTGTGAATAATTCAAATAAAAAATTTGATGGGGTGTCGTGAAGTTGGTCGTTGCTGCATGCCAACCTTTTCAATTTTGGCATTTATTGGTATTATAGTAGGTATTTCAATTGTAGCACCAATAGCATCAGCTGACAAACAATATTCTTGGGCTGGAAGCATGTACAATTATTTTATTTTTGTGGTTCCTCTCGGATTCTTTCTATTTTTTTCTTGTATTAGCTCGATTTATGGATGCTGTATGTGTTTCAAAACAGGAAGAGGTTGTCAAATGGGCCTTATTACACTTTTATGTTTTACGTTTGGATGTTCTGCTTTCATTCTAGCCATTGCATTCATTTTCCCTAAATGGGTTTTGAAAGACGAAGGTCTATGGAAAAGAGTTGAAAGTACAGCAAATCCAACAGACCTCCAGAGGATAATACAGATTGAGAATGACATCTTGTGTTGTGGCTATGAGTATGCAGATGATTGGGACAAAGTACGATGTGCTACGTATTTAACAAACGAAGACTTTATGAAGAAGTGGCTAAATTATGGAATTCGCGGGTGCAAAGAAGAATTAGTAAACAATATATCGACTCTTCTGCATTGGATTTCAATTATTGTTGGATTTGGTGTTTTCTTTTTCATTTTTGTTTTCATATTTGTTATTGCTGTATTCAATACACAAGAGCATGAACAAACTGTTATTTCTATTGTGGAAAATGATAAAGATTATGGAAATTATCAAATGTATACTTAACTTTTGTTATTTTGGTAAAAATATTCTTATTTAATTTTGATTTGAATGTTATAAAGATTTTGAATATGTTTTTAGAATAGCACCCAAAACTAATATAAGGAGGCAATCGACTGTAATTGGGCTAAGCTATTCTATTTATATAAATATAGATATGAGAAAATATAGAAGCGACTAAAACAAAGGCTTTTTTAGATATCATGTATAAAATACATGAATATATTTTGCATCAATATTCTTCGTCCTTTTGGTAATTTTAAGTGTTTCAGAATGGCAATATATGCAGTTTTAATTGTCATTTTGGATATATTAATTGCAACAGAACTCTGGAAGAAAAAGTCGGAGATCTGTTGAAACTTCATGACTAATTCTCATTGTGACTTGTTTTCTGGTGCCATAGAATGGTCTATATTGACATATATATATAAATTTGACAATATGATTGAACCTGTCTCGCCAATTCCAAACGAATATTGATCGGTTTATATGTTCTTTGCAATGTTCCATGCATATAAGCTTTAAAACCGAGTTTATAATAAAAGCAAATTTATTATTTATTGTTAGTTTGTATACTATCCAACAAATCCTTGAATCAGCATCAATAATTGAATATCTGATAAAAAAAATCTCCAAGAGATCTCTTCTATAAGATAATTTCTTGTGAAACTATTTTTCAAATATTAGCAATATCCTAAAATTAATTAAAGTGGTTCAGATTCTTGATAATGATCTCAACAACTATATTACCCAGATTTTCCTTACTTTTACCACTCCCCATGTAATTTCTGGGGAAAACGATAATTCTTGTTTTTTATGGATGAATAGATCGTTTTCCTAGAAAGGACCTCATATCTCTGGCTAAAAAGAGTGTCAGATCCTAAATAGGTTATTGATCTAGTGTACAAATCCAATAAAAAGCCTATTTTTTTGGCTTTTTTGGTGCTCATTTTTTCGAAGATCTACATGAATATGGGGAAACCATCGGATTTTTTTGGTTAACCCACATCTTCATGTAGTCTGGACTATCTTTCCTCGAAGGACCTCTTTACGGGTGTAAAAACTCATAAAGTTCTCAAAAGATTCATTCTCGATCTCCATGCTGAAAGAATTTACAATAAAAAAGAGATCTACGCATCAAACTACAGCCATAAATGAACTGAACCCCTAAAGCTCAGCTCTTAGTTTATCAAAAACGTCGAAATCCTTCTCATTGCAATCAAATTTTCTCAATAACTCATAAGAAAAATCGAATTTTGATTAAGCCGATGTTATAGGTATCACAAATACTACAAACTTGAGCAATATCGAAATTGCCAGCAAAAGTTTGAAATTGCATTGCTCATATTTGTTTTGTAAACTAAAAATCTGCTTATATTATTCATTAATTTTTTATATATTATTCATATACTTTAATAAAAACAATACTATTTCACCTTAAAAATGAATTTCATAAGTCAATATTATTTTTTGAAAATGTATCAATTTTCGATTAAAACAACATGAGAATAAAATTTACGCAAAATTATTTTAAAAAATGGTTTTAAAAATTTACAATTGATGAAGAATAAGATTGGAAGAAGTTTTGAAGTTTAATTTTAAGAAAAAAAATTCGGATATTATTCATGGATCTAAGTAATCTGATATTTGAGTATCGGCACTATGCATAAAACATATATTAATAGTTTTTTTGGATTTTTATGATTTTAAATATATTCAAATTTGGCAATCCAATAGATTTTTAAAAAATAGGTAAATAAAAATAGATTACATATGCAGCAGATTTAGAACATGAAACAAATCTTATAGTGACCCAAAAAAAAATTCATGATCCAAAAAAGAAAAAAATTAGCTAAATGGGAATCAAACCTTGGCATAATGAATCATTATGTCGGATGTTTACACTACACCGGCAGTTCGAAAAATACCCTTGGTGGTTCTATTTAATAGCTACTCCCAACGATAGGCGGTGTCCCCAGCTTTAGAGGGGTAGATGATTCTTGAATTTCTTTTGTTATTTTCTTCTACCAAACATATGGAGATTGGCTCAAATTCCATCCCTCAATTAGCTTGGGAAGATTAACAGCAAACTTTTTTAATGTTGCTCTAACTTTTTTAATCCCAATAGATCCTCGTTGAATATTCTTTTAAAGACTTTTCAAAGTAACATGTAGAATATGCTTACTTCGTAACCAATGTAAAAAAAATCAATAGCCCCATTATTGTCAAGATCATTTATTTCGTGTTCTTCATTTGGAACAGTATCAAAAGATTTTGCATGGTTCATAATTTAGTAGTTAATTATCTTCTTCGATTTCTCGATAATATATTGTAAATTTTAACGTAGTTTGTTTCTTCATTTTTTGTTTTTTTATCAAGGCATAAAAGTGAAAAATCATGAGTAAATTGATTTCTATTTCTATTTGTAAAAGCAACTGACCAAGTTGTTCTTGGACTATTATTATCAATAAAACATCCATCTAAAGTAATTGTACCATCAAAATAATAACAACCATCATTTAGAATGTTATTGATAAAACTACTGTTTTTGATATAGCATGAGGAAGAAGTATCATATAAAGCTTGGAGAATTGATGCATTTTTGTTATTCAATACATTACAATTTATTATATTGAATACTTCCGCAGAATCAGTATGTCTAAGTTTATAGTAGTTTATTGTACTTCCGCTTGTTGAATTAGTAAAAGTGGAAAATGACGAATTTGAACCTGAAGAATATGAAAAAGCATAATAAAAATCTCTACAATATATTTTGGAAAATGAAATATTTATTGATTTAATTTGGATTTGGCCGTTTATTAAATACAGAGTATTCATTCCCAAGAAACTTTCATCACCGCTTTTACTAATTGATGATTCATAAATATAATTTTTATAACTATTGCTATCACTGACATCAATTTTACAATAAACTCCTTCTGTTTTCCATGAGTTTAATTTTGAAGAGAAACTGCAAATTCGATCTTGGACGAATTGGCCTTCTGTACCATAGTAGATGCATCCCCCTTCACCATTGTTACTGCAGTTGGTAAATGTGGTGGTATCAACCAGAAATTTAATTGTATTTTTAGTGGTCGATAGGTAAATAGAACCCTTTGTATTGCTTTTGCCAAAGTAGCATGAAGAAATATAGTAATTTTGCTCTTGTGCAGAAAGTTTTTGGCTCTGAGCTTGATATTGATTAGACTTATTCATAAAGGCGACGGAATTTATGAATAGGGTACCCTATTTATAACGTTAGAATTTGGAAAAACCGTCGCAAGTATGAAAACCCTGAATATGGAAAAACCGTCAAAAGTATGAACAGGTAGGTGATCGAATCTTCATATTTTTTATTTGGAATTTCCAAACAAAAGTTGTTTCGAAATTCCAATCAATTTGGAATTTAGAAACAAGAACCTAATAATCAATTATGTATGGAAATTAGAAATAATCCCTATACTATATGCTATTGTTTTTCACTTTTTTCTAAAAAATCTTCTAAATTAATTTAGATTTTATTAATTTTTAGACTAAATCCAAATACACTTGATTAATTTCTGTAATTATTGAAGAAGGCTTAAACTTATATCTTAACTTAAATTCATGAATACCCTCAATTTTTGACTTTTGCAAGTCGAAAGAACACTATCGACAACCGACTTGCAGAAATCCGTGATCAGTTCCTTAGTAAAGCGACAGAATGCGGTGTTGGTCAAGATGTCATCGAAAACTCAAAAACAGTCTTTGATGATTTGGATAAGTTGAACGAAGTCAAATTCCGTATCATCAGTCTTAAAAGCAGCATCAAGAACCAGCCTAAGATTTCCAACCTTCGAAACGTCACTCCTTCACACTACGACCGCGACAAATACGTTGAACTTCGCAAGTTCATCGAACAATCTAAGATTGAGCGTAAATCAGCACGTGACAAAGCCATTTCTCTCAGCGAAAAGATCGACCATCTTTCATTCTCTAACTACGTCGCTAACATCAGGAACAGCCGTCCTCTTGACTGCACCAACGAAGATGTCGACCGGAAACTCGCTAAATCACAACAACTTGCACAGTTGATTGCATCTATGCGGGAAGAGAAAGAGACACACCTTCGTCACCGCCAAGAAGAGTCACGTCAAGAGATGGAGAGTGCACGTACAGAAGTTGTTCTTCTTGACCAGATCGGTGCTAGCTGGGAAGAAGCAGACCGTCTTCGTATGGCAGCCAATGAAGCTAAAGAAGAATGTCTTCGCATTGTTGCCAAACTTATTTTGTTGCGTATCGAGATTCTCAATCAGATTGTTGACTATCCACTTTCCACTCGTCTTGAGTTAGTTGCACAACAGGAGACACCATCCAAGTGTCTTTCAGTTAACAAGATGATCCAGAAGAAGCGATCACTCATCCGTAACTTGGACAAGATGATCAACGAACTTTTTGTCAATTCACACAAGAGTGATTCAGAGCGTATCAGCGAACTTCAGTTAGCAGTTGAGAACATCGGTGCATGGGCAAGTGCAGCTAAAGAAGTTTGCACAGAAGTTAAGAAACCTATTCCACAACTTGGAAATGTTCCACGCGAAAACTTCGCAATCGAGAAGATCGACATTTTCATTTCATCACTTGCCGACTGGGAATACGATTTCGAACTTAAAGATTACACACCATTCATTGTACGACAACCCCAAACTCCCAAATAACTATCATTATCATTTTATTTCATTTTTATTTTTATTTTGTATAATTCTGTTGTATTTTTATTTCTCTTAGGGATTTAAAAACGGTTTCGCCAAATGGCGAATTGCTGAAAATTCGCTAACTCAGTCTGATTTTTTCGAATTCGGCGAACTCAAAAAGTGACATAATTTATACTGAATCTCGCTATAATCATTGATAATTTTTGCATATGTCAAATAGTTACAGTATGCTTATAACTTTATTTCGTATAGTCATGATGCTCATGATAACCATTTTGAATTTAAGTGAATAATTGACAGATTCAAGGCGTCAATACTTGTTTTTGGAAACTTATCATATAACTTCAAATATATTAATACAGCCATGCAAATACTGTAATGATTCTCGTGTTTTTTAGATAATCTCGATAATATCTTTTATTTATCTCATTATATTGAATAATTTCTTCTTCTTTTCAATTATCTTTTTACACAAGTAAATTCTATTATTAGAAATGCTGAGTAATTGAGAAAAACCTAAATTTTTGCAAATATTATCTAATTTTAGATAAATTCCTTCACAATATCATAAAGTAAGAGATTCCAAATAATATTAATATTATTAAGTATTAGTGTGCGGAAAAGGCAACAATTTATTTCATTCAAATTTTTCAAATTAAAACCATGCCATTTCTTAAAGCGCACATAAAAACTGTTTATGTTATGAGTAATAATTTATAACGAACTTAATCATAAAGTTCTTATTTTTGAATTCAAAATTATTCTGATTAGTTAGTATGAGAATAAATTGTTATGATTTAATCAAACTAACATCAAGAAAAGCTAATTTTGCAATCAGCATAATGAAATGCAAAACCAAAAAAAATAATAATTTTTAATCGTGAACAAATATGAACTTTATTGTCATAATATATATATTCATCAAATATATTTTGCAAATTGATAAGAAAAATGGAAACATAATATTGGCCTTAACGTCTTCGCCAAATTGCGAATTCGCCATTTTGTAAAGTAAAATTGAGAGGAAAACGATAATCCCAAAATAAAAATAGTAGACCCTATCTTAAAATCATGAAGATTATCACACAATAAAAATGTTAGACCCTTTATTAATAAAAAACGAGAATTCCACAAAATAAAAATAACAGACCCTTTTATATGGTTTGGAAATTGAAAAATGGCGAATTCGCCAAAAAATTAGAAGTGGCGCAATTCGCCATTTTGCGAACTTTTTTTAAATCCCTATTTCTCTTTTATTTATTCCTAAAATATTTTTCATCTTTATTTAAATTTTGTATTTTTGCCAAATGATCAATTTCTCATATATTAGGGGCGCGCAGCGCCCATAGGGTCCCGATCAAGTTTATTCACACTTATGATTCAAACTTGTAAAACCAATAATCTATGTGATTCACTAGCAAGTTTTTGATGTACTTGCAAAACATTGCACTATGAAAATGAATATATTCATGCTTTCGACCAACTTTGTTCAATTTCGGATTATAATATTTTTCGTAAGTAATATCAAATTTTCAAATGTCTACGAATAACTTTAACGAGTTGAATGATGAATTGTTTTCATTTTATTATTCATCAATTTTGATTACAATGAAAGCAAATTTAAATTCACTTCTAAATCATTAAAATCATAATCTTTTTGTTAAAACTACCCTTTATTTTATGCAAGTTCTTATCAGCAGTCGAATATTTTTCATGATTTGTTTTGATAGGGACCCCAGCTCTTTTAAAATACAGCATATATACAAAATCTAACCATTTAACAAATTTACGAGTTATATATAAAAACCAAAAGATAATAATATTACCCTCAATTTTTGACTTTTGCAACTTTTTCATGACCCCCTCCCCAGGTATCTAAAATACCATTTATCGCCTGAAAAGCACCCTTAATTTATGCCAATTGACAAAATAAAGATATGTTTAGAATGCTGATATGATGGAGAATCATGCTGCATCATTATTGGCCAGCAATATATAATATTTAAGAAATCTACGAGATTATCTGATTTCATGAAACTCAATGTATACTAAGTTTCAGACTTTGAAATTTTAACATGTTGATATGGGTACATAGGGTTTATGATTCCAGTCATTTATTTAAAAAATTACAAAAATGAATTAATATGATGTGAGTAACAATGGTAATAAACGCTTAATTACTAATATATTATTTCTTGGTAGGAATGAAATGTTTTGGTGACATTTATAGAAGTTAAGCTGAGAATCAAAAATGCAAAAATTATTTTAATTATTACAAGCATTATTTGATGTCATTGAGTTTAGAGTCGTGTAGATATATGAGTACAATATGTTATTGATGTATATATGCAATAATTGTGAAAATGAAATGTGAATCTCAAGATGAGTTGCATGTTACTGCGCTATAATTTGAATTCAATACGTACATAACATTACTAAATGTATTTTAAGATAATACAAAAAATTAAGCTTGCAAAAAGATATCGAAATGTAATTTTCATTAGATTCAAAGTTCTGAATAGATTTTGATTTTAACTATTGATGAATTTGTCAAACCTCTATAATAATAGAATGTAGAACTAATTAAATATAATTAATAAAAAAATACAAATTTAAGTGATATTATAAGAGATATATGTGATGTTACCAATATGATATGATATTGGAGAACTGATAGAATTGTGATGTGAGACTAAATATGATTTTATTATGAATAGGAGAATAATATTAGAAGAATTTCTTGAATTTAATGTATCTGAATATGTAATTGGGCATATATTCTATATATATTGGTAGGTTAACTAGAAATAAGAAGATGAAAGATTGTTAATGAATAATATGAGATTAAGCGAAAATATATTGTTCTAATAGATGAGTGTTGAGATCCAATATATATGAAGAGGGATATGTGAGAGGAAATATGTATATTTAATAAAATAAGCGATGAGAGAAAAAATAACAAAGATTTATATGAAATTTTGAGTATTGAAAAAGCTCGATTAGTGATTTTATGTCTGTTAAAGGAATAGATATTCTAGGAGAAAGATAAATTGAATTAAAGAAGAATAAAAAAAGTTGATTAAGATTGATAAAAATATTGAATTGTATGACAATGGAAAGAAGAAATAAATTGGTGTTGGTATTACGGTATCATTTCGGGAGACATTGCCTCTGCATGTCTCCCAGAATGAGACAATCTTCTGCAATCAGAATGTGATTGCAAAACTTTGACCGACAAGAGTGTATTATGCACTCCTGTCGGTCGCAGTATCTCATTCTGGGAGACATTGCCTCTGCATGTCTCCCAGAATGGAACAATGTTCCGCATTGATAACTTGAACGCTTAGATAGGGGTAAAATCAGACTTTATGAGGTATGTTGTATAATTATAGTTTGTGCTGTAATATGTCATGAGATCAGAATATGAAGGGAGTATATATGTGTTATTGTCACAGGTATATATGTGAGGATAGCTCAGTAGAGTCTGTAAAATAGTTTAGTAGAAGAAAAAGTTATATAAAGAACAAAAAATTAAAAATAAACATTATTAAGTGAAAACCAAAGTTTACCTATTTTTGTAAGGTTTTGTCTTTGTGGGTTGAGGTATATGACAAAAAAGATTGGATAATGCACTCTTGTCGGTCAAACTTCCGCGTTCAAGTTATCAATGCGGAACATTGTTCCATTCTGGGAGACATGCAGAGGCAATGTCTCCCAGAATGAGACACTGCGACCGACAGGAGTGCACAATACACTCTTGTCGGTCAAACTTCCGCGTTCAAGTTATCAATGCGGAACAGTGTCTCATTCGAGGAGCCCTCGAAAAGAACCTCACATCGACTCTCTCTTTCCGGCATCTTTACCGCATAGAAAACTGCTCGTTCGCAACTTTGTGTGCAATCTAAGAGATGATTGCGGTAAAGATGCCGGGAAGATTGACGCTGCAGCAGAGAATCACTACGGCTCTCTTTTACCGGCATCTTTACCGCATAGAAAGCTGCTCGTTCGCAACTTTGTGTGCAATCTAAGAGATGATTGCGGTAAAGATGCCGGGAAGATTGATGCTGCAGCCCCAGGCCGCACTCAGATTTCATCCCGCTACACAATTGTTCATCCAACAACTGTCATAGAGGTTGAAATTTTCGACCAGAAGTGAAACATATCATTTTTAAGACTGCGGCGCGCAAGCAAGTTTGAACCTTTCAAGGGTGATCAGTCCTTTACTCATTTCAAGACCTCTTGTTGCCTGATAAAACGATACTTCCTTCCTTGTGGGCCATTGAAAACCGCCCAAACCGTCACAACTTGCTTCCTAAATTTTATTTGCGGAGTAATTATCATGCATATTTTATCGGATAATAATATCAAAGCTAAATTTCATATTATTTTTTAAAGATATGCATTTTCTGTCTAAATTTATTTTTTCTGTTTCCAATTCACGGAATAATATTCTTACAAGCATATACATAGCTAATATATATCATTTTAATAATAATAAAACCAAAATGATGTATTCTTCATATAGTTATTTAAAATTCGTTAACTAGAATTGTATTCAGAACGAGGCAAAGTTAGGAGATACATAAAAACCAATAACTTGATAAGTGATACCTTTTTTCCTGATATATCTATATGTGTTAATGTCAAACACGATTTGGAAAAATTAATTCTTTAAATCGGCTTAAGAATAAGACCAACATCAAAAGCATGGCTAATAAATTAATAAATCAATGTTTAATTACCGATTCATGCATTTTTTTCAAAATTTCAAATTTCAAATTTTTGTTTCTCCAAAATATTAATTGTTTCCACTAGATTAACAAATAAACAATAAATTGGATTAATGTAATGCCCAATCATTCATTTTAAATTTTAGATTTAAAACAATATTTTTCTCCATATTATTATAACATGAATCGCTATGATATAAGAAATATATTTTCAATATTGAAATTGAAAAATCCTAAAATTTTTGAAATTCAATTTGAGTGTGATGATCGATAACATATATTTTTTAATTAAAATATTGTGTCGCTATCATATAAATATACTATTTCTAAATTAAAAATAGGGAAAAAGTACTATTTAATGATGAAATTGCAAATAATATCAATATATATATATTCATGCTGATATATTTTGGGAACAGATTGGCAATCACATAAATAGGATTGTGTTAGTTTGTCATGGATATAAAACAAATTTTCGAGCTAATTGAGCGAATTTAAATCACAAACACTTATATTTTCTATTACAAGGTATATTTGTAATATACAACCAGTAAATAGCTTTCTCTAACTTTTACCAGCTTAGATGATAGCAAATTAGATACGAATTTCATGACCCCTCACCAAATTCCACTAAAACATATACAGATAAAAGTACTAAGTGGGTATCATCTAACCCTAGAACTATAGCTCCTAGGACTCATCCTAGATGGTAGTTCTGGAAAAACACCTGGTTTTTGGGTATTCTTATTTCTAATTTCTTTTTCCATTTGACAAATAAAGGGTTATCCACACTTGTCAACTTATTTATGAATAAACATTGGAGTTTCTAAATTCCAAATTGATTGGAATTTCGAAACAACTTTTGTTTGGAAATTCCAAATAAAAAATATGAAGATTCCGATCACCTACCTGTTCATACTTTTGACGGTTTTTCCATATTCAGGGTTTTCATACTTGCGACGGTTTTTCCAAATTCTAACCGTTCATAAATAGGGTACCCTATTCATAAATTCCGTCGCCTTTATGAATATGTCTATTGGGGAGAAGCTTCCTAAACTTTTTAATCCCATAAATATGGTCATTATCTGGAATAACGAGTTAAGCGTCATATGTCACTTTTTGTACTAAGGAAACATCGACTTTATGCGTTATGACTTTTCGATGAGGAAACAAGTGTTCACGTATTATAAACTTCCTTATTCCAATAAACCGACCCTAAACATAATTAATTCTAAGCATGATAATGGTCTCTTTTCTATGATAACCAAATCAATTTGGTTATCATAGTAAAGCACCAAAAACTGGAATAGGAATCGGCAATATGGAATCATGAAGCAACTCGGATAAAATAAATATGGAACATTCATACATCCATTCCCTATTTTTAACCATATTATATTTTCAAACAAAATTCTCGTACTATTTTCAATAAAATTTGCATAACCTTGTTATTACTCTTAGGCGAAAGATGATTTTAATGTTAATTTTATAGAAGAACTTTTAATGCATAATAAAATAACCATTTCCTATAAATTTAGACTTAAAACGGTGACAATAAACAAGCTTTAGTCTAGAAATTAATTTTTTACTACTATAAATGCATCTTTATCTTTAATTAGAAAAAAATTTATCAATTTTATTATCCAGATGAAAAAAGAAGTGACATATGATATTTTATCTAATTTAAAATCTTTTATTGATTGTTTTTAAAAACTTTGCATTTTGTATGAGTATTTCATGTTTAAATCAGTATAAATACGCAAAATACTTATGAAATTCCAGCTGTTATTCAGTACTATTCATTTTTCAGCAATCATTAACTGTGGAAGAGTATGGCAAACGTTCGATAATGATCATGTATACTCAGATCATCAAGAATGAATTAAAGTCAATGCAGGGAAATGGATAATCCGATTAAAAACCCCAAAAAGGAAAAAGATATTATATGAACGTCTCACAAATGGTTAGTACTAAGCTCTTTCCTGATGATTGAATATTCTTTCATATTTTTGTATATTGTAAGGGATTTTCTCCCCAAATATATAATACCTTCCTTATAAACGATCTACTTTCTTTGAATACAAGTATAATTTTACATTTTAGGAAAAAAATTTATTTTTTCAAATTTATCTTATAACAATAGAGATTTATATATGTGTGTGTCAATATAGGCTTTAGTGGTATAAAATTGGGTAGATTTTGTTTTATTTTGAGTAAAAAATTCAAAAAATACTACCTCATTTTGCGTGCAAAGGAATAGTCAGAGCTATTTAATAACATTTTACGAATGAACTATGGAATTACTATAACTTTTGAAGAAATTTCAAAGTTAATAGAAGATTGTATTTTAGAAATCAGCTAAAAGAATGATGTGCATGCATCAAGCGTTAAAGTATCCTAATCAGAATATAGTAATATACAATGATTAGCAAAGCAGATTTGAATCGGCAAGAAGAGTTGCTTAAAAAATCAGTTGAGTCTTCTCTAGTTTCCACACTGCCTATTCCTGTTTAAGTGCGGTTATTCCTATTCCAGTTTTTGGTGCTTTACTATGATAACCAAATTGAATTGGTTATCATAGAAAAGAGACCATTATCATGCTTAGAATTAATTATGTTTAGGGTCGGTTTATTGGAATAAGGAAGTTTATAATACGTGAACACTTGTTTCCTCATCGAAAAGTCATAACGCATAAAGTCGATGTTTCCTTAGTACAAAAAGTGACATATGACGCTTAACTCGTTATTCCAGATAATGACCATATTTATGGGATTAAAAAGTTTAGGAAGCTTCTCCCCATTGTAATTTTCTGATTTTGAATAAAAGTCATCCCAATCTTTTCTAAAATTATATCCTGGCCCTTTATTTGTTGTCGTTTTATAAAATTTTAATGGTTTCCTTTCAAGGAAAGCTAAGAAAGTGAAAGTCAATTAAATGACAAAAAATATCAATATGTCAGAAATCTGCGACCCACGCCTTTTAATGTTCATGACATATTATTGGGCTAAAGTCAAATGTTAATGTTTGAAAAGTCAGTAGATTTTTTTAACCGTCATTTCTCATCTCAAAAAGTGACTAATATCTTTTGAATAAAAGTTAAATTTAAAAGCTCAATGTTAAGGGGTAGATTTAAACAATTAATTTAAAATTCATATAATTATTTCATCTTCAAACAAAAAAGAATTGATGAAATTTAATTTATTCACGATTACCATATAATAAGCTTATTCTAAAGGAAATTTCGTCCATTTTATGAATTCTAAATTATAATTTAAACAAAATTGATGTATATTGCTATGCTTTGTTGGAAAAATTGAATTTCAAAATAATTTGATATTCGAAATAGCAAAATAATAAACATATTTACTCAATTCTAATGATAAAACGATATCATATTATTTCTATTAAAAATTATCAATAAAATAAGATAAAATAACTTATTCTTTCTTTTCCTTCTTTTCTTTCTTCTCATTTTTGATAAATGATGGTGTAATATGAATTGCTGAAAGAAGAAGTGTGCAAATTAAAAACGGATAATGCATCGGAAGCTTCAAAATTGAATTTGCAATGAAAAACAGTATAAAGCAGACAACTGATAAGAAAACAATAAGTATATTCGAGTGTTTTGTTTCTTCGCCATCTAAAAACAATCTAGAAATGATTTCGATTATCATATCTGAAAGTGCAAGCGTAGAACAGATATTAATCTTAATGAATGGATTAAGTTTGGTTATTTTTCTCCAAAGTAAGCCGAAAAATCTGATGTAGTTTATTCCTTCTATGGTTCCCAAAGGAATTGTGAAATATGAAATAATTTTAGGGAAAATATCCTTAGGAGAGTAATTGATTAATGCATATATTACTAAAAATATTGGGAATTGGATCAAATTGTTCATTAATGGTGAATCAAATTTGATTGTAAGCGCAGCAACTTCTCTTGGACCAAAAATCATCGTAAAAGCAAGTAATAATTTGCAGATATGTGTGACAATGGTCTTCTTTTTCTTACTGTATGATTGCTGGATGATATAACTTGACCAAATCATTTGAACCACCGAAAATAATGGGAATTGGGAGAATCCAAATATAAGAGAATACAAATTAAGGTATCCCTTTTTATTGAAATGATAAAATGCTCGCTCTAAAAACGCTTGAATATCGCTATATCTCATTTTTTTTGAATTTTTGAAAAGTTATTTGGTTCTATGTCACTTTTAGATTTTTATTTATTATTCCGTGATTAAGTGTTATTTCTCTCAAAAATTCAATTATCACGGAAAAATAATTATATGATTTCATACAAAAATTCCATTCGAGAAGAATTTTGTATAAATGTCTAAAACAATTCGTTGCTGCTTCTGTTGTAAACAGAAATTCATCAAAAGTGACACCTCAGAAAAGCTAAAATATTGAATTTTTGGAACTTTTGATAGAGCACGTTTTTAAATATTAATTAAAGTAAATGTATATTTTGTAAAGATTCTTTTTAATAAAAAAAAATAAAATTTTGAAGAAGAACACAAAATCTTCTGAAAAATAATATCACATAAACTCATATTATTTTCTAATATATAACTATTTTATATAAAAATCAAATTCAATGATCTTAAAAGCGAAGGATAAACCTCAAAATTTACGAATATAATGAGTGGGAATATAATGCTTATCTATCATAAAACCATATGAAATATCAATTTTTGCTTTACGCCTAATTTTTGACGACAATTAGCAAAAAATGTTAAATGTTAACACTCAGTCCATTTGAATATGAAAAATAAAATTGACTTTGATTAAATGTTTTTATTTATCATGCAATTCTTCTTGCGACCAAAGAGTTGAATAAAAGTTCAAAAAATAAGATAGCTTAAAAAATAATATACGGTAGTGTTTACTAATAGATGAATAGTATATAAATTCTATTAAAATGGATTTGATCCAAAAAAATATATAAAATTTGATCATAAATAAAATCGTTTTAAATTACTTCTTCATTTAAATTACCCAGATTTGCTTTACTTTTACCACTCCCCATGTAATTTCTGGGGAAAACGATAATTCATTTTTTTTATGGATGAATAGATCGTTTTCCTAGAAAGGACCTCATATCTCTGGCTAAAAAGAGTGTCAGATCCTAAATAGATTATTGATCTAGTGTACAAATCCAATAAAAAGCCTATTTTTTGGCTTTTTTGGTGCTCATTTTTTCGAAGATCTACATGAATATGGGGAAACCATCGGATTTTTTTGGTTAACCCACATCTTCATGTAGTCTGGACTATCTTTCCTCGAAGGACCTCTTTACGGGTGTAAAAACTCATAAAGTTCTCAAAAGATTCATTCTCGATCTCCATGCTGAAAGAATTTACAATAAAAAAGAGATCTACGCATCAAACTACAGCCATAAATGAACTGAACCCCTAAAGCTCAGCTCTTAGTTTATCAAAAACGTCGAAATCCTTCTCATTGCAATCAAATTTTCTCAATAACTCATAAGAAAAATCGAATTTTGATTAAGCCGATGTTATAGGTATCACAAATACTACAACTTGAGCAATATCGAAATTGCCAGCAAAAGTTTGAAATTGCATTGCTCATATTTGTTTTGTAAACTAAAAATCTGCTTATATTATTCATTAATTTTTTATATATTATTCATATACTTTAATAAAACAATACTATTTCACCTTAAAAATGAATTTCATAAGTCAATATTATTTTTTTGAAAATGTATCAATTTTCGATTAAAACAACATGAGAATAAAATTTACGCAAAATTATTTTAAAAAATGGTTTTAAAAATTTACAATTGATGAAGAATAAGATTGGAAGAAGTTTTGAAGTTTAATTTTAAGAAAAAAAATTCGGATATTATTCATGGATCTAAGTAATCTGATATTTGAGTATCGGCACTATGCATAAAACATATATTTATAGTTTTTTTGGATTTTTATGATTTTAAATATATTCAAATTTGGCAATCCAATAGATTTTTAAAAAATAGGTAAATAAAAATAGATTACATATGCAGCAGATTTAGAACATGAAACAAATCTTATAGTGACCCAAAAAAAAATTCATGATCCAAAAAAGAAAAAAATTGGCTAAATGGGAATCAAACCTTGGCATAATGAATCATTATGTCAGATGTTTACACTACACCGGCAGTTCGAAAAATACCCTTGGTGGTTCTATTTAATAGCTACTCCCAACGATAGGCGGTGTCCCCAGCTTTCGAGAGGTGGTAAAAGTAAAGCAAATCTGGGTATAACAATTATTTTTGGTTTTATATTTTTTTGGATCAAATCCATTTTAATAGAATTTATATACTATTCATCTATTAGTAAACACTACCGTATATTATTTTTTAAGCTATCTTATTTTTTGAACTTTTATTCAAATCTTTGGTCGCAAGAAGAATTGCATGATAAATAAAAACATTTAATCAAAGTCAATTTTATTTTTCATATTCAAATGGACTGAGTGTTAACATTTAACATTTTTTGCTAATTGTCGTCAAAAATTAGGCGTAAAGCAAAAATTGATATTTCATATGGTTTTATGATAGATAAGCATTATATTCCCACTCATTATATTCGTAAATTTTGAGGTTTATCCTTCGCTTTTAAGATCATTGAATTTGATTTTTATATAAAATAGTTATATATTAGAAAATAATATGAGTTTATGTGATATTATTTTTCAGAAGATTTCATTCTATATGCCTATGAAAAGTACTCTCAAAACTAATTTTTCCTAATTATAATTAAATCTAGAATATTGTATTATGCTTAGTATTATTTCATTTTTCTCATTCAATTTAGAATTTACAAATGTCAAAAAATTGAGAGCTGTCACTTTTGATGAATTTCTGTTTTTTCACTTCATTCTAAAATAAGTTATTTTCGAAATCTTTCATAATTATATTGCGTATTTCCTTATATATGAAGCACATCCTGCTAATATAGACTATGCTATTCAAAGTAGTATAGAATTATGTTGAAAAAACTTGTAATATCAAAAAATAAACAGCAATATTAAAATTTACGATTCAAAATTTACAATAATTGCATCATATTAGATGCATATGTAGAAAATTATGATATATCTTAGCAAGAGCAACCTGAATTTGCATTGGATCCTTGTTCAGTTTGTTTTGATTTATTTAAGTCAACTTTAACAACAATAGCTTGCTTTTCTTCTAGTTCTGGTTCGTTTGATGTTGCAATTGGAACACTTGCAACTTGGTTGAATAATTCAGTAATATTGATAGGGGTGCGTGAGCTAGTCTCAATGTATGTTGCACCGATACTGTCTGCATACTTTTTAGCATCTTTAAATGTTACTTCTCTGTTAAGTTCTAAGTCAACTTTATTTCCTGCGAGGAAGAATTTAGGTTTAGTGATATCGGTGACAATCTGATACCATTTCTGAACATTGTCAAATGACTGTCTCTGTGTTATATCAAATACAAGGATAACAATTGAAACATTTCTGATATATGAAGGAATAATTGCATGAAACTTCTCCTGACCAGCTGTATCCCATATTTGTAAGCGGACAGGTACTCCATCAATATTTACATTCTTAGTAAAATAATCAATTCCAATTGTAGTTTTATAATCAGTTCCGCTTGAGTTATAAATGTATTGGTTAATAATAGAAGTTTTTCCTACAGCTGAATCACCAAGTAAAATAACTCTATGTATTCCTAAAGTCATAAATTTGAAAAAAAAATCTAAAAAAGTGACAAAATTTAAATCCTTCAAATGTCATTCAAGTTTATCTGTTCCCCACTGACAGTCGAAGGTCAAAGCACAAAAATCATATTCAAAACAGCCCATGTTATTTCTGGTCACACAACTACGAATTTGGAAAAGCAGGCTGAGTATCCAGAAATAACAGTACCAGAAGACAAAGCATTTGCTTGCAGTTTGACAATTATTGATAAAATTATAGATGATGATTGCTCCATTTACTTTTTAAGAGCCGTAGATAAAGAAATTGACTCTGCACCAAATTATTACGAAATTATCACAAATCCGATCGATATTAGTATGATCAGAAAGAATTTTCTAGGTAAGCAGTACCAGAAATTCGCTAATGTTGTCAATGATATTAAACTTTTAATCAATAATGCAACACAATTTAACCCAAAGCAACATGCTGTGCACCAGGCTGCACTAAAAATGTCATTCTTACTTCGTGACTTGCTCAATACTCTCAATAAGAACCCTTCAGAGCTCGAACCAAATCCAACAATTTCTAAAGAGGCAGAAAACAGAATTGCTAAAGCACAATCTCAACTCACTGAGCAAAGAAGAAAATCCCGTGAACGCCATAAAAAAGCAAATGATACTCCAAAGAAAACTCCAACAAAACTGGCAAAAAGGCTTTTACCAAGAGAATTCGAAGACCTCGCAAAGCATGTTAGAGAATTACCATCAGCTGCACTATTCGGAGTTCTCGAAATCATACAGAAAGGAAAATTTGATCCAAATAATTTACCTGTTGAAATAGATCTTCAATCACTGCCTGATGATGTTGTAGACAAGGTTAAAATATACGTAGAGAGTTGCTTGTCGCACCAGGACAAGAAACCAGTGATGTACGCGTGGCAGCCATACGAACCAAAGGAATTACTAGCATTACAGGAGCAATATGCTACAGAATTGTTAACATGGAAATGCCCACCGAAAGAGGCAGAAATTCAAAGAGAAATCGAACAAGATATTTAATTTTTCTTTATCTTATTATTATTTTTATATTAGAAATAAACAATGTAATTAATATTCTTAACTATAAGCTTTGCAACCATTTTCTATCAAAATTCAAACAAAATTTTTAACAATTTACGAAATATCAATATCATTTAAGCACATCTTAACTTGTATTATCTAGAAATCGCAGTTTTAAATAACATTTTTGCTGAAAAACAATTTTCAAATCACAATTTCTAAGTAAAATAGCAATAAATGCCTATTGTTACATGGCAAATATGTTATGTTAACTATTACGAAACATATGTGTCCTCTTATATTTATTCTTACCTTACTTGATTTCTTCAATCAAGCACCAAATTTACGAACTTTTAAATATAGTTTACCTTCGATATAAACAATATTAACAATAATGTTAAAATTCTTTCTACTTAGCTTGAGAACAAATATCTCAAAAAAAATCAAAATTTTACTATGGTGTTGTAAACGAAAACGATAAAAACGGTTTGACAGAAAAAGTGACACTTTACATGGCAAAAAATAGAGTCTTACTTTTGAGATACTTGAGATTGAAACTGAATCTTATGAGGCGGTGATCTTGAATCACTACCTCATAAGGTTCAGTTTCATATAAAATTTGTTGCAATTTGTTATTCTTTTGCAATTATTTCTTATAAGATTTTACATCTTTTAGCGGGGAATGTTTGTTATCATGTATATATTATAAATATCTACACGATAACGAACATTCCTCGCTAAATTGCTGAGAAACTTTGAGGAAATGTCGAACAATTTCCTCAAAGTTTCTCAGATTTATATAGATCACTAGAGTCCCCTAGGCACTGATTCTGGTTCAGTACCTAGGAGGCTCTAGTTCTCTAACGAACTGATAAAATGTTTTTAAATTTTTGGATATTGCTACCTGTGAAGCACTGACTTCAAGTCAGTACCTCACAGGTAGCAATTACATTGAAAGATGGGAGAAACTTTGTCCGAATGTTAAACTATTCGGACAAAGTTTCTCCCATTTGTAGTGGAGATGGAAGGCTTTGAGGTATATTGTATTAATATATACCCCAAAGCCTTCCATCTCCACTTGAAAGTTCCAAAACTTTGGGTTAATAGTTTGCAATTAACCCAAAGTTTTGGAACTTTCTAGAAGGAATTGCAGGGTAAGAGGTACATATTCATACTATGTACCTCTTACCCTCCAATTCCTTCCTTAACATAAACAAATTTGGAGTTAATTGTTTGCAATTAACTCCGGGTTTGTTGACCTCCAAATGAAAATGAAAGGGTAAGAGGTATATAGTGACCCTATATGCCTCTTACCCTTTCATTCTCATTAATTATGGGAGAAACTTTGGCCGAATGTTAAATTATTCGACCAAAGTTTCTCCCATTTTTTGAAGGGATTGGAGGCTATGAGATACTGATGCAATGTCAGTACCTCATGGCCTCCAATTCCATCCTGAAACTGATCAAAGTGGACCTTACATGCATTTGAAATTTGCCATGTAAAGTCCACTTTTTGAGAGAGGATTTGACTGCGTCAAATCCTCTTTTTCGTTTACGAGAATGGAAATGATAGATAAAGCAGATAAAACTGGAAAAATTAATAACAAAACATTTAGAATTATCAAAACAATAAGTTAAAATGGAATATCTTGTTTGGCCTGTTTATTAGGTATGGCAGTATACTCTAATAGTTTGACCTTCATCTTAGAAAAGTACTCCCACTCATGACAATCGCATCTGTTTATGCCCAGACCTTCAATTATCTTCAACATCGCTAAATCTGGTCGTAGAGTCTCTGCATCAACACGTTCGGCGTAGGCTTTGAATTTATATTTTTGGTTATGCTCAAAACACTTTCCAACGAATGTCCAGTTTGATAATGATCTTGTTGCTTTAGATTTCTTGAAAATTGGGTATATTAATCTTGAAATGAATGATAAGATCCAGAAAAGTAAAGCAGAAAACCTTCTCTTGAACTCTAATCTGTGACGAACAGAAAATCCGTCTAAAGGAACGGATTCTTGATCAATGCACCATGTATTATCAATATTTGTTGGTGCAGGAAGCGGAGTTTCTGTATGAGAGATGATCCAGAAGTCAATTAAACTAAATCCGCTAACAGTCTGAATTGCTTCCATTTTTGTTGAAACAAATGGTAGGCGATTAAAAGCTGCTTCAATTACTGCCTGTGGATATGAAAAGCAACCGTCAACAAATTTGATTTGGTGTTGGCGTGCGATTTCTTGGATTTCTTCAGTGGAATATTTTGGTGAACATGAAACAACTACATCTGCTAGCGATAGGTCATTTGCTAGTTGCGATAAATTAGTAAAATTCATTGCAATTTGGTAAGGAGGAAGAATTGTTCCTTCTTTATAGAGTCCTGTTGGAACGGCAACGTTTAAATAATGAAAATGGTCGTTGATAATGCGAATAATTGATTGGCCAAGTTCAGTATCTGGTGCTAATATTAAGAGATTAAATCTTTTCGGCATTAAAAAGTGACAATTTTCATTTTTATTTTCTTTCCCCTGGAATTTCTATAAAACTTCCATTCAACTTCATGAAAATGAACTCAATGGACTTCAACTGCATCTGATCAAAATGTTATTCAAAATAGCTTTCCATTCTGCAAAACTATGCTTGGGAATTAAAATTTCCTTCACGCAATGCATGAGATAATGGTAGTTGAATCATTTCACATAAAATGTCCCTTTTTGGAAGAAATGTTAGCTATATAATAACATGATTTTTGGGATTTTAAAAAAATATATGAAATAATATGAGATAAATAACAATTTTAGTCAAGAATTTAAATAGCATATTAATAATGGTTCTGTTGAATCATTTTTAATGGAAAATTGTTAAAATCAATGAATAAAATTTGAAATTGAAAGCCAAAATCAACGAATCATATGGACAATACATGAGTTTTCTGGTGTAGAACTTTGGTTGAAGATTGACTCGATTTTGATGAAAAAATTAAATGATTTCAAATTTTTCCATTCAAATTGAAAATTGTATTAAATAAGTTGAGTCATTTTTGGTTATAAGTATTCTTATTGTATTTGTGAAGGATTTGGAAGAGAAATTTCTGGTACATCGCCTTCTTCTCCTTCATTATCTTCCTCGTCGACTTCTTCATTCAGATTTATGAAGTACCCTGCAATGTGAACTGTTCCTTTGCCACGAACTGACAGTGTATAAGAGTCGTCTTCTGGTATTTTAAATTGAAGATTAAAGTGTTCTTTTCTTTCAGGAACCAATATTGCGATAATAGTTGGTTCGTCAGATGTATTGCTTTTTGTTAGAATAATACGAGTTGGTTCGTTTTTAAATTCTTCCGGAAATTCGGCCAAGCAAGCATTGGAAATCACCAAGACTTTATCCTCAGGGACATTAAATTTAAATTGTTTTTCTGGTGAAATTATTGTGCTCCAGAATTTCGAAGATTCCATATTTTTAATTCTTGTCACTTTTTGAAATCATGAAAAATTACATAATAATCAAACTGAACAAAATGAAGCAAAATCAAGTTAAAATTGGTTACCCAATGAGACTATTTTAATCTTTTGATTGTGCTCGCTTTGTGAACCCCTAGTTTCACGTTCAAAATCCTTTATAATGACCATTGGAATGAATTGCAAATTGCAAGTAAAGTTTTTTTTTTTTGTAAAGTTCCAATGTATTTTTCATACTTTCGAGTCTTGAAACATGAAATTTGCTTGTCAATATAATGTATTTACATTCTAAAAGTTCCTAAAATTCAAAATTAAATTCGAATCATACTCTGAAACATTGCATTCCGATCTGTTGTAGTACCAAAGAACTGTATCTTAGTGCATGGATTAAACTGTATGACTAGTAGGAAAAAACGCATTTTTATATTAATTTGAAATTAAAAAACATGAGAAGGCATTTGGATGAATGTAAATTTTCTTAGACAATGTATGTGTTAAAATAACAACAGTGCTTTTCCATTGCTAATATTAGATAATTTAATAATCTGTCTATCAGCAGAAACGAAAGTAATATTCATGAAAAACTAATCGAATTAGATAGAAAAGTTTATTTTATGATTACCATTTTGATGCATATAGTTATTAATCCACTAAAGGCTGATTCACATTGTCAACTATAGTATGATATGATTCAGCTCTTCTATATGTAAATACAAAGAATATTATCGACATCAAAAGACATGAAAGATCTTGGATTGGATAGCAAAATAGTATTTTTGATGGTTGGGCTGGATATTTCCAATAGAAAATTGCAGCCGATGAGAGCAAAAATATTGCTTTAACTATTGGAATAATTGTCACCAATATCTTTTTCTTGAAAATAAACAAAAGTTGATTTGTAATAATAGTTATTGGTTCCAAGAATGCTAAGAAGGACAATTTAGGCGCAACATAAGGAGCCATTTCTAATATATTATCAGAAATCCAAATCACGAGTATTTTCTTTGGGAAAAATACCATTAATATGCAAACAGTGACTCCAATAATTGCAGGCATGATTATTGAACATCCTGCAAGTTTATACATTCTTTTAATGTTTCCTTTATGAAAAGCATAAGTTCCTGAAGGAGCCAAACCAGAAATAGAACCTTGCATAATAGCCGAAAGCATTGTTAATACTTTTCCCGCAGCTGAAAAACAAGTAGAAAATTCGGTGAGATGGCCTTCATTTATTGCCGCTTTCACTAGGATTGCAGAAGTCATAATTGGAATTACTACTCCAATTGTTATCTGGAAAATAACAGGAATACATAATTTCAGGAAATCCCAAAAATGAGATGAAAACTTCTTAATGAAATGTGTAAGCTTTGGTTTTGCCGAAAATTTTCCACAAAATGCAGCAATCAAAAGAGAAACTGAAGCAATGATACTAATTAATGATTCTGAAAGTCCCATAGCATTTATCGGAGCTTTAAATACAAAAATCATAAGAGGATCCAAAGCAAGCTTTGATAATAAAACAATTATTTGTATTGTTGCTGCTAATGTTGCTCTTCCTTGAGCAATAATTAAAGAACAGCATGATCGAAAAACCGCTTCAAAAAATATTGTCATGTTCATTGGAAAAAGATACATTTGTGCGGTTGATATATATCCATCTGGCATTCCTATTAAGGGCAGTATAGCAGGAATAAGGAAAAACATGATAGGAGGCATAATAATTCCAATAATAAAACAATATCGAATTATGTCTGCAAATAATTGTGCAGTTTCTTCTGATTGATCTTTAGCAATTAGTTCACTAAACTTTATTATTGCAGGCCCTGTATGAAGCTCGCAAATAGCTATGAAAAGAGATTTTATTGAACTACTTATTGAAACAATAGTAACTCCTTTGTTTTGAAATCCCTTATGTATAAATATTAAATCAATTGCATCTTGTAAACTATTGAAAATTGAAAAAATGGCGTGTGGGCAATTTTAACGACATTTTTTAACGCGATACGAGCGTAAGTCCATAGAATGTGTTTTGAGGGAAACTATAAAAATCCAAAATAGAGGTAAGTGCGCCATTATTACCTGCGAAGTTACATGGAATAAATCGAAGAGTAAGTACAAGATGATCTTGCATCTTTCCAAGTAAATGAAATTTATTAAAATTAAGATGATAATATTCATTTATAGTATGTGTATGATGTGTTTTCAAAATTTCTTCAAATAAAATGCAATGATAATTTTTGAATAATTTTTCTTGTGTATATTTCATTTTTTATTAGTGAAAATATCATTACATCAATAAGGAAAGCACAATCCAAATTCATATTAGTTAAATTAATCTACGACCAAAAGCCCGCCAAATTTGAATTAAACACGTTTTTTGATAAAAGTGTCATTTATGATTGTTGCATTTAGGGATAGTAGCCAATTTCGGTACCAATCTTGAAAATGCCTCGCCATGCCCGCAACATGGAAGAGAAGTATTGGTCTGATATTGAACTATCATCAATGCAAACTGAATCACCTTGTCATGTTGCTCCACAGATACAGCAGTCTGAGTCCCTCGCTTGGTCATGTTGCTCCACAGATACAGCAGTCTGAGTCCCTCGCTTGGTCATGTTGCTCCACAGATTCAGCAGTCTGAGTCCCTCGCTTGTCATATCACACCAGATAAATAAAAGTTCAGCTTCACAATACTTACCTGCTCTATTATGTGATTTTTTCCAACTATCATATGTTAGTTGTTGTATTGAAGTTGAGTATGAAAGAATAATGTTGCAAGATTTCTCACCAAATAAAAAATCATTAAAGAACATTTTATTCTTTGAAAATGTATTTATGTTGAAAATAATGGAAGATGTTATTCTTGTTAGTTAGTTTACGAAGTTCTTTTGGAAGAAATTTGTTGAATATCTTTATTTTGAATGGGAATGAACTTAGGAAATTCACCACGAGCTCTTGAATAGGCAGAATTGTAATGGATGATTAGCTATGATGGGATTATACGATGTTGGTTTGTTCTAGAATGATTAAAAAGTTTTCAGGTAATGTGCTGATGCATTACAAAAGATGGAAATTATTTAAATAATAACATAGTTTAATAATATTCAATTTAACTGATTAAATATTTGAAAAATTATCTAATTAGGATTTTTTTAGTTTGAAAAGTTAATTTTAGGCATAGTGTATAAAATAAAAAGCATCTACCGTGTCAGAAAATCGAAAAGTTTTCCAAAAAAATCATAAATTTCAAATTTTGAAATAAAAATTGGTACTTTTTAATATGTAAAATAAGAAAATGTATTTTTTTTGAAAAATTTAGATAGAGTAGTTCTCTTTGTATCTAAGAGGAGTGAATTTTTTTTTCTTTAACAAGATCTGGAAACGAACAATTGAAATTTATTTTATCAATATCAGGAGGAAAAGTTAAGATTCAATATGGGATTGGTTGGGTGTAAGGTAGAGGAACTATTGTGTGATAGTTGATGCTTAGAGTTGAAATTGAAGGAAAATAAAACGATAAAAATAAAATGAATACTACCATGGACCCGTCAGTAATAGGTAGTGAAGAGAATAAATCATCCTTACCTCATACAACAACTCATCCTTAGCTGAGACAACAAGTCATCTTTACCTCAGACAACAACTCATCCTTACCTCAGTCATTGACTCATCCTTACCTCAGACAACAACTCATCCTTACCTCAGTCATTGACTCATCCTTACCTCAGACAACAACTCATCCTTACCTCAGACAACAACTCATCCTTACCTCAGACAAAAAGTCATCTTACCTCAGACAAAACTCATCCTTACCTCAGTCATTGACTCATCCTTACCTCAGACAACAACTCATCCTTACCTCAGTCATTGACTCATCCTTACCTCAGACAAAACTCATCCTTACCTCAGACAACAACTCATCCTTACCTCAGACAAAAAGTCATCCTTACCTCAGACAAAACGTCATCCTTACCTCAGTCATAGACTCATCCTTACCTCAGTCATAGACTCATCCTTACCTCAGTCATAGACTCATCCTTACCTCAGTCATTGACTCATCCTTACCTCAGTCATTGACTTATCCTTACCTCAGTCATTGACTCATCCTTACCTCAGACAAAAAGTCATCCTTACCTCAGTCATTGACTCATCCTTACCTCAGTCATTGACTCATCCTTACCTCAGTCATTGACTCATCCTTACCTCAGTCATAGACTCATCCTTACCTCAGACAAAAAGTCATCCTTACCTCAGTCATTGACTCATCCTTACCTCAGTCATTGACTTATCCTTACCTCAGTCATTGACTCATCCTTACCTCAGACAACAACTCATCCTTACCTCAGTCATTGACTCATCCTTACCTCAGACAAAAAGTCATCCTTACCTCAGACAAAAAGTCATCCTTACCTCAGACAAACTCATCCTTACCTCAGTCATTGACTCATCCTTACCTCAGTCATTGACTCATCCTTACCTCAGTCATGACTCATCCTTACCTCAGTCATGACTCATCCTTACCTCAGTCATTGACTCATCCTTACCTCAGTCATAGACTCATCCTTACCTCAGTCATGACTCATCCTTACCTCAGACAACAACTCATCCTTACCTCAGTCATTGACTCATCCTTACCTCAGTCATTGACTCATCCTTACCTCAGTCTAAGGAATATATATAAGAAATTATAGTGTTGGATGTCTCTGAGAGAAACTGAGTGTTGGATGTCAAAGAGAGACTGAGTGTTGGATATCCGTCTCTTATATATATTATTTCACATATTAATTAATTTATACCCACGAATAAAATCTTTGATAACTCAATGAATACTTGTCCAAATCTGATTTTCCAGTGATTCTGAATCTACACCGGCCAGAGATTCATATTCGTTGCCAAATCGCGAAAATATTCATTATTGACAAAGTTATATCTATAATAGTATTGAACTAAAATATGGTTTTGAAAATTTAATATAATAAAATTTTTTGAATTTAAATGTGTAAAGTTCTGGTAAGGATTAATTAAAAAGAATAATTGAGTAATTGAGTGATTATTGATAAGTTAGGGAGAAAATTTCACATACATTGAAGTAAATATATGTTATTGCAAGAGTTAGGATGAGTCTATGACTGAGGTAAGGATGAGTCTATGACTGAGGTAAGGATGAGTCAATGACTGAGGTAAGGATGACTTTTTGTCTGAGGTAAGGATGACTTTTTGTCTGAGGTAAGGATGAGTTGTTGTCTGAGGTAAGGATGAGTCAATGACTGAGGTAAGGATGAGTCAATGACTGAGGTAAGGATGAGTCAATGACTGAGGTAAGGATGAGTCAATGACTGAGGTAAGGATGAGTTGTTGTCTGAGGTAAGGATGAGTATATGACTGAGGTAATGATGAGTCTATGACTGAGGTAATGATGAGTCTATGACTGAGGTAAGGATGAGTCAATGACTGAGGTAAGGATGAGTCAATGACTGAGGTAAGGATGACTTTTTGTCTGAGGTAAGGATGAGTCAATGACTGAGGTAAGGATGAGTCAATGACTGAGGTAAGGATGAGTCTATGACTGAGGTAAGGATGAGTTTTGTCTGAGGTAAGGATGAGTCAATGACTGAGGTAAGGATAAGTCAATGACTGAGGCAAGGATGAGTCAATGACTGAGGTAAGGATGAGTCTATGACTGAGGTAAGGATGAGTCTATGACTGAGGTAAGGATGAGTCTATGACTGAGGTAAGGATGACTTTTTGTCTGAGGTAAGGATGACTTTTTGTCTGAGGTAAGGATGAGTTGTTGTCTGAGGTAAGGATGAGTCTATGACTGAGGTAAGGATGAGTTGTTGTCTGAGGTAAGGATGAGTCAATGACTGAGGTAAGGATGAGTCTATGACTGAGGTAAGGATCATTCCATTCCACATATATCACAACACCTACACCTTACACAACCCACAAATCATCTCCAAATTTCTTTTCAGAACTTCTTTTAAATGAGCATTTTTCAATCAACAAACATCCCTTCTTTTGCCCGCACAAAAGGTTTCAGATGTTATATTGTTCCAGAAACTCATGAAACAAAGTTCTAAATGAAAATCCACGGAATGAGCTTGTTCAATAGCATTATCAATAAAAAGAAATCTATGGTATCGCCCGCACAATACCAAAAGATTCCATTTTGTAATGAATGATTACTATGATCCAAGGATGGTTCCGTAGACTTGAAAATTTTAAATTGGAGGTTTAATTCAAATTTGGCGGGCTTTTGGTCGTAGATTAATTTAACTAATATGAATTTGGATTGTGCTTTCCTTATTGATGTAATGATATTTTCACTAATAAAAAATGAAATATACACAAGAAAAAATTATTCAAAAATTATCATTGCATTTTATTTGAAGAAATTTTGAAAACACATCATACACATACTATAAATGAATATTATCATCTTAATTTTAATAAATTTCATTTACTTGGAAAGATGCAAGATCATCTTGTACTTACTCTTCGATTTATTCCATGTAACTTCGCAGGTAATAATGGCGCACTTACCTCTATTTTGGATTTTTATAGTTTCCCTCAAAACACATTCTATGGACTTACGCTCGTATCGCGTTAAAAAATGTCGTTAAAATTGAACCGCGCCTTTATCGCAATTGAATAGTATCCCATTTTTTCATTTCAAAAACCTCGTATCATATTTACATTTTTAAATCCTTTTAAGTGGTTGATTCAGATCCTTTTTAAACAATAAATTTTTTGAATTCTTCTAAAAATTATAGAACAAAAATTAAGATCCCATATCTATAAAATGGAATATGTGCTGTTTTTCTATCCCGAAATGTGGTTTTGTTAATAATTGGATCCGGTGATTGCCTATTGAAAAAGGAGGTTAATGATCTCAAATTATCGGAACGATATGATTCTTATTTTCCAAAAGGTATATATGATTACTCCCAATAACTTTTCATAATGAAGAGGTTAATTTTACAAACACAAAATTGAATTCTATTTTAAAAATTAAGAGGCCGTTAGATATTTTCAGAGGAGAAAAATAATTTTTTATATATAGTTTAATGGAATTAATTTGGACAATTTAGATTTCTCGAATAGAATTATAATGCAAAACAAAACATAATAACCAACAAGAAACAAAGAATTCATTTAAAATAAATCAATTAACAAAAATTATATTTTTTAAAAAAATCCTAATTATTTATTCTAATTTGTTGAGATAAGAGGATTAGAGTTGAGTGTAAGATAGTCTTCTTTCTTCTTCTTCTGGATGCAGCAGAATACTGCAAGAACTGCGATTGCAGCGACAACAACTACTGATGTGATACTTACAATAAGGATGACCTTCTTTTCTTGCTCTTGTTGTCATCGACTTTGATGTAGCCATCATCATCGATTTCATTGTTTGTATGCTTGTAGTCGACTGCATTTTCGAGGATGTAGATAGAGTTGAATTCGTATTCAGAGTTGCTGAGTTCGAATTGTTTCAATGTGACAAGTGTAGCTTGTCCTGAAGTGTATGAGGCGTTAGAGATAGAGCCATTGATGTAGACCTTGAGCATTGTGTTTGGTTCTCTAACGAGTGTGACGTTTGTATTGTCAGTGATAAGTTCAGATGAGCGGACAGAAACCTTTCCGACTGTGAGAACGATGTGTCCGTTATCTGATTCGACGAAGACAGAGTTGTTCTTGTCTTCGAGGATGACGCCGTTGTAAGATGTGACCTTCTTGATGTTCATCTTAATTGTGAAGGCGTCTGTTGTGAACTGTGTCTCGGAAACAACCTGCTTGTTGCTCTTGATTTCGTTGATATGAGCAACCTTTGATCCGGCAACGAAGAGGATGGATGTGTTGGAATTAAGCTTGTTGCCAAACTGATCAGAGACACCATCTAAGTTGATGACATAAACAGTGTTGTTCATGAGTGGTTCAACTGTGAGATTGACTGTTCTTAAGTCAGCCATGAGAACTGCATTTGTGATCTTCTTGTTCTTGATGTTGTAGTTCTTGGCATCAAGAATGACTCTCTTGTTGAATTTGATCAAGATTGTTGTCTGGTTAACAACCTTTGTAACTTCAACAGCTGGAGCAGATGTATCCTTCTGGGCCATGAAATCGATGATTCTGCCTTCAAGTGGTTCAGTTCGAATTCGATTTCATCACCGTAATGGTATTCCTTGTTCTCTTCAAGTGTCTGCTTTGTGTTGAAGTTTAAGACTGTTCTTGTGTAAGCAGCCTTGAGAGTCTCTGGAACACCAATGTTTCTGTCAAGTTTGAGCTTGTATGTCTGCTTTGTTCCTGATGGGTTTCTGATGGCAATTGTACCATCTGTTTCATTCCATGAGGAGTAGCCGTAGACATTGCCTAACCTTGGATCAGCACCGAATCTCTGGGAGTTCTGGAGGACATCGAATCTTCCTTCGACATACTTAAGTACTTCAGCGTTAACATACCACTTTTGTCCTTCATCGAGCATTGAGTATGTGTAATACATTTCGAAGAATGCATTACCACGCATTGCGCAGAAGTAGAGGAAGAGTCTGAACTGATCGTCGTTAAGAGAGTTCTTGAGTTCAGTGCCATGCTGTCCATAGATTGGATCGTGGTTGTACAAACATCTCTGTGGGAACTGGAATCCGAGGTAGTTAGAGAAGTTGTAGTAGCAGGCATCACGATATGTGAGCATCTGATCGGCTAATGAGTCCTTGCCTGTGATGTCGATATAACCAACATCGCCGGAGACCTGGAACCAAACAGAGTTAGCCCACTGGAGATGGAATGGTGATGGGTTGACGAAGCATGTGATTGAGATCCATAAGTCGTAAACAGCGTTATCGAGGGCGGTTTGTCTGAGTTCTTCGAAGACCTTCTCGTATCTCTCCCAAAGATCAGTGTAGTAGTAAGCGCCGTTTGGACCACCAACCATGTGATCGTGGGTAGCAACTGGGCAATCAGCAGATGCGAAGCCATCAAGCTTGAAGTAATTGATTCTGTATGTTTCGAGCCAGTTCTTGAGGAAGTTCTTCAAGTTCTCGATGTACTTGTGGGAGCCAACATCGACATCATTTGAGTTAGGGTTGAAGTAGCCCTTTCCTGCATCTTCCATCATATGGCCGAATGCATCTGGAGAGCTGTAGCCACCTCTTGGGCCGAGCCAAACACCAAAGCCAGATCCGATCTTGTGAGCAAAGTCAGATGGTTTAGTGAGGCCTTCTGGGAACTTAGAGTTGAATTCCCAGAATCCATTCTGGTTGTCTGTTGTTCCGGAGTATCCTTCGTTGTGAACATGGTACTTCTCGGAGTTGTAGTTGTTCCAGCCATCATCAACAACGAATGAATCAAGTGGTGGAACACCATGTTGTGTGCAGCCCTTTTCGATCTCCTTGAATGATTCGAGGATATTTGTTTCGTTGATATTGAGCATCCAGTCATACCATGAGTTATACTGCTTGCGGAACTTTGTGACAACAGAGATATCCTTGATGTAAGAGAAGAAGTCGTTACATATAACTTCTAATCTTGTTGATCTTGCAGCACCTAAAACTGTCTTCCAGCATGTGTAGTAGCCATCACTATCTAATGTTAATGTGTTGAATGGCTTGCCGGAGTAGTATCTAAGTCTTGCAACACCATCTTCAATTGCGTTGTCGCTGAGTGGGAATCTGCAGCCTGTGAAGAATGATGAAATGTAGACTGGTTGACCAAGATTGATGACGAATGGTGTTAAGCCGGAGTCAGCATCTTGTGGTCTGATTGGATGTGTCCATGAGTTCTTCTGCATCTCGTTGGAAACATCGAAGTGTTCGAGATCAATGTGGGCAATTCTCAATCCAGATCCCTTTGGAAGGTGGATTCTGATTGTCTTCTCCATGTAGTGCTTGCCAGCTGGGATTGTGTAGTTGACTGTAACGTTGATATCGATATCAGCGAACTTGTATGGCTTGAAGATGAGTGACAAGTTCTGAGATGTGCAATCGCTCTCCATAACGTAATGATCTAATGTGAAAGCAGAGGATGGCACATCAAGGAATGGTAATGGAACTGGTGTTGGATATAAGTAGAATTCTTCGCCACTACCGAACTCACCAGCAGAAGAAATGACGGAAAGAACAGCGACAAATCGTGCTTCCATTGGCTGGGTGAGGTTAACATAAACTGGAAGATGACCTAAGTACTTTAATGTGCCCTTGAGTGTGTACTTGCGAGCACTGACCATTGAATCTAACTCTTCCTTTGTCTTGGCAGCATAGAACTCATAGTTCTTGATGATGCCGTTATCACCACTTTGTCTTGGTGTGTAAGAGAAAGCAGCAATTGTCTGAACAGAGCCCATATCGATTGTGAACTGGAATGGATCTGTGTTCTTAGCTCTGTCATCATGGCCACCTTCTCCCCTGTCATCATACTTAGAATGCCAGATATTGCCTTCAATGTCATCAATCAAGTTGTGAGCGGCGCCTTCGTAGCCTTTCTTGTTTGTTTCTTCAGAGTTGGCTGTGATTGACCAATTTGTTCTGTCAAGTGGCTCGACTGCAACCATTGTTGGATAAGCGTTGAGAGAGTTTGCATTATCTGGATATGCCTGAATGTTGAAAAGGAACTCTGGTGTTTCTGGTTCTGGTGAGAAGACAGAGTTGTCTCTGTTGTTGATGATTTCTGTTGTCTCGACATGGCCGAGCTGAATCTTGAATGAACGTTCGATGTTCTCGTTTCCGAAGTGGATTTCTTCAGCAACTTCATGATAGCCAAGGCCATAAGTGAATACTCTGGCATAACGGAATACGATATCAGTCTTGCCCATTACGAGATCCTTGATTGTGTATGTGAGCTTAGCATTCTTATCGAAGACAGAGTTAGAAATGTCCTGATCAATATAGACATTGATCAAACCATTGCGCTCTCTGACGCATGTGATGGTCTTTGTAGCAGCGGTGATCTTATCAGAAGATGTAACAGTAACACCATCAACTGTGAATTTGACAAGTCCGTTAGAAAGTTCGACCTTGATCAAGCCAGACTTGTCCTGAACAAGAACGCCATTTGTGACACCCTTGAAGTCACGAACACTGAGTCTGATTGAGAATGAATCTGTTTCAACAGAATCCTTTGTGAGTGGCTGCTGCTGAGCTGTGAATGAGCCGCGGAGAACACCCATTTCACCCTTATGATAATAGATGAATGGAACATCTGTTGTTAACTTGTTTCCAAAGATATCGGCAACACCATCGATGTGGAGTGTGTATGATGTACCGGATGTCATTGGAGAAACAGTGATTGTAACTGTTCTGAGATCAGCTCTGATCTTTGTTGAGACAACAGAGATGCCATTGTTGATTGTGAATGTAGCCTTGGAGAGATCGATGTATTCATCAAATCTGACATCGATTTCGGTTTCACGAGTAGACTTGACAACTTCAACCTTTGGAGCTGTTGTATCGAGTTCCTTATGGAATTCGTAAACTCTGTACTCACCTGGGTTGAGTGTAACTTCAAGAACATCACCATACTTGTAGACCTTGCCATTCTCGCATTCTTCGAAGTTTGTGGTTCTGTGGGCCATTCTTGTGCTTCTGTATGTAGCTGTGATGCCTTCTGTGACACCAATAGCACGATCTAATGTGATAGAGAACTTGGAAACCTTGCCGCCTGGGTTACGGATACCGATGATGCCGTCCCAGTCATCCCAAGAAGAGTAACCGTAGACATCACCACTGGATGGGTTGCCACCGAATCTCTGTGAGTGCTGGAGAATGTGGTGGTTCTTTTCAGCCCATGAGAGGACATCACCATTGATATACCACTTCTCACCTTCATTCATCATTGTGTAAGAGTAGTACAACTCAACGAAAGCTGTACCTCTTAACATGCATCCTGTAAGGAATGTTCTGAAGTAGTCATCATTCATTTGTCCCTTGAGTGGTGAGCCAGTCTTGCCGTAGATTGGATCGTGGTTGTAGATATTGTTAGCTGGGAACTGTAACTGTCTCTCATCATAGTAAGAGTAGTAGCAGCCATCACGATATGTGAGCATCTGGTCAGCGTAGTTTTCGTTCTTGCCGATGTTGACATAGCCAGCATCACCAGAAATCTGGAGCCAGACGGAGTTAGACCACTGAAGATGGAATGGAGAAATTGATGTCCATGTTGTAGCAGAAATCCAAAAATCATCAAGACCGACATCAATAGAAGCCTGTCTCATTTCTGTGAAGGCATCAATATATCTCTCCCACATGTCTGTGAAGTAGTACATGTTATCTGGGCCACCTGTCATGTGATCATGTGTTGTGTTTGTGCATGGATTATCCGTGAAACCATCGAGCTTGTAGTAGTTGACCTTGTAATCTCTGATAAGGCTGACTAAGAAGTCTTTGAGCTTCTCAATGTACTTGTGTGAGCCAACATCGATATCATCGTTGCGAGCATTGTAATAGCCGTTGCCAGCATCTTCGATCATTTTGCCGAAATCGCCAGCTGTAACGTAGCCACCTCTTGGGCCAAGCCAAACACCGAAGTTGGAAGCAATCTTTCTGGAATAGTCAGACGGTGGTGTGAACTTGTGTGGGAACTTGTTGTTGAATGTCCAGAATCCATCTGTGTTGTATGTTGTGCCAGAAATATCTGGTTGCCAGACATGATACTTATCTGAGTTATAGTTATTCCAGCCATCATCAATAACGTATGAATCAAGTGGTGGAATACCATGCTGTGAGCAGCCCTTTTCAATTTCTTTGAATGAAGCCATAATGTTCTCTTCATTGATGTTGAGCATCCAGTCATACAATGAGTTGTATTGTTTTCTGAATGGAGCTGGAAGAGCGATGTCGGAAATGTAGGAGAAGAAGTCGGCTCTGACAACTGGAATTCTTGATTCACGGGCAGCACCGATAACTGTCTTCCATGTCTCGTAGTAGCCTTCGGAGTTAAGCTTGAACTGGTTGAACTTCTTGCCTGTGTAGTATCTTACTCTGGCAACGTTTGTATTCTCGAACTTTGTATGAGCATATGGGAATCTGCAGCCAGCGAAGAATGTGTTGATGTAAATTGGCTGGCCAAGGTTCTTGAATGTGTTCTCAACAAATGGAGAGCCCCAAGAGAGCTTAAGGTCATCGTCACTCACGACGAAGTGGAGGAAGTCGATATAGTGGATAACATGGTTTGGATCACTGGCCTTGAATTGCATGTACTTGTGTAAGTAATGCTTGGATTCTTCCATCTCATAAATCAAGTTGAAGTCCCACTTGCAGCCATCAACCTCATATTGATTGAAGTAGAATGTGATCTTGTAATCACTATCCTTCTTGAATTTCATGAGCTGAAGATCTGATGTGCTGATAACTGTTGTTAACTTTGGATAAAAGTCAGCATATAAGTCAAATTCAGCGCCTGAGCCAAATCCATTTTCACCCATGCCAACAATTGCAACAAATTGACCCTGAAGTTCAGTGGTCATGTTGACAATGCATGTGTTATCACGATTCTTGACAAATGTTCCCTGGAAATCTGGTGTATCGGCTGAAACCTTTGCATTTATGTCATTCATTGTATTAGCAACGAATAACTTGAAATCATGAAGATTGCCGTTAACATTTCCAGATCTTGTTGTGTAAGCAATAGATTTAAACTTTGTTTCAGTACTCTTTGTGTCTATTGTGAACATGTATGGATCGGTGCTTTTGGCTCTATCATCGTGATGGCCTTCTTCCTCGCCACCCCAATATGAGTGCCGAATAGTATTAAGATCGTTATCCAATAAGTTAATTGCAGGACCTTCAGAACCAACTGTTGATTGTTCAGAGTTAGCTGTAGCATTCCATGTTGACTTTGGAAGTGGTTCTGGATAAACTGATGATCCTGGTAACTCCATAACAAATTCTTCTGTTCCTGCTTGAGGAGTAACAACTAATGGAGTTGTTGTTCTTAAGTTTTTAATTTCCTTTAAAGTAAGCTTGTTATTATCATCAATGTTCTATGTGTATTCAAAGAGTTTATTCTTTAAACTTACCTCTTGTTGAGATAAGATTCCGGAAACTAAGAAGAAGAACATTGAATTTAAAAAAATGAGTTGAAACGTCACTTTTTAGGCATAGATATTAAATTTGCAATAAAAACATATAGCATTATTACTGGATTAAAATATGAAATATATTTTTGAAAGGGTTTTGATGGGCTTTCAAAGCCACTTCTATCGAATTTTGAGAGCGGTTAGAAAAATTATCCTCTCAAAAAAAATAAGATATGATGCATATTATAATAATATTATCGTTTTTAAAGAAGTAATGGCTTTTCAGAAATTCAATTTGCTAAACTATCTAATTTATATGGATGATACAATTAATAATAAATAACCAATTACAATTTAAAACGGATAAATCTTTTTGAGATTGTGGGAATGACAATTTTAGAATGTCACTTTTATGGCATAATTCTTGAATTTTAGTTATTTAATAATAGCATAATCATGTAATCATAATTTTCGGTTCGTTAAGTAAAAATGCCTTTTCAAAGTTTGGATTTTTCTGAGGCAATGGCATTGCGGAAGTTACAAATGATTGTGTATGCATTAAAGGAATGTTTGGGGATAAGATTTAAACTTGAATTACGTGTTGGCTCATATTTTACTTTGCATCGAAATATGAAAGAAGGGAAACACCTAATTACAATTTCCTGCTACACTTGCGTTATAAAGAGTATTTTGGTTCAGTTTATGATAGAAATATTAATTGTAAAAAGCTTCATCTAATTCTATTTTATAAATTTATTGGAATAATGCAGTATTCGAGACTTTTAGATATCTCTTTAGATATAGGTTCATAGTTATAGCTAATCCTAAATTAGTTTATGATTTTTTCATCTCTAGAACATAGTTTGAATAACATTTCGCATAAAGAATAGATATATGTAGTGTTTTTCAAACATACCAGTTATAGGAAAATTGAATTCAAGGTATTTATATACATTTACATACCAAGTGGAATTTGGAATCGATTCATATTGATTAAGGGTGCACACGAGAGGATCATGTAAACTTCAGAATTTAGAACCTTATTTTTAGGCATTATCTTGGCTACCTATTTAGGCTCGAAAAGCAAAAAATATCAAAAAATACAACTTGAGTCCATTATGACCCTTTCATGGAGGTAGTTTTTATCCGCTAGTATTTTCCCTTTGAATCTCTTTACAATTCGAAATCAAATTCAAAACTCAGTAGAAGAAAGGAAGAATCGACTTACTACGGTTGTAATACGAATAAAGACATATATTTAATTATTTTTATTTACATAATAATTGTTTGAAGCTCATATTCCATCAAATTTTTAAATAAAAACATTAAAATGTTGAAAATGTTCATATATTTTAATAGGGTTTTGGCACTTTATTGAGGAATTACTACATACATAGTCGAACTGAACTTGATATTTTGAAATTTAAATTATTTATCAAAATTAAAATTTAACTTGAAATTTATAATTATTTAGTCATATTTTGCATAATTCTAAGTAGATTTTGTAAAAAATCAAGAAAGAAAAATTTTAACGTGCTTTATTTTTTCTTTTTATAATAATACATATTATTATATAATTAACATATTCATAATGTTTCACCCTTTCAAAAATATAATCCTCCTCCTCTCAAATAAACGTACATACGGGTGGCCTCTTTTTTCAAAAAATTAAAATTTGAAATTTTGGGCTCAAATATTAGAGATTTTTTCAACCTTCAACGATATATGTTGTCTATATCAGACCTCCTTTCTTTTTGATACTTAACATTGTTCCTAAATCTTAGCCGTTAAGGCTGTTCTGAAAATATTTTTTTTTCGAAAAAATTCGAAAAAAATTTTTAAAATTCAAAAATCCCTTAATTCCTGAGGATTTTTGAAAAAAGTTTTTACATGAACATGTGTATATTATATGAAGTATATTGATAAGGTAAAAATCAAATTTTATTGCATATTCATCGAGAAAATAAACTAACGAATCCCTCAAAATTGAGAGCGTAATCCTCCTCCTCTCAAATAAACGTACATACGGGTGCACCCTTAATGTGGTTTTGAAACTTTCATTATAATAGGATGTGCATATTCATTTGAATGTACCTATAATTCTTGATCTAATATGATGAGAAAAATGCGAGAAATGAAAACAATAGATGTGGCAAATGAACCTAATAGCAAATAATATGTAATAAACAGAAATTCGTCAAAAGTGACAGCTCTCAATTTTTTGACATTTGTAAATTCTAAATTGAATGAGAAAAATGAAATAATACTAAGCATAATACAATATTCTAGATTTAATTATAATTAGGAAAAAGTTAGTTTTGAGAGTACTTTTCATAGGCATATAGAATGAAATCTTCTGAAAAATAATATCACATAAACTCATATTATTTTCTAATATATAACTATTTTATATAAAAATCAAATTCAATGATCTTAAAAGCGAAGGATAAACCTCAAAATTTACGAATATAATGAGTGGGAATAGGCGTAAAGCAAAAATTGATATTTCTCATATGGTTTTGTGTTCTTCTTCAAAATTTTATTTTTTTATTAAAAAGAATCTTTACAAAATATACATTTACTTTAATTAATATTTAAAAACGTGCTCTATCAAAAGTTCCAAAAATTCAATATTTTAGCTTTTCTGAGGTGTCACTTTTGATGAATTTCTGTTTACAACAAATATGATTTTAAGGATTGCAGAGGAATATGAGAATAAAAAAAAGAATAAAAAAGTGAAGATCAATTGAAATGAAAAGCATGAAGTTTTGGTTTATTTTATGATTGGAAAGCAACAAAGATCAAGTGAATGCAGTATAGGTTAAAAGCTGAAGTGAAATAGCATTCATAAAAAAAAAGAGAAAAAAATTACAGGTCGAAATTTTTTTGAAAAAATCTGTAAGTATTGAAATTTTTGACAATTCAAAAGTGAGAGTAAGTATTAATAAAAAACAAATGATATTATTTTCAAAAAAAATCTTAAGTAATTTTATGAAACGTTTTGATCGTTAGGTTAAAAAGTTGGACGATTTTGTTTAGCATCATATTAGGGATTTCTTTTTCGATAATAATGAGATTGAAAGAGCTTTCAAAAAGTAAACATCATTCAATTTATCACCGGCTTTTTCATATTAACTACTTGTATATAATTGAATGATATTTATTGAATGGATTCATTAAATCCAAACAAACACGTTGACACTTTTCGATATTTGAAAGAATAGTTTAGCATTGTTTATGCACATTTATGTAATACTCATATCTCATTCCGATTTTAAAAAGAAAAATATGTTCGATTTTTTGATTTTTCAATGCTCGTCTCAAAATTCATAATATCAAACAAAAATCGGAAATTTGCTTTCTTTCTCACTTGAAAGTTATTATTTATATTATTACCCATATTATTTAGTCTATTCTTTTATCGTTTAACCGTAAAATTTAATTCATTTTTTAGAAGCGGTTTGCATTTTTGTGAGGAAGTTCTCAATTCCTCTCAATTTTCTTCTGAGCCAAATTCAATGATCTTCTCATTTTATAAAAAACCGGAAAAATCAATACAAAATTCAGGGCTTCTATTCTTTAGATTTATCACTTCATTATTATGTTTGATTCTTCACTCAACATGTATTCCCAACTTCTTGTTGGAGTTCCGAAGAACTTGATGTCTCACATGCAGAACCTCTTATACAAATTCATCACAAACGATCTAACTTATCATCAAGCAGCTTCACACTGCATCAGCCTTGTTGGAACATCAGAACCAATTGATAAAATTGTGATGATTACTAATATTCTGGAATCAAACGTCGCATCCTCATACTATAACCCGAGTGGTTCATTTTCACTTAATGGATCAGAAAATCCTAACAAAAAATCTAAGACATGGTCAAAGCACGATGATCAAAGATTACTTGCTGCAATTCACAAATATGGTCTTCTTGATTGGAATAAGATCAGTGAATTTGTAGGCAATGGCCGATCACGCAGCCAATGTGTTCAGCGTTGGTCTAGAAGCCTTAACCCACTAATTAATAAAACACAGTGGACAAAGGAAGAAGATGAAAAACTTTTACGTATGATCAATAAATACGGAAAAAGATCCTGGACAAAAATTTCCAGCGAAATTGAAGGTAGAACAGATGTACAGTGCAGATATCGCTATCAAATCCTTACAAAATCAGAGGGTAAAGAACAAAAATCTCAAAAACAGATTTCAACTGCAGTTCCCTCTGCTGAGCACTCACCATTTGGATATAATGATTATGTTTCAGCCCCACCTTGCAATGTTGAAGCAAAGCCATATACAGAGCTCGAAACATTTGTTGTCCAGCATGATCAGCCATTCGATCAGCAAAACCGAGCCTTCGATTTTTGCAGCGATATTCAACTCTTCAATCTTCTCGAAGAAGTGAGCGCAGATCCTTTCTCGATTTTCAATATGTAACTTCATATTACATACATCAGGTTTTTATATAGATGTTATAAATGTTTTGTTTATAGTTTATTAAATAAAATATCTATCAATTTCTTCAAAAAAAAAAAATCAATATAAAAATTTCTAAAGGTAGTCTCACGAAAATACGTTATTTTCCCGATGCCTTGGAAGCAGTTTTGCAGGTTACCCGTAAGGTAACCAGTAGAAGTTTCTGAGCAAGGATGAAGAAGATTAAAGAGCCTTTTTATTGCAAACGCTATATTTGTAAGTGTCTTTGTAGAACTTCTCATAAATTCAAAGATTTCCAAAAACGATTTTTTCGATTTTGATATAATAAATGATATTTAAACAAATTATAGATGTGTTTGCAATTAAAAAAATCCGAGTTAACTACAATATCTTCAATTTTTGTCGTTCACTTTTTCATGTCATACTGATAGCAAGAATACTCACCCAATTTGGTTACACTTCATGATAGTTTGAAGTAAAAAAATGCCACAGTTTTTTTTATTTGATATCGTTATCTAAATTTTGTACAGAAATGAAATAAATTATAATATGAAACGTGTGTTATTATGCTTGTTGGGAAACAATCCAATACTTATGTCTGAATGAAATGATTATTTCTACGAGATTTTGCATATTCAGCTAATAATGCTATCAAAATCAAATAACAATAAAAAGTTATTTTGTACATAATGTAACTTAATCTTTAATACTATATAGAACTTCGAAATACGACTAAAAGGTGCGAGTTACGCGTTAAATACCTTTTTTTCGATCGAAACTTGAAAGTGAGGATAACTCAATGGGTAGGGGTATGGGTTCGACTTTTTCTATTGGGCAACTATTTTTTTCTTTTCATTGTTTCAGCATTTTTTTATGCGATTATGCATAATTATTTGATTTCCTATATATTCAATAATAAATTTGTTCCGAACTCTTAACAAATAAATAAATTTTTAGAATATTTAAATTTATAGCTCCCTACATTAATATAAAGTGTTCGAATAGTTCATATATAGTTTCTTTAAAATAATTTGTTTCATTTTAAATTGGTTTGGCACAATGCTTGACATAACATGCACAAAGCTATGCCATTTTAAAATATGTATATCAATCAAGCCGATTAAGTCCATCCTAAACGAAAATCATCGATACTCATGAATTTATGATAGTCGTTCTTGATATAATTGCGCGTTTTAAAAAATGCTTACTTTTGAACACAGAACTTATCTATCCATATTTATCAATGAAAGTTTATAAGATGCATTAATGACAAAACCTTACTTTATCAATTATAATCTTATCGTAAATTTCAAACTACAATACTGTGGGGCAAATATTAAATAACCACTATGTTGCGGATTTTATGTAAGTCTGCAAACTGTAAAATGTAATTAAACACAAATAAAAAAAAAATGTAAATTTTAATCGAGAAATTTAGCAATCTTGAAAGCCTTGATCGGCATCTTTTACAAGATGTCAGTAATGCATATTCAATAACTATGAAAATCTAGCCAAGCATGGATTTTTTTCGAAAAAAAATTGTATTAAATTTCATTTTTCATTCTTTATACAAGTTTTAACCTTTGGTGCAATTATATCCTATCGCAAATGCATTATTGACGTTATTACTTGGATACTTCTTCATAACGCTAAATCTTCAAATTAGTTATGTGTTTGTTACTAATAGAAGTTGGAAAGGTATTAAAAAAGGAAATGTTAATAAATATACATGTTTAATTAAAAAACAAACAAGAATAAATTAAATAATTTTATTTCTTAGGAAAGTCTAAGTTTTGTAATAGATAAATTGCTTTTTGTGTCTCTTCTTCATCAATTTCTGGATGTTGATTCTCAGGTGGCGGACTAATTAAAACATCATGGGCAATATCAAACCATTGTTTTAGTTCGTTGGCAGAAGGAAAATGATCTTCTTGTATTGGCGTTATTAATGATTGAAAATCATCAGTTGATTCTGCATTTTGGGAATTTTCCAAATTTTCATTTGGAAAATTTGAATTTTGAGATATTGTTTAAGCACTCAGATCTCATTTTTAAAATATCTGCACCAAATTCTTACATCTGATAATTTTCATGTGTAACCAATGTTTCCCAATCCATTTGCCATACCCTACTAATCGCAAATTCATTCCCTTTAATTTTGTATTAAATTTAAATTCCAATCTTAATTTCTACATTATTTATGCTAACCCTTTAAATTTTGTTCTTATTTATTCACCCTCAGATACAAATTTATTTAGAATGTATTCCTCTGAGGTCTATATTTGTATTCGAAAATAAAATCTTTAAAACTCTCTAAGTTATCATTTTCTCTTCAGATATCTAATATTTTTCTAATGACATAACTACTTTGGACGCATATCCAAATTCCAAAAAAAATATGGAAAAAATAAAAATGAAATTGAAAAATACAATTTTTGATATGTAAAAAGAGATTTTGAAAAAAATTGGGAAAAAGAGTATCTAATAAAATTGTTTGAGATCTATGTAGACATAGTTTTTACATTAAAAAATCAATAATATTGAAATTGATCTGAATATATCTTTTTTTTTAAGTTTGAATGCATTAATCTCAAAGCATTTGATAAAATACTGGTTTTATTTCAAAATTCTAAATAATTTGTAATTAGATCTTTATGATGTAATTTAATTTTAAACAAGTACAGATAAAGAGAATCATAATAAAGGTGATCTATATTGCTTAAGTAAAATTGAGTATAATAGATCGATCTTAGCAACAAGATCTGAGGAAGTAGATCTTAGCAACAAGATCTTAGATCTTAGCAACAAGATCTGAGGAATAGATTTGAGAGTCGAGAGTTTAGATCTTAGCAACAAGATCTGAGGAAGTAGATTTGAGAGTCGAGAGTTTAGATCTTAGCAACAAGATCTGAGGAAGTAGATCTTAGCAACAAGATCTGAGGAAGTAGATTTGAGAGTCGAGAGTTTAGATCTTAGCAACAAGATCTGAGGAAGTAGATCTTAGCAACAAGATCTGAGGAAGTAGATTTGAGAGTCGAGAGTTTAGATCTTAGCAACAAGATCTGAGGAAGTAGATTTGAGAGTCGAGAGTTTGGATCTTAGCAACAAGATCTGAGGAAGTAGATTTGAGAGTCGAGAGTTTAGATCTTAGCAACAATATCTGAGGAAGTAGATCTTAGCAACAAGATCTGAGGAAGTAGATCTTAGCAACAGATCTGAGGAAGTAGATCTTAGCAACAAGATCTGAGGAAGTAGATTTGAGAGTCGAGAGTTTAGATCTTAGCAACAAGATCTGAGGAAGTAGATCTTAGCAACAAGATCTGAGGAAGTAGATTTGAGAGTCGAGAGTTTAGATCTTAGCAACAAGATCTGAGGAAGTAGATCTTAGCAACAAGATCTGAGGAAATAGATTTGAGAGTCGAGAGTTTGGATCTTAGCAACAAGATCTGAGGAAGTAGATCTTAGCAACAAGATCTGAGGAAGTAGATTTGAGAGTCGAGAGTTTGGATCTTAGCAACAAGATCTGAGGAAGTAGATCTTAGCAACAAGATCTGAGGAAGTAGATTTGAGAGTCGAGAGTTTAGATCTTAGCAACAAGATCTGAGGAAGTAGATCTTAGCAACAAGATCTGAGGAAGTAGATTTGAGAGTCGAGAGTTTGGATCTTAGCAACAAGATCTGAGGAAGTAGATCTTAGCAACAAGATCTGAGGAAGTAGATTTGAGAGTCGAGAGTTTAGATCTTAGCAACAAGATCTGAGGAAGTAGATCTTAGCAACAAGATCTGAGGAAGTAGATTTGAGAGTCGAGAGTTTGGATCTTAGCAACAAGATCTGAGGAAGTAGATTTGAGAGTCGAGAGTTTGGATCTTAGCAACAAGATCTGAGGAAGTAGATTTGAGAGTCGAGAGTTTGGATCTTAGCAACTAGATCTGAGAGTTTTATCATTTCCGGCATATTGGGCCGAAAAGGAGTGATCCGCGTAAGTATGAAAAAAAGTGAATTTTGTTGTATGGTGTTTTTTATTATATCCGTTTCTCTCACAATTTTCAATAAATATTATTGTTCAAACGGAAATATAAATAAACAATTCAAAAATAAAAATGTAAATGTAAATTGAAAATGTATTATAAACATGCTAAAAAGCGTATATTTTAAACTTAAAGGAAAAATGAAATTCGTAAAAATGAGCATGATGTTTGATAAGGGAGTTTTAATTTTTTTTTCAAAAAAATTAAGGAACTTAAATTGAGATTATCAGGCTATGTAGTGGGTATTTTTACGATCTGACTGCAGAAATCGAATCAGCGAGACCCGAAGATTCATATTCCGCCGGAAAAATAGGGTTTCGAGGCGTAGATAAGGATAAAAAGATGCTTTAAGAAGATCTCAGTAGAAATATGGTTTATAAGAGGATATAGGTCAGGATATAAGATTATGAAAATTGAAGAAGTGAATTATCAAGATGTATTTATGAGTAAACTATATTGTTTTAAGCTATCTAAATCTGTTTTGATATAAATTAAAGCGTATACTTATGCAAAATGCGAAATTTAAATTAATACTTTTTTTTGCTATTTGGACACAAAGCTAACAATCCATCCAATAAATGACGTATACCTAGCGAGATGAAGCATTTTAACATGAAAGACAAGAAAATCTGATTACTTGTGTTGAAAGTTTCTGTATTTCGTCTTCTTCCAAACACAGCGTTCAGATGCAGAAGAAAATGCAGCCGTAATGACGCAAAAAGACACTAAAATAAATTGGAGAATTTCTGTAAAGTTTTTACTGAGCTTTGTTATTGAACCCGAATTTGTTGCTGAGTGACAGGATATTAAATCTACGACATTCATGAGTAATTGTTATCAATTTGTCAATAAATTATGTTGAAGATGGTTTAAATGTCTTCGAAGGCATGAAATTAGATCCTAAATCTGTTTGAGTTAATAAAAGAGAACAAATGTTGAAAGAGTTGTCATATTGCCTACAAAATTTTCAAACATTTGCATTGAGACAATGTGAAAAAATGATGTCCAAAATACCTTTACTAAAATATTTTTAATTTGAATCATAACAAGGAAAAAAATAATGGCAGAATAAGAAAAAAAAACAAAGATGTTATGATTTGAACAGTTGCCTTTTAGATTCAAAAAGAGCATAGTGTTCCTAACCACTACACTACCTTCCTTTCTGATAAAAAGCTGAATAATTAGTATTTAATGAATTCTTCAACTTGGGGATTTGCGGCTTTTCCAAAATCTGTTATGATAGTTCTATATAGCAATTGATATATAATATGTTTTTTATAATCAAATAATTTTTTAGTCCAGATAAATTTTTTAAAATTTCAAAGTCTTTCCATTCTACTAACGCTCTTCACATCCATATTCTTTACCATATATCTAATATAACGCCTTATTTTAATTCCCATGTTTACGATTTATTTGTCGAAAAACTGTCTTGCCCATTAACATCTCGCGAAAATTTTCGACTTTTTGAATGGCCGTTTTCAAGATCTCAAAAACTGTGGGATATTTTTTACAAAGCTAATCGACATTTATTTACCACATATATGTACTATACAATGCACCTGGTTTCATCGAATTTTTACCGTCAGTTTTCTCGTGAGACTACCTTTAAATTTCTATTTCGACTAAAAATTGAATACAAATTCACATATAGTAAATGTTTCAACGAGCGATAACAGTTTAGTCCAAGGAAAAAATGAAATTTTTTGATGGGCAATTCTATGTAAGTCAATGGTGTTCCTGAAATATGTAAGATGTATTATATAAAATTCTAAGCAAAACATCCTTTCATGTTCGGAGTGTAATTTTTATTCAAAATATTGTTGAAGAGAACCTAATGTACATATCGCAAAAACACACAGCTAAAAATAATGCATATCCATTAATCTTCTTTACTTTTTTCGAAAAAATGCTGTGATATATTTTTAAATAAAATCCTATGCCAAATAAAACTATATAAAATTCAAAGTCAAAATAAATTTATTTATAAGATTGTTTACTACTTTAGCTGAAATGAAAATATAAATTTTATATTTGCAAACCTAAATAAAAGTATGTAATTTACATTTATTTTGCAATGGATCTTTGGTGTGGCAATAACGGTAAATGTAAGTCAGACAACTCGAAGGATTTTAAATAATTTTTTGATTCTTGTGGAAAATTAAAATTTAGTTTATGTTATGATTTGTAAGATATCTTTCCGTGAATTTCTAGTAGTTCTAGTGCAAATGTTTGTGTTTGAAGGAAAGATTTGTAAGTCTGTTGAATATATATTTTATTGAACGCGTGTGTTGTATTAATAAAGTAGATACCTTCATATGGAGGGTCTTTAAGCTCGTCTGTATAATTACATTCTTTTAGAATCTCTGCTGGTTCATCATCTTTCTTTCCAACAATTATGAAACTTCTTAGAGGTGGTATTCTTGGTGTCTTCACAACTGTTTGAGCATTAGCGTGTTGATTTTGCGATTGTTGGCTAAATTTGGGATCCCTTAAGCAAACTGCTGTTGGTGTGATCAAAATTTGATTGAATTTGACGCCAATAAAATTATCTTTTTGAGGAGTTGATGCATAAAACATTGTTCCGTCATCAAAAATTGCATTTCCTGGTGGATATGCCTCATCCTTTCTGGCGCATAAAAGAACTATCTCGTATATATTTTGTTTGTCTTCAGAATGAGTTAAAATATAATTAATTATACCTTTGAACCAATACGGATGCTTTTTGTCTCCAATCCCCTCTGTGCATAAGTCTTCATTTGATATGCACATATATTCTCGATAGTCAATCTTATGATTGCGAATTTCACGCTTGCCTAGAGTCATTTTCAATAATGCAAAATAAAAAATTTTTGTGGGAAAAAATATTGCATGTTGGAATTTTTTTTCATCATTCTTGTAAGAAATGTTATTTGTGAAATTACAATCTTAATTCTTGAGTAAAACTTAGGAATTTATCAGCAATCAAGATTTGGAATAATTTTTAGAAAGATGTCTTGGTTCAAGAATTGAATAGAGTTATCTAAATCCCACTGTCAATGTGAATGATTACAATTATTATTCAATGTCTTTTTCATTGCTAAATTACCACATTTTGTAAATGTCATTTCAATCTATGGCATTCCAAACGGGAACCGCGGTTGGTTACCATGGATTTCCGTCACCGGTCACATTTTAAAGATTTTTAAAGCCTTATAAAAATATGCTTTGTAAATCATTTTTTGTAAATCGGCAAAAATTTGGTAATTTTCTTCAACTAATAAATCTGCGAATAGCATTTATAATACACGAACAATCTTTTAAAATGCGTTTGATTCATTTTTGTATAATTTCATATAGGCACATATATTCTTCCGGGACTTTCCGTGATTTTACCGTAAAATCATTAGTTTACACCAATTTTTCCGTATTTTGAATAGTTTACTGCACTTTTCCCGTAAAATTGAGTTACGGGAATCCGCAAAATTTCCGGACCTCATTTTTCATAGAATATAATAATAATATTTGATAAAAAGATATATTATTTATATTTTTGATTTTTGAATTACGGAAAAAGTGAATTGTTAACTTGATTTTTTTATATGGTTAATTTTTCAAATGATATTATGAAGATCTAAAATATTAAAAGTAAAAAATTGAATTACGGAAAAAGTGAGGTCAAAAGTGAAATAAATTTGCAGAACAATTTTCATTGAAATAAGACATTGAGTATCACACTTTAGTGAATCAACATCTATAAGAATGAAGTGTTTTGAAGCTGAAATAATATTGAATAGAAATTAATTTTTTCTGAAATTTTGAATGAAATTATGGGAAATAAAAAAATTACTAAATATTGTATTCATACAAATATATTATTTTAAAGGAAAAATAGATGCTGATAGAAACGATGAAAAATTTTGAAAACTTTACAATTAATTTATGTTCGTTAACCACAGAGCTTGCAATCCAAAGCTCACGTTAGACTACAAGAGTCATGAAGTCTCATACTAAGGGATATCCAACATATATTTTAATAATCTAATGTTTGTGACAAATATTCAACATAAAATTAAGTTTTCGTTTCGTTACAAGGCATTCATACTTTGGAGATATCATATTTAATGTACAGAAAAGTTAATATTAAACAATACATGCTAAAGAATTAATAAATAAGATAATAAAATAAATTTATACGTAATTACTTTCATTTAATATGCTTTATGCTGTATAATATTGATTAAGAGGCATTAAAAGGTTCCATAGTCTGCTTTTATAGGCAAGATTTTTGATAAAAATTTAAAATTTTAAAAAATGATGAGAAAAGGAAAAAAAAGGTAAATGAGAGCAAGAGGAGGGAAAAAAAGAAAAAGAAAAGAAAGGGAAGGGAAAAATAAAAGAAAGAAGGACATATAAAAATTTAGATGCGCATTCTTAATGCCGAGGCGGCTTGCCGCCGAGGCGCGATTTTTTTAGGCCTCTACGGTAACCCGGCAATGTTTTTTTAAATCTTGTACAGCCCTATTTCAATCTAACAAAAAAAAAACTTTTGATAGAATATGAGCGGAGATGGGAATCAGATTGAAAAATTAATAATGGATATCATATTGTATGTGCGTATATGAAGCTGGAGTATCCACCATGTTATGTGTAGATGAAAATATCATATGATAAATAAAGGGCCGTTTTTCCAGATCTGAAAAATTCCATTCAGAAAAAAAAATTATAAAAATTTGAATCCTAAAACCTTCATTCAGGACTGCCCTATTGTTTAATGTGGCATACATAAAAGATATTTGGTTAGTGGCCGAGATTCCAATGATGAGCATTTCGATACGATATAAAAAAGAACTGAATTAGAGATAAAGATTAATAAAATTAACGATAGAACTGATTTTGAAAATTCATCATCCCCGAGCTAACTGCTTGTTGTTGAATCTTGATCAAACTAAAGTATGAACAATCAGCCGATATATTTCTCCTGTCTTCTCTCTTTCTTCATCTTATTGTCTCAATCTCTGAACTACTTGAGTTGCCATGAAATAAAGCCAAATGATCATTGTTATTTTGTTTTAAATCCTGTTTGAATATTTAAGCTATTCTCGAAATAATTTTAAAGATTTTTGAAGAAATTCAATAAAAATTCTGCTTAATCCTTTCTATTCTAAACTGCCCATTCGCTTATTCTATAATTACAGATTTATTTTAATGCTAGAGAATCACTTCAACTTATTTTTCGAAATAAATATAGAAGCAAATATCACTTAAAAAACAATAGAATGCAAAATCATTTCAAATATGTGGAAAGAGTCCCCTCATAGGATTTGAATCTAGAAATTTGGCTCATAATATCAAATGGTAGACAGTGTAAAATTTCACTTAAAAAAGAAATCCCGCCAAATTCAAAAATTGAGAGAAGTTTGCCGAGTTTGTAAATTGATGCGTTTATGTTTGGTTTATTGCCAGCCGTTTATTATCGAATCGGGGAAGGTTTAATTATGTTGATACTCCTCGTGAAACCTTTAATTTTATTTTTAATTTGAAGAAAGACTTTTTTGGATGACTTTACAATTTGTCAAATTTATATCAACTTACAACAAAAGTTAAATCCAATAGTAAAAAAGGTTTGACTACTGAGGTGATATAATATTATGGCATGATTTTTAAATTTTCAAGAGGTGTGAAAACCCCGCCAAATTTAATTTTGAAAAGTTTACCACAATCAAAAATTGAGTAAAACCGTCAAAAATATTTGGCGGGGAAAGCGGCGGTTTTTCAGAACATAAAACTGATGACATCCAAGGCAAAGGATTCGCAGCCAGAAGTTAAGGAAGAGGAAAAGAAGGAAGAGAAGCCAGAGAAGAAGGAGAAGAAGACTGAAGAAAAGAAGGAAGAGAAGAAAGAAGAAAAGAAGGAAAAGAAGGAGAAGAAATCCGACGCTAAGAAGGAGGAAAAGAAGGAAGAGAAGAAGGACGACAAGAAGGAAAAGAAGTCCGAGGCAAAGGAAGAGAAGAAAGAAGAAAAGAAGGATGATAAGAAGGAGAAGAAGGAGAAGAAAGAAAAGAAGGAAGATAAGAAGGAAAAGGTCGAGGACAAGAAGGAAGAGAAGAAGGAGAAGAAGTCCGACGCTAAGAAGGAAGAAAAGAAGGAAGAGAAGAAGGACAAGAAAGATAAGAAGGAGAAGAAGGAAAAGGCCCAGGAGAAGAAGGAAGAGAAAAAGGAAAAGAAAGAAAAGAAGGAGAAGCCTGAAAAGAAAGAGAAGAAGGAGAAACCAGCTAAGGAATCAAAGAAGGTTTCCAAGAAATCTGAAAAGAAAGAAAAGTCCGAAAAGAAGTCCAAATACAACTTACGCGAGCTTATTGCTGAAGCTATTGCTGCCAACGCTACAGAAGATAAGGCATTTGTCAGTTACCAGAAGATTGCCCATTATATCTTCCAGTATACAGACTTAAACAACTCAAAGAAGATGGTTGGTACTATGGTTAAGAAACAACTTCCAAAGCTTGTAGAAGAAAAGCTCTTACAGCAAAAGAGAGAGAGTTATAAATTCACATCTGCTGGAGCCAAGAAGATCAAACCAGAAAAGGTTCCAAAGCGCTCTGTTGTTCATGAGGATGCTAAGCCAGTTGAAGAGGTACCAAAGAAAGATAAGTTGGTATTTATTACAGCCTCTGGACGTGTTTCATACAAGAGAGATCTCGATTAAATGATCCTTTATTTAGATTTATTTATTAAATAACTAAGTCATTTCTTAACTTTCATCTTTCCATGTATTTTTGAAGAACTAAGAAAAAAAAACTAAAATTTGATAGATTCATATTTACAAACAAACAATTTTTCTATTTGGATATTTTATAAGGTTCCGATATGCTCAACGGTGGTTTAGGATTCATATATTTAGGCTTTTCATTATTCATCGGTATCGTTACATCCATTTCTTCTAAATCAGATTCTAATACAGGTATCAATAAAATCTTCTTATTGGTGGTTTCCTTTGTGTCTTGTTTAGGTTCTGGCGGCGCTTTTTGGTCTGATGATTCCGATGAAATAGATTTTTTATTAGATTTCTGTAAAGACTTTAGCTTCTCTGTATTAGCATTGTAATTTAGATATTTGATCTTCCTCTCTGATGCGAATGGGAAGATTTCAGTGGTTGATAAAATAGCTCTTGAAGTGTTTGGCTGAGATTCTTGGCTTTCCTCCTTTTTCTTCTTAGCGCCAGTTACAACTCTATTTTTATCGAATTTCTTGTGGACGATATTTGCAAATTCATCATTTTTATTTGCATCTGCGCGAAATCCAATTTCTATATAATCATGTGGTAGAGTAACTAATGTGAACTTCCTATCTTTCTTCAGAAGTGTCTCGCCTTCAAATGTTACTTCTAACCTTAATTTATTATTTGTAACTTTCCAGTCTGTTTGGATTCCTGTATCCATACGTGGTGGTAAAGGTCCATTAATATTCAAATCTGATTCAATTTCAGTTGAATCGGTAAGTAATTCTGTATCATTTAATGAAGCTAAAATTTTTTGACTAAGTGATATCTCTCGACTTGATTTACTGCCAGAATATTGCATTTGCACTGATTTTTTCTTTCGGAGAGGATAATTTGGAAAGTATGTATCTCTCCATTGCGATTTTTGATTCCTTGATGTTTTTGCTGATGACTGTGCTGGAATTATTATTGTCTCTGTTCTATTTGCTGATTCTGGATTATCATTTATCGATATTTTGATACTACTAGTTGAATTCATTGATTCTGACCTGGAAATTCTTCTACTAGCAGGCTCAGATCTGCTTGGTGTATATATCATATTTTTGTCTTTCCTTAAATCATCCATAGTATCAATACAAAAATAACGAGAAAAAAAAAATATACCCAGATTTTCCTTACTTTTACCACCCCTCTAAAGCTGGGAACACCGCCTATCGTTGGGAGTAGCTATTAAATAGAACCACCAAGGGTATTTTTCGAACTGCCGGTGTAGTGTAGTGCAAACATCTGACATAATGATTCATTATGCCAAGGTTTGATTCCCATTTAGCTAATTTTTTTCTTTTTTGGATCATGAATTTTTTTTTGGGTCACTATAAGATTTGTTTCATGTTCTAAATCTGCTGCATATGTAATCTATTTTTATTTACCTATTTTTTAAAAATCTATTGGATTGCCAAATTTGAATATATTTAAAATCATAAAAATCCAAAAACTATAAATATATGTTTTATGCATAGTGCCGATACTCAAATATCAGATTACTTAGATCCATGAATAATATCCGAATTTTTTTTCTTAAAATTAAACTTCAAAACTTCTTGCAATCTTATTCTTAATCAATTGTAAATTTTTAAAACCATTTTTTAAAATAATTTTGCGTAAATTTTATTCTCATAGGGTTGTTAAATTCCGGACGATAGGTGTCATCATAGTGTCTTTAAATCAAAAATTTTATTTTGGAGTTAGTTTTATTGATTTTTCAATAAAAAACATTTCTAAAACAAGAAAATAAAACGATAAAATATTTATATTTTATATAAGGATCTTATATATTTAAAATAAATATCATTTTATTTTTTTCATTGGTGTCTGTCAAAACATAATACACTATTCAAAAATTCAATGTGTCTTGCGGTTTCAAAAGACACCTTCAAATTGAACGATAGCACAGACACTATTGAATTTTACCCATTGTATTTAGTTTTTACCCTTTTTATTTTTAAGAATTAATGACTGAAACAGCCGTTTTGCTATGACCTCAATCACTTTTATTTATTATTTTAAATATTATTTAATTTTATTATTTGAATAGGCCAACTTATATTTGAGAAGCTCAATTTGAGACCACTTAATACATTGAAATATCATAAATATTGAAATATTAAAAAGTGTATTTCAAAATATTGAAATTATAAAAATTTATAATACTGAAATTGAGACAAATTAATAAATTCAATGTGTTTTTTTTGAAATAACTCTCAAATATTATTTTTTTGTTTATTTAATGATGAATAAATATGATTGCTTTAGTCAATCATAAAAACTAATTTAAGTTTAAAATAATGAAAGGATAATTTGATCGTTTTTTAAAATACAATTATTTTTGATGATTTGCAAGAATCTTTGAAAAGAATATAATATAGGTTCTATTTTTGTAAAATTTATCCAAATCATGTATTACATAAATTACGATTAAAACGATGAAAGAACCAAAAAGTGTGTTTTGTGTTTTGTTGTTGCGTGTTGGATGCGGGATCCTGTTATTTCCGAAATCGACAAAAAATATGGAAATTGAATTTCCGAAATCGAAATTATATTAATGTTTTTAATATTCTTATATCAAAAGGATTAAAGTTCATTAAGAGAAAAACAATTCTTCTTCTTCAATCTATTGGCGCATTTATTTCTACACGCCAATAAGGAAGGGAAAATTATAAGACACCATGGTGTCTTCAAAACGCTAATTTTTGATATTTTTAACAACCCTATATTCTCATGTTGTTTTAATCGAAAATTGATACATTTTCAAAAAAATAATATTGACTTATGAAATTCATTTTTAAGGTGAAATAGTATTGTTTTTATTAAAGTATATGAATAATATATAAAAAATTAATGAATAATATAAGCAGATTTTTAGTTTACAAAACAAATATGAGCAATGCAATTTCAAACTTTTGCTGGCAATTTCGATATTGCTCAAGTTTGTAGTATTTGTGATACCTATAACATCGGCTTAATCAAAATTCGATTTTTCTTATGAGTTATTGAGAAAATTTGATTGCAATGAGAAGGATTTCGACGTTTTTGATAAACTAAGAGCTGAGCTTTAGGGGTTCAGTTCATTTATGGCTGTAGTTTGATGCGTAGATCTCTTTTTTATTGTAAATTCTTTCAGCATGGAGATCGAGAATGAATCTTTTGAGAACTTTATGAGTTTTTACACCCGTAAAGAGGTCCTTCGAGGAAAGATAGTCCAGACTACATGAAGATGTGGGTTAACCAAAAAAATCCGATGGTTTCCCCATATTCATGTAGATCTTCGAAAAAATGAGCACCAAAAAAGCCAAAAAAATAGGCTTTTTATTGGATTTGTACACTAGATCAATAACCTATTTAGGATCTGACACTCTTTTTAGCCAGAGATATGAGGTCCTTTCTAGGAAAACGATCTATTCATCCATAAAAAAAATGAATTATCGTTTTCCCCAGAAATTACATGGGGAGTGGTAAAAGTAAGGAAAATCTGGGTAATAAGAAAACTTTACATGTCAAAAACTCTATAGCATGGTGATATCCCATTATCTAAAGTATATTTCAGTTAGCAAGGACATGGATAGAGCTATAGCTCCATAGAGCAAAAAAAATTAATAATATATATAATTTATTCCATAAGTAATTCCCAAGAGTATGGTATTTCTATATTCTCCTCATTAGTTAACTTTTTAGCGAAAAATACAGCTTCGTTGAAGCCTCTTCCTTCATGAACGAAGAAGAAAGCAGCAGATAAGTCGATTTCTGGCTGCTTTTGGAGGCAGTTGTATAAATCTCCAAATACTGTATTCTTTAGCATTGCTTGAACTTCTGTATAATCTTCGATTTGGTTAAATTTAATTTTAGGAGCTAATTTTCCTGTAGCTCTAAGAGCAAATGGCCAGTCTCTAATCTGTTGTTCTAAGCAGAAGACCGATGAAACTGTACGAACAAATAATACATCCTTTATTTTGTTTTCTTGGGCAAAGTGTGCGATTTCTTTTGAAAATTCTAGTATTTTACGCTTTTGTTTTGGTATTGAAGATGCAATTCTTAATAAAGCAATCGGACCTAATAAAGGAGTTTCGCCAATGTAAACATCTACTGCTGTTGCAAGTTCTCCACCTTCTTTCTTGTAAGGATCTGGTGTAACTACCATATCGACGTTATTTGAAATAAATCTACCAACTAATTTTCCAAATTTGTAACAAATTAAATCAACTGTTAATTGATCAACTGATCCTGATCCACATGATGGTACAACAAGTATTCTGCCTTCAAGTGAATTTTCGCCAATTGGTACAAACTTCATTTTCAAAATTCTAAATTCGTCACTTTTTTCGCTAATTATCCTGATAAAAACCAATTATATTCGAGAGTGTTATACTTTATTGTTAGTTAGTATATACATAATAAATGGTTATTTTTCAATCAGATGGCCTTTGCAAGTAACTTCTAGATACATCTAATCTCTTTACTATTGATAACTGTACATTTTGAATTATCTGCTCTTTAATCCTTTTTCCATTAACTGTTATATCAGCCTGGGTTGCTTTAGTGCCGTGGCGTTAATTCAAACATCTGTTTTTAAATTCATAAAAAACAATTTTGATTTTTATCAAATAACAAGTACAAATATAAAAAACAAAAATATGAACCGAGCTCTAAATCTTATTACTTCTGACCAAGCATCAGCATTTCAGGATTCATTGCTAGCTTATTAACCTCGTTATGAACAGCCCTCTGATGAACTTGGCTTTCGATTTCGCTCCTTGCGTGCTTTCCTCTGCTAATAGAAACTCTTCTTGATTCTCTGAGGAGCAAATCGCCATCTCTCATCGAAGCCATTGATGTTAATTTGTTGTCATCCTCTTCTTCCTTATTTAATCCCATAGAATTATTAAGCTTGCTAGAAAGATTTGAATGAGAGAAATCCATTCTCTTTTCCCACTCATTCTCCCATTGTTCAATGAATTGTAATTCTTCAGCTTGTTTGAGTCTGACACTTTCAAGTCTGATTTGTTGCATTCTCTTTTCAAGTTCAACAGAAGCTCTGGAAGTAGCAAGTTTCTCCTCTTGTTTCTTCTTCTCATGCATAGCTTCAATTGATCTGTATGTCTGTTCTTTCCTTGTTTTAGCAAGCTCTGCATCATCTGCTTGTTTTCTTTCGACTTCTAATTGTTTTTGCAAGGCAAGAAGACGTTCTTGATCTGATTGTAAAGTGCAAAGAACTACAGCATCTGATGAGCCTTCTATTGTTGGATAGAACTTATCATTTAAGTATTTGAATGTTCTATATACATGAAATGCTGGTGGAGATTTATTGTAAAGTTTAATTGCATTTTCGACTAATATTGGAACTGCAACTGGACGGGGTGCAATATTAAATGTTTCATGATCTTCGTGCAGCTGGGTTTCATTCATTCCTAGCCATGCAATAACTGCAAATTCGAGAAATTGTGGTTCAGATAATAAAATAAAGTCCATTAATTGGATCCACGGACGGTCATAAAGAGAAGTGGAGAATATAGATCTATAGGCAGGCCAAGCTACAAGGCTGGTTCCTAATGAATCGCGTAAACTTGGAAATTCTGTTGCGAAGATTGTATCAATCCTTGATAAAACTTCTGGTGGAGGACCAGGTATTTGAGTCATCCATTCTCCAAATGCGTTTGTAAGCAATATAATTACAACTTCAAAGCAAAATGTAAAACTATTTGGAAAAGCATTGGTAAGTTTTTGTGCCATTTGTGGTAACCAATCGCAATTGATTAGTGGTGTATGCCAATGTACTAATGCATTTGTCAAGCGAAATGCTGCTTGAGAAACGTGTTGATTATCGCAAAGTGTTTTTACATTTGGCAATGTTGGTTTAGATTTGAATGACTGTGCTTCTTTCACATTGTTAGGTAGTTTCAAAACGTAGCTCCAAACCATTTTTCTGTGTTGATCTGGAAAAAAATTGAATTTTTTAAGTAGACGAATTAATTTCTTTGGTGATATATCTGCAGGGGGTTCTCCTGGAGGACCAAGTTGCATAAATGTTGGTTCTGCCATTGCCATTGGACTGTATTCATTAAACATTTTCCAATGGAAACTGTACGTTTAGAGAATTCATCTCTTCACTAAATCAGTACTTCAAAAATATGTCATCACGGTCTTTATTGATTGGCTAACTGTTTTGGGAGATAAAGCAATGATTATTTAAATAATTGCTCATATAATTTTGGATATCATTGATAATATTTATCATTTGTAGCTCAATCCAGTTTGTATATATTATATAAAAAGAATTTTAATGTGATAAACGCAAATGAACATTTATTTTAAATAGAAATAACTACAATTGACATATAAAATTCAAAAATCATTACTATATTTAGCTTGAGTTGAAATATGATTAAAAGGTGAGTAATTATGCTACAAAATATACATGAGAGGAAGTAATATTCCTCATTAATAATATCTGTCATTAATCAAACACAATAAGATCTTCATCAATTCTATTAGGAATATCAGAGAATTGCTGGTTCATGAGTTCTCTTTGTTGTTTAAGATGTATTTTTTCTAAATCATCTAATTCGGTCTGATGCCTCTTTAGCAAAGCCTTGTACTCTGGGTCTTGAAGAGCTAATTCGTTGAGTGCATCTGAGGAGTCATCAAAATTTTGATCCGAAAAACAAGATCTAATATCAGTCAATGATCTACTAAGCGCGGCACTAATTTGTTGTCTGATTGATGCTTTGACACTGGTTTCTTCTGATACTGATAAATTGAGTGTTTGAGCAAGTTCTGCAACAATTGAATCAATTTCATCATTCATTGTATCAAAAGGGAAACCTATCTTAATGTCTTCGACTTCCCTATGTATCGTGAGATTGATATCAACATGAGATGGGAAGTTTGCCCTTGACATTAAAAAAAAGTGGCAAATAAAATGGCATTGTAAGGAATTCTCAATTTCGGAATGATGTAAATCGCAACACGTTTATTTATATTAAAAGAGATCTAATGGCATAATTATATTAAATTAATTTTTTATTATTACTTCCGTAATTGTTAATATAATTATTGAAATTTGAAAGTGTGGCGGAAGAATTTGTAAAAATATTTAATTCTAAAGAGGAAATAAATATTTATGTATTCGGCCTGTGGGATAAAGAAGTTGTTTTAAATTGGTCTATTCTCTATGAGTATTGCTAAAATAATGCGATTTTATAGAGAAATTCTTAATTTCAAACTGACTAATGATAATTCTAGGGATGGTAGAAAGCATTTGCACATACACTTAACTTATAGAAATTTTAAACTATACGCTCTTGATATATCACAATTCAAAAAATATTTAATTCAAATATGCAATAATGTTTTAATACAAGTGTACAACAGAATCCCTTTATTGACGTGCTTTCTTTTCGGGCTCGAAATTAAAAAAGAACCCAAAAAAATAAATTAATCGTATCTTTCGAACTTCATTTATTCGTTTTACTCCATGTACTATGATCACTTAGTTTTGTATATTTATGACCTTAATTTTTATGGCCTAATTCCTGGTGGCCAAGTTGGAATCCATCGATCTCGTTATAATTTTACTTATTTGAATTACAACATTCATTAAATGATGTTCTTATAAGATACTGATCTAATATTTTCATTTACAAATAAGTAAGGCAATCACGCCATAAGTTTTCAATTTTTTTGAATGCTTTTTCTCCAACATTCAATTTATAAAAATAACCGAATAAAAAATATCACTTCATGATTATTCTTGTTTGTTTCATGATATTATTAAAAATATTGCACTGGCCAACCATCAATTTTTATTATTTTTTTCACTGACCCACTTTCAATGGCCCAATATAATATGGGTAGTGCACTTGATTCCTGATAAAATTGATTTAATTGTCTTGTTTGTACTTTATTTATCAGAATTTTTTCTGAGGATTTTATCATTTGAGCCATTTTTCCGAGATGTTAACAAGTGCAACATCCTCTTCATCCTTTAACAGATTCGTAAAGGTAGTCATTGATGGAAAGTCATTTGAGGCTAAGCCAAACGAAAGAATCCTTGATTTATTCAGCCGTCTTCACATCCAGATTCCACACAAGTGCCAAGGCATGCACGAATGCGGTCTTTGCCGTGTTATCGCCAATGGCAAGAAGGAATTCTCTTGCAACACACGTATTACAGAAGGAATGGTCATCAACACACAAGATCCAGGCATCAAGAGGTCCAACATCAAGAAGGTCCAGAGAATGGCCATGAAGGACGAGGATATTGCTAATGCTTACAAGATGATCCAAGATCCAACAAGAAAGCAAACCCATATCGATATCACAACAGGTTCAATCCAATTGAACCACGCTGCTTGCATTGACTGCTACAAGTGTGTCGATATTTGCCCAACAGGTGCTCTTACACATGGAAATCACCTTCAAACATTCGGCCACTTCGGTCTTCGTGACTCTGGCTGCGTTTCTTGCGGTGCATGCGTTGATGTTTGTCCAACAAAGGCTATCTCCGTCACAGACAACGTTCCAATCTGGAGAGGAGCCATGAAGATCAAGGAATCCACAAAAGTTGCTGTTGTTGACCTCACTCTCTGCCACGTTCTCGAAAAGGAGTTCGGTCTTCCAGCCGGTTCAATGACATACGATAAGCTTGCCGTTCTTCTTAAGAATATGGGATTCCATTATCTCCTCGATGCAGCTCTCATCAACGATTACGAAATCGTCAAAGACTCTGCTCGTATCTTCAACCACCATACACAAGGTTTCCTTCAGACAATCGGCTCATTCTGCCCAACAATGACACGTAAGCTTCTCGAATACCCACCAACACCAGCTGAAAAGGTTGTCGAATTCCTTACAACACCAGAACTTGATGTTACAACATTTGTCATCACAGATTCTCTTTCCCGCCGCTCAGAAGCTACATTCTACATCAACAACCCAGATATCTACCTTTCTGTTGGTGTTACAACAGCTGAATTCCTCAAGATATTGAAAGAAGACAAGCCATCATTTGATGGAACACCATGTGAGATCTTCCCACTTGGTTCTGCACAAGGTACATCCGCTATCACATCCGAGCGCTTTGCTGAAGCTGTTGTTTCAACATTCGGCAAGAACTACCTCACAATGAGAACACCACCACTCCACTTCTCAAAGCTCGATGACGGAATCAAGATTGCTGAGTTCACAGTTCAGGATGAAGTTAAAGCTCAAGTTGCTGTTGTTGAAGGCGTTTCTGATGTCGACAGACTCTACGAGAAGGACTTCAAGAACATCATCTACATCTCACCAAACGAGAGATTGCATCCAAACACTGTCGCTGCTCTTCCACAAATCGATGCCGAAGCATCAAAGAGAAGCATCAAGCTTGCTCATGAGAACCCAGATGCTATGATGCTCTGGCACAGATTCCTCAAGGAAATCGATGATGAGAAGTGGCTCAAGAGAAAGAAGTAAGAAATTTATAGAATGCATAATGTTATACCATATATATAATATTCTTAGAGTAAAAGAAATTTGTTTATATTAATTGTTGTTTTTATACCAAGATCTGACAAATATGAAATGATGTAAAATCTCATTCGAATGATATGCATTCATTATATACCAATTTGTTAATGTAGTTTTTAGACAAAACCGCTCTAATCGCCCTAATAATTCAGTGCAGCTTCATGCCGCCATATAAATTCATTCACACAAGAGCCATACTGAAAATATTCGCAATAGAAAGCGATTTATTTTGTGAAATCTTTTATGTCCATTGGTATTTAAAATATAACTTCTGATCCAAGATTCAATCATAATATAAAAAAATTAAAAACTAAATTTAAATATAAGATATACTTTTAAAAAATTTAAGCGAAGATTGTCTTGAGGTCGTTAACGAGAGAAGCAGTGAGTGGCTGAGCCTTTGTTAAGACCTTGATATCAATTTTTTGAGCGCCAAACTTGACGTGGATCAAGATCTTGAATGGTGTGGAAACCAACAATCCCATGAAGATCTCTTCCTGGCCAATTCTCTGAACTGTTTTAACTCCTACAAGAGTATTCATCAACTTAGAAATCTCATCAATTGTCAATCCTTCTGTTCTTGGCAATGAGTAGACAATTTCACTTCCACCAGACTTCCAAGCAGCTCCGAATTCAGCTGTTGTTGCCTGTTGTGGAGCGATGAATGACAACAAATTGGCTGGTAATGGAACATTGATGTTCTTTCCATTGTATTGGATGTTTGCAGCGAACTTGAACTGTGGGAATCCCTTCATTGTCTTAGGGAATGAATAAGTTGCCAACATCGTAACAGCGTTCTGTTGTGGGATGCAGTTAATTGTGTGTGGCTGAGAAACAACATCTTTGTTGAGAACTTCTGGTCCATCAATACTTAACTTGAAGTCTCCAATTGGTGTCGATGTTGCGTTCATTACTGCAACTAATATCTTTCCTTGGTTTGCGCATGCGATAACTTTAATCATTTCATCTTCAAATACAGGTTTCGGAGAAATTCCTGACTGAGAGAATTCAATAATTTGTTGTGGAGGAGGATTTTGCAACTCTTGTGTTGCAATTTCTATATTTTGTATTTGTTGTTGAGACAATTCAACTTTAACAGGAGAAACAGGTTGTTGAATTTGTTGTTGTTGTTGTTGTGGAGAAGAAGGAGCTTGTTTAGAAATTGGCTTCTTAGCAATTGGTTTAGAACCTTTGAAAATAGAAGCTGCGAGTTTGTCTTTCTTCTCTTGTTCACTGTTTTGATTCTTCTTTCCTGCGACAGACAATTTAGCGAACATTGATGGTTTCTTTGATGGAGATGAATATGTTTCTTCTGGTCTGTAAGTGTTATCAGGAGAAGCATATCCTGCTGGTGTTGCTTCTTGTTCTGTTGTTTGTACAACCAATCCTTCGTTACTCCAAACAGCAGCAACACCTGAGACATTCAATGTTGTTGTGTCTTCTTCAACTTGTGTTGAAACTGGTCCTGAATTGACACCATCAGAGGAATAAACATTTCCTGGTGTGTTATGTGGATATTGAGTGTAAATAAGTGTTGGCTTGTTTGTAACAATGATATCTGTGTCTCTGTCATCAATAGGAATGTATTGACGGCCACCATTTGCAATTGCTTCGTTGACAAAGTCATCGAGGAATGATAACTGTGGATCTTCTTCTTCATTCATTGATAAAACGATGTTCAATGATTCTCTGAAATTCAACAATTGCAATGCTTCGTAACAGATGTTCTGAACAATGATGGATCTAGATTGTTTGTAGTTCTCAAATACATCTAATACTTCTTGTGGAACTTCTTCAATCTTTGGTAACAACTTGAGAATAGCGTTCAAAACCCATTCTCTTGGATTGTCATATCCATCAGCCAAATCACATAATAACAAAATAATGAAGGATAAATCGTATTCATCGGATAATTCAGCGTAATTTCCAATGACATGGGAAATTACTGTTACAAAGACATCAGATAATCTACGAGATGATTGAGCGACATCCAAATAAAGATTGACAATTGATCTCCTCATTTCTTCATCGCATTCTTCATCAATGATCTTCATGACTTGGAATGCAACTTCAGGACGAACAAAATCACCTCCAATTGCAAATAATTGTTCCATTGTCTTTGCAAACCAAATTGGTGATGGAGAGAATTTTGATGCGATGTCAGTGATTCTATCAGAAAGATCACGTCTGATGATTTCATTCTTTGTGCGCTGGAAGAATTTCAACATGTTGATAACAATGATCTGTGCATTGTCATCTGATGCCATGTTGTGGAGGAGATTCAATGTGATCAATCTGATACTTGGATCAGGATGTTCGAGGCAATCAATGATTGTCGACTGGAATTCAGCAGCAAAGTCAGGAATGGCTGTGAGAAGTGATAAACCAATGTATTTGTAGTTCTGTTCTCTAGAACTCATGAATAACGAAATTGCACCTTTAAGTTGAGGGATTTCTGTAAGATCAAGTGCAATTGCTGTTCTTAAGGCTTCGTAGAGTACAGATGCTGATGCAGGAGACTCAAGATTTCCTGATTGCAATGTTTGAGTGATTAATGGCTCAATTTGGTCATTGATTCCTGTCATGTTGGCGGCAATCTTCTGTATAAGTCTGTATATGTTGACTAATATGAATGGTGCGCTCATCTTCTGATGAGAATATTCGATCTTTACGTTGTTAGTGACAATAACCTGTGCAACACGTGTAAGATCACCGAGGAGGTCACAAATCTGGCGGATGTTGAGTTGGTTCTTGAGGAGAGTTGTAAATGTGCAAACAACTGCATTAACTATGGAAAGATCTGGATCTGAGAGGAGACGGCAGAGATCTGGGAAGAAATCAACAACACAGGATGGATCCTTCTGAATGAAAGAGTGTACGCACATTACGGCCTTTTGTCTGATTAATGGGACTGTGTGGTTAAGGCATTGGCCAACAAATCCAATAACTGGCTGGATAAGCTCTGGAGTAACAAGTTGGGCAATTGCTGTTAAGGCAAGGGCCATGGATGTTGGATGGCCGGATGAAAGATCGCGTTGTGTTGAGTTTACGATGAGAACAATGAGATCTGACTTGGAGTCGAAGAGTGCAGAGCATGCTAAGTAACCGAGAGCCTTTGTCATCATCTGGGAATCTTGTGTAAGATTAACTGCCTGAATTTGACCGAAAGATGTATCGTATCCAAGAAGAGTAAGATGTACTAAGGAAATAACATTCTCGTAGAGATCTGAAAGACCAATTTTTGTCTTTCCAAGGACTTTCTTCACATCTTGCATCCAATTTGAAACGATTGCTTCTTCTGCTTCACGGCTCTTGCATTCACCAATATTGACGCAAGTATCATGGAAGTTCCTAGAAAGCTTAATCTTCTGTACGCCTTGACTAAATATTTTTTTGGTTCTGAAAAAAATGATATTTCAGAGAGGTTTACCACAAATTGTATAAATATTTTATTATGAATTACTATGCATTATTTATGAATTTCGCAAAAAATGGACGATAATTTCGGTTCATGAATTGTATCATATTTTGGATAAATTAGCCTTATGCTTCACAATGTATTTTAACTATGAAAATACGAATATTTCAGGAAAACTCTTATCCGCTTAAAATTCAATAGTTTACAATAATGATATCGGCTTCGAAAAGAATACAGTTGTATATCTATATTGTCTATATGTGTGCATCTTTGCAGGAATATTAGAATAAAGATGATTATATGAAAGGTTTCGGAATATTATCGATGCATTTCAGTATGTAATACTAGCATGCATAACGCACGCAGTTGTGCAATCGATGATTCTGAATTATCTCAAAATCAAGACTGATTTTGATAAGAAGAATTTATTCGATTTGGTGTTTGTTGTTATTAACGATATTAATTGGATTGCCAATAGGAATACTGTAGTATTGTGTAATGTATTTGTTCCAAATTTCTCAAAATTAAATCAAATTGCAAATCATGGCTTATCAGTATATTCGGCAAGCAACCTCACTATATACCAACAGATGTGCTATATAAGATCAGTTTAGATTATTGCGACATTTATCAAACTAATGATATTAAATGAATGCTTTATTAAATCGATATGGTTAAATATTCCATCCCTTTACGAATATTTCATATCCGTAATGATCATTCTCAACATTAACTAGCGTGTTTTTGTATAATCCGACAGATCATTCTCAACATTAACTAGCGGATCTTATAAAATAATTTACCTTTATTCAGCTTTTTGATATCTTTTGTAGTGATTAGTTCTTATTCAGCTGTGTATTGAATATTAGCGCTAATATGTAACGAAAGTTTTGAAAATCAAACTTGCTAAATTGCTTCGTTAAGTTTTCCTATCAAAAACTGAATGTAATCACTTACATTATGCAAGTCAGTTCAAAATTTGAAGTGAAATTGAGAATAGAAACAAAACAGACTTGTAAGCTTCATTATTCTGTTAGTTTATAACTGCGAAGGTTAGTTTATCATTATCTATTAGTATCCTTATTATAAAATCAAAGAATGAATTTCTGATAATTTGGAATTACGGAAATCTGTTATAGATTTCCACACAAACTCATGAATGAAATACCATGCCTATGATAATAATATGTTCGCAATTTATTTGGAAATTTATATCGAGCGAATCCTTCGTACAAATACATTTAAATGAATGTTAATTTTTCACTTTTCATAAAAAAATTTTTTCTACGAAAAAAATACGTTTTAAACTCAAATGTCTGTAGAAAGGCCGCGCCTTGGAAAGACAGAAGAACAACCAACAGTTCAATCTCGCACAATCAAGCGTAAGAAAGCAACAGTAACATCTCGTGGACTTGGAATGGCTCCAAAGCCAAAGCCACCGCGTGAATTTACCCAATTCCGCCGTTTCTATGATCGTGGCGATCTTCCAATTTCACGTAACTACGGTGATGAACAAGGTCCAATTCACTGGAAAGTTTCACCAGATCTTCTGGATTATCACCACTATTTACCAGTATTTTTCGATGGTCTTCGTGAAACAGAGGAGCCATACTGGTACTTCGCATATTACGGCACTCTTGATCTCATTGCTCAAGGCCCAACAAAAATTCTCGCTGTTGTTCCACAATTAATTATTCCGTTAAAGAAAGATCTAAATACTCGCGAGCCAGAAATATTATGCCGCTGCATGGCTGTCATTCAGGCACTTGTTAAAGCAGATCCTCTCATCAGTGAGGCTCTTGTTCCATATTACCGCCAGATTCTCCCAGTCTTTAATGAATTCTTCCTTGATAACAAGAACATTGGTGATCGTATCGAATATAGCCAGCGCAAGCACAACAATCTTTCTGATTTAATTCACGAAACTCTTGAAGAAATGGAAAAGAGCGGAGGTCCAGAAGCTTACATTAACATCAAATATATGATCCCATCATACCAGTCCGCTGTTGCTGGCAGTGCTTAAATTTATTTTTATTTTTTTTTTTACTAAAAAACTTCTGTGCCATTAAATTACATTCATCATTCACAAAGAAATTCAATGACTTGTCTAATTTTTTGATCTTTGGAATATCGATTTCCGTTAGAAAAAATATCAAACTAAAGAGAGCTCATTCTAAAGGCATTTTGCAAACACGTTCTATTTAATTCAGAAATACCCCATAATTAACTGTTTTTCAAAGAATATCGAATAAAAAAAAGTTATTTATTCGATCCAAAAACTAATCATAATGGTTGATAACTTAGTGATTGATTCAACAGTTTTTCACATTTAAGATAAAATTAACAAGAACTTTGTAATGAAGTTTAAAATTATTGTCAAGTTCATTGAAACTCCAAATATAATGATTTCCTTGAAGTGACTTGTATAATTTTGTTTGTTTGAAGATAATCATCTGGATGTAAATCTTATTGATTTCGACTTTCATATTGTTATTGTGTCATTTAATACATATGATATGATCTTAATTAAAGTTCATAATTTTATTTCCGAAATCTTTGTGATCATTGATTTCCAAATGTATAACACAATATTTATATTTATTTATTATAATGACTTTAAAAGATATTTATATGTTAAAATACAAATTTGTCATTTTTCAAAAAAAAATTATTCATGTCCGACAAAGACATTCATCCAAATAAATTCAGCGAACTTCGAAGTATCTACAAATACTACATTGATTCATATAATGCGTTATATCAGCTGAAAACTGAAAATGAAGAAGATTTAAACTCAATTTACAAACTGATCAAAACAGAATTGATTGATTCAAATAAACATCCACCACAAATAATTATTCGAGACATTTTAAATATAATTCCGTATAACAATCGCTATACAAAGTCATATTTATCTCTTGCCAAGCTCATATCTGATGATTACCATGTCACAGATGTCAGAAATGCTGGACCTATGTCAGACTTCCTGTTTTACAAAGAACATGGAATTGAATTAGACAAATTTGATGATTTTGAAAAAATTTGCTTAAAAAATCTGGATATTCATAAAACAGATACAATTTACAGAGCAATTATGTATAATGACTTAGAAAGATTCATTGCATTCACTGAAAGAGATGGATTTGATGAAGATCAAACACTTGAAAGCAGATTATATCCTTATGAAGAGGAATATTTTAATAAATTTTCATTGCTTGAATTATGTTGTTATCATGGAGCAGTTGATTGTTTCAAATTTTTACAAAGAGAATTTGAATCAAAAATAACTCGAACATGTTTTAAATTTTCGTTTTTAGGAGCAAATCCAGAAATCATGAGCGAATGTTTGAAATATCAAAAGCCAAATTATAAATGCATGAAATATGCAATTATTTCACACAATATAGATTTTATTACATTCTTGATGAATGAATACAATTTAGGGATAGTTTTAGATTATTGTGCCAAGTATAATAATATTGAATCATTATTAGTTTATTTCGATCAAACTAATAATGTTTACACATGCTTTTATATTTCGGTGGTATTTAATATTCCATCTCTTTGTGAATATTTTCTTTCAAATGGTATAAATATCAATGAAAAAGATGAATTTGGACAAACTACTCTTCATATTGCAGCACAATATAATAATAAAGAAACAGTCGAACTTCTTATTTCACATGGAATAAATATTAACGAAAAAGATAAAAATGGACAAACCGCTCTTCACAGAGCGGTATATTATAATCGTAAAGAAACAGCCGAACTTCTTATTTCATATGGTATAAATATCAATGAAAAAGATAATAGGGAAGAGACCGCTCTTCATATTGCAGTAAGCAATAATAGAAAAGAAATAACCGAACTTCTTATTTCGCATGGTATAAATATCAATGAAAAAGCTAAATATGGAGAAACCGCTCTTCATATTGCAGTATATTGGTATAGTAAAGAAATAACCGAACTTCTTATTTCACATGGAGCAAATATCAATGAAAAAAATAATAATGGATAAACCGCTCTTCATATTGCAGTAAGATCTAATAGTAAAGAAACAGCCGAATTTCTTATTTCACACGGTGTAAATATCAATGAAAAAGATGAAGATGGACTAACTGTTCTTCATTATGCAGTAAGATCTAATAATAAAGAAATAGCCGAATTTCTTATTTCACATGGTTCAAATATCAATGAAAAAGATGAAGATGGACAAACCGCTCTTAATAATGCTGCATATTAATCATGAACCAGTTGTGATAATCGATTCATCTATTCCTGGCGTTATATCTTGTTTGCGGTAGCATCGAGATATATAGGGTAACAGGAAACTCCTGTAGCAATTAATGATCTAAATGCTCACGGGCTCTGGTTTGTAAAATTGAAATACTTATATTTATGTAACTTTGATTAAAAGTATTTAATGAAATCGAAGGAATCAAATTAGTTTCATCAGAGATAAAAAAATGATTTTGAATGGCGTTTTGTTTAGCAGTGTTGAATTTTCATTTGTAAATGAGCCATTTAAAAGGATCATTCTAGCAAATAGAGATATGATTTTCTAAAATAAGACTGTAAAAGAGTATTTATACATGTGTGTGGATATGTTTTCAAAATATATCTTTCTGTGTGCTTATTACTACTAAGAGTTGGACTACTTCTAATTTCATATTCAAATAGAAGTACTCCAACTCTTAGTAGTTATGGTTTTGAGTGATAAACAAAAAAGATTTTATTATTGGCATATAGCAGTATTAGACGACAATGCGAATTTTCGAATTATAGAATTTTTAGCCTGATAAAGAGCCACTCCATTATAATGCGTGTTTTCACACGATATACATAGATATCATTCATCAAGAAAACATCCTCGAAAAAAATGATTAAAATATACCATTAAAATTCCGGCATTTAGAGTATTTATACATATGTGTGGATATGTTTTCAAAATATATCTTTCTGTGTGCTTATTACTACTAAGAGTTGGACTACTTCTAATTTCATATTCAAATAGAAGTACTCCAACTCTTAGTAGTTATGGTTTTGAGTGATAAACAAAAAAGATTTTATTATTGGCATATAGCAGTATTAGACGACAATGCGAATTTTCGAATTATAGAATTTTTAGCCTGATAAAGAGCCACTCCATTATAATGCGTGTTTTCACACGATATACATAGATATCATTCATCAAGAAAACATCCTCGAAAAAAATGATTAAAATATACCATTAAAATTCCGGCATTTAGAGTATTTATACATATGTGTGGATATGTTTTCAAAATATATCTTTCTGTGTGCTTATTACTACTAAGAGTTGGACTACTTCTAATTTCATATTCAAATAGAAGTACTCCAACTCTTAGTAGTTATGGTTTTGAGTGATAAACAAAAAAGATTTTATTATTGGCATATAGCAGTATTAGACGACAATGCGAATTTTCGAATTATAGAATTTTTAGCCTGATAAAGAGCCACTCCATTATAATGCGTGTTTTCACATGATATACATAGATATCATTCATCAAGAAAACATCCTCGAAAAAAATGATTAAAATATACCATTAAAATTCCGGCATTTAGAGTATTTATACATATGTGTGGATATGTTTTCAAAATATATCTTTCTGTGTGCTTATTACTACTAAGAGTTGGACTACTTCTAATTTCATATTCAAATAGAAGTACTCCAACTCTTAGTAGTTATGGTTTTGAGTGATAAACAAAAAAAAAATATATCTTACCGTGTGCTTATTATAAGTAAAAGTTGGATTACTTCTAATTTCATATTCAAATAGAAGTATTCCAACTCTCTAAACTTTATGATTTTGAGTGATAAACAAAATATATCTTACAGTGTGCTTATTACTCCTAAAAGTTGGACTACTTCTAATTTCATATTCAAAAAGAAGTGCTCCAACTCTTAGTAGTTATGGTTTTGAGTGATAAACAAAAGAAAAAAATGATTAATATATAATAAAGTTTTTATTCCACATCATATTAAAATTCCGTCATTTAGAGGTCTACAATCCAAGGGTTTCCATTGATACCGAATGGATTTCCATTGTTTCCGAAATCAATTCCCCTGAAGACGAAATGTCTTGGTGGGTTGATGTTGTCTGAATTAAGTAACTGTGCCTTCTTTTCATCGTTTAATCCTTCAGCTGCTTTAGCTGCTTGTTCTCTAGCAAGCTTAGCCTCTTCAGCTTCACGTTTGAGTCTTTCTTCTTCAGCTCTCTGCTTCTCTTGTTGAGCTTTGAAACCTGGATTATCTGGATCGTCGCCAGAATCGTAGACAGCGCGTTTTACAGGGTCACCGAGGATTTCTACACCTCTGTTGATCTTCGCCATCATCCTTTCGCATTCTTTCTTCTTGGCTGGATCTGAATATTGATCTGGATGGTAAAGGCGTGTTGCTTTGCGCATGGCATCCTTTAATTGTGTCTTTGTAAAGTCGTGTGAGAGGTTAAGGAGCTCGTAGTAGTTGACATTTCGCTCGGCTTCATGGATATTGAAAATTTCTAGAATTCTGTCGTTAACGTGTTGTATTTTATCATCGATACGCTTTGCTGCTTGATAATCGCGGTTCGCTTCGTCAATATCGCCTTGATTAAAGTTGATATCAGCTCTTGCAGTGAAAACATCGGTATTATTTGGAAAAGCGTCGTCGAGATCGTTAAGGTATGATATGGCGCCTCTAATTGTTCCATTGATGGCCATTGTTCTGGCTTTCAAAGTCTCAGCTTTGACCCAAAGTTTGGATGTGTTCTTGCAAGCTCCGTTTGCGATTTTATGGACCTTCTCGTAGAACTTGGAAGCATCTTCAACGTTGGAGGTGTTCTCTGCTTCGGCGAATTTGTTGAAATAATTCTGAAATTCGTTGTTGTAGCGGTTCAATTTCTGGCATTTCGATTTGTCCTTGGCCTTCTTAGCGCATGTGAGTAAGTGGCGCTTGGCAAAATCGTGGTCAGCGTTGCATAAGAAATAAATACCACGAAGTTCGAGAATTTCGAGGTTTGATGGCTCGAGTTCGACAACCTTTGTGGAAATCTCAAGGAACTTGTCCTCAAGACCAAGTTTCAATGCATACTTGGCAGCTTCAATCTTCATATCTAAGGAATATCTGCATTTTTCAGCGAGGGTGTCGTAGGCTTGGAACACGACGTCGTATTTGCCTTCTGTAGTGGCTGTCTTGATCTGGGTGTAAAGAGCATCGATTTCATTGTAGAATTTGGTCAGTTCTTCATCTTCGGCTTTTTGTTGGTCAATCTTAGCCTGTTCGATTTTGCCAGTGTTAATATTGCAGAAACCACGTGATTTGTGTGCGTTCTTACGCATTTTTTGGTCTGATTTTGTGCTATTAAGAACACGGTCGAAATCTTCAATGGCTTCAACGAAATTATGAAGCTGATAGTTGCTCTGACCACGAAGATAGTAAATACTAATTTCATTTGGTGAGAAATTTGGAGAAATTATAACTTGAGTGGCATATTGAACTGCACCCTGGTAATTTTTCTCATCCATGTATGACTGAATGATATCAGCATCTCCACTCTCTGAAAGAATCCTCGATACTAAAAGGAAAAACATCCAAGAGGAGGGAATTAAATTCTGAAAACATGTAAGCTTCTCAATTTTATTTGATTTCAAGGGATGAGGCCAAATATAATCTGACTCATTCTTGGATGCCTTCCATATTCCGAAATTTAAAATTAGTATAAAGGTAGTCATACGATGAAATTCACATGGAATTCAAATAACGTCAATAAAAATAAACACATCAATTTTTATTCGATAAACCACATCCTAGCTATTCGGAATATAAAAATAAAGAGTACGTAAGATGTTTTTCTCATATAAACCATTTAAAATCTCTAAAAAATGTTTTAGAACTTGATAATGAAGTTTACATCAAAATGAAGAAAGAAGTGAACTTGGAATGCGAATTCACTCTTTCTTTACTGATAGTTTATCGCAACCATCGGTTTAAGAGATTAAGCTGACAAAAATATTTCAAGGAGTTATTGTGATTTATAGAAAACTCTACCATCAAATTCCAAAGATGTATTATATATTTCTTCAAATCTCACGCTTTGCAAATTTGGTTTTCAAGCAAAACGATATAAGGCAAGTAGAGTGGTAGAATTATGAACACATATATGGACTTAAGATTTGAGTTATTTCGAAATGTATTAACGCCAATAGCTATTCTATGACTGGGATTTGTTTTATTTTTGTTTTTGTTTTCTTTTTCTTTTTCATTTGACGTTTAATTTTTAAATTTTCAAACAGCTGATGAACATCAGCATTAAAATTATTGTTAGGTTCATTGAAACATCAAATGTAATGGTTTCCTTGAAGTGACTTGTATAATTTTGTTTGTTTGAAGATAATCATCTGGATGTAAATCTTATTGATTTCGACTTTCATATTGTTATTGTGTCATTTAATACATATGATATGATCTTAATTAAAGTTCAAAATTTTATTTCCGAAATCTTTGTGATCATTGATTTCCAAATGTATAACACAATATTTATATTTATTTATTATAATGACTTTAAAAGATATTTATATGTTAAAATACAAATTTGTCATTTTTCAAAAAAAAATTATTCATGTCCGACAAAGACATTCATCCAAATAAATTCAGCGAACTTCGAAGTATCTACAAATACTACATTGATTCATATAATGCGTTATATCAGCTGAAAACTGAAAATGAAGAAGATTTAAACTCAATTTACAAACTGATCAAAACAGAATTGATTGATTCAAATAAACATCCACCACAAATAATTATTCGAGACATTTTAAATATAATTCCGTATAATAATCGCTATACAAAGTCATATTTATCTCTTGCCAAACACATATCTGATGATTACCATGTCACAGATGTCAGAAAAGTTGAACCTGTTTCAAACTTCCTGTTTTACAAAGAATATGGAATTAAATTAGACAAATCTAATGATTTTGAAAAAATTAACACAGAAAATCTTGAAATTCATTCAGAAGATACAATTTACAGAGCAATTATGTATAATGACTTAGAAAGATTCATTGCATTCACTGAAAGAGATGGATTTGATAAAGATCAAAAACTTGAAAGCAGATTATATCCAATTGATTTTTATCCTAGAGGATATTCATTACTTGAATTATGTTGTTATCATGGAGCTGTTGATTGTTTCAAGTTATTAAGAACGAAATTTCAATCAGAAATAACTCGAACATGTCTTAAATTTTCATTTTTAGGAGGAAATCCAGAAATCATGAGTGAATGTTTGAAATATCAAACGCCAGATGAAGAATGCATGAAATATGCAATTATTTCACACAATATAGATTTTGTTACATTCTTGATGAATGAATACCATTTAGAGATAGTTTTAGATTATTGTGCACAGTATAATAATATTGAATCATTTTTAGTTTATTTCGATCAAACTAATAATGTTTACACATGCTTTTATATTTCGGTGATATTTAATATTCCATCTCTTTGTGAATATTTTCTTTCAAATGGTATAAATATCAATGAAAAAGATGAATTTGGACAAACTACTCTTCATATTGCAGCACAATATAATAGTAAAGAAACAGCCGAATTTCTTATTTCACATGGTGCAAATATAAATGAAAAGGATAATTTTGGAAAAACTACTCTTCATTATGCAGTAAGATCTAATAGTAAAGAAACTGCCGAATTTCTTATTTTGCATGGGGCAAATATCGAAGAAAAAGATATATCCGGAGAAACCGCTCTTCATATTGCAGCAACTCATAATAGTAAAGAAACTGCCGAACTTCTTATTTCGCATGGTGCAAATATCAATGAAAAAGATAATAATGGAGGAGCCGCTCTTCATATTGCAGCACTAAATAATAGTATAGAAACAGCCGAACTTCTTATTTCGCATGGTATAAATATCAATGAAAAAGATAATAATGGACAAACCGCTCTTTATTATGCAGCAAAAATTATTGCAAAGAAGCCGCCGAACTTCTTATTTCACATGGTATAAACATCAATGAAAAAGATAATTATGGTCAAACCGCTCTTCATATTGCAGCATATGAAAATAGGAAAGAAATAGCTGAACTTCTTATTTCACATGGTGCAAATATCAATGAAAAAAATAAATGGGGAGATACCGCTCTTCATATTGCACGATTAAGTAATTGTAATGAAACAGTCGAACTTCTTGTTTCATATGGTGCAAAAACATAATATCATTATATAAGAATAAAAATATTTAAGGGTGCACACGAGAGGATCATGTAAACTTCAGAATTTAGAATCTTATTTTTAGGCATTATCTTGGCTACCTATTTAGGCTCGAAAAGCAAAAAATATCAAAAAATACAACTTGACTCCATTATGACCCTTTCATGGAGGTAGTTTTTATCCGCTAGTATTTTCCCTTTGAATCTCTTTCCAATTCGAAATCAAATTCAAAACTCAGTAGAAGAAAGGAAGAATCGACTTACTACGGTTGTAATACGAATAAATACATATATTTAATTATTTTATTTACATAATAATTGTTTGAAGCTCATATTCCATCAAATTTTTAAATAAAAACATTAAAATGTTGAAAATGTTCATATATTTTAATAGGGTTTTGGCACTTTATTGAGGAATTACTACATACATAGTCGAACCGAACTTGATATTTTGAAATTTAAATTATTTATCAAAATTAAAATTTAACTTGAAATTTATAATTATTTAGTCATATTTTGCATAATTCTAAGTAGATTTTGTAAAAAATCAAGAAAGAAAAATTTTAACGTGCTTTATTTTTTCTTTTTTATAATAATACATATTATTATATAATTAACATATTCATAATGTTTCACCCTTTCAAAAATATAATCCTCCTCCTCTCAAATAAACGTACATACGGGTGGCCTCTTTTTTCAAAAATTAAAATTTGAAATTTTGGGCTCAAATATTAGAGATTTTTTCAACCTTCAACGATATATGTTGTCTATATCAGACCTCCTTTCTTTTTGATACTTAACATTGTTCCTAAATCTTAGCCGTTAAGGCTGTTCTGAAAATGTTTTTTTTTCGAAAAAATTCGAAAAAAATTCTTAAAATTCAAAAATCCCTTAATTCCTGAGGATTTTGGGAAAAAGTTTTTACATGAACATGTGTATATTATATGAAGTATATTGATAAGGTAAAAATCAAATTTTATTGCATATTCATCGAGAAAATAAACTAACGAATCCCTCAAAATTGAGAGGGTAATCCTCCTCTCAAATAAACGTACATACGGGGGCACCCTTAACATATACAGAATGATTTGTTACTTCTTCTGGTGTGTTTGCAATTACAACAGAGACATTGAAAGTAAAGTTTCCAACAGAAGTATTGTCTGGAATTGTGATATTTATGGTTATGTTCTTTTCAGTTTCTGTTTTTTCTAGTTCTTTTTCTACACTTTTATCGCCTAAGGTAACTCGAATTTTGTATTTTGGGGTTTCAACCGAAAGCTTATATGTTGTTTTAATGCTAACTTCTCCACCTTGTGTTACATTTTCTTCCTCGATCTGTGGACCGTATTCAATAGAAAATACAGATGTGCTCTCATCATTCAATGAGTTTCTATATATCTCTAATGGGGATTTAACATCATTGTGTATGGATGATGTCAAACTAGTAAAAGTTAAAGAGAAAAGGAACATCAGTGAAGAAATTTGTTTTATTGTTATTTATAAAATAAAACGAATTCGGTTTATTATGATGAAATCTGCAGCATGAATTCCTTATTAGAACTTGATTGATTATAATCGAAATAGAAAATTGAAAAGATTATTTTTCGATTTTTGAATACCTTTTGAAAAATCAGAGGAATCATATTTCAATGAATAGCAGAATTGATTGTTTATACCAAATTATTTTTCATGCATAGAGTATTTTTATCAATATTATTATTTCAAATGAGAATTATTTTTTATGCCTATCAATTTTGAATGAAGCATCGACTTGTTCTCAAAAATTGAGATTGTATAATGATTATCATTAACATTATTTTAATTTCTGTCTTTTAACATGGCTGTGATTTATTGAAAACTTGAAGGCTTTTTTAATAAAAGTCATCTTGAATTCAAGTATTTATTAGAAAAAAAATGTCAATATTCATGAAAATATTAATCTTTATTCATTGAGTGTTACAAAACAAATTCATCATTTGAAATTTCTTCACCTTCACCATTATCAATATTAATTGTGAATACTTTTTGCTGCTTTTGTTGTTCTGCTTGATCCATTGAAGTAAGAACTGTTTCTTCATTGATCTCAATTGCATCAACATAGTCTGTCTTTTTCTCACCCTGCTCTTCTTCCTCATCATCATCCCGTTTCTTGAATATGAAGTATAATATCATAGAACTGGCGATTAGAAAAGCAGCTGCAATAGAGCCAATTATTATCCACAAATTCTTATTTTTAGGTTTTTCAGGTTCTTTTTGTTCTATTTCTTCTCTGCGTGATCCCGGAAGAACATCGAGCTCAAGGTTGTATGAATCTATTGGAGATCCTTCAGGATCTAAAACAGTGACTGATACTGGATGCTTACCTGGTTCTGTTCCTTCAGGAACAGTGATATTTAATGAAACTTCACTATATTCTTTGTCTTTGGATGGTGGAACATCGACTATGTATTCATGGCCTTCAAATTCTGCTTTGACTTTGTATGTCGAGTTTGTAGGATTATTTATTTTCATGTTTACTGTTGTAGAATAACCTCTTTTAGCCGAGTTTTCAGTAAAAACTGGTGTTTCTTTTACTGTTGCACGAGGCTTGTCATCAACACTAAATTTGAAATCATGATTTAACTCACTTCTATAGCCATATTCATCTTCCACATAAACTTTCAATGAGTGTTCGGAGAGAGAAAGATTTGCAGTGTTTATGACGATTTCTTTGGTCTTTTCTTCATTATTTATTTCAATCAATTCACCTTGAACAACTTTGCCATCTAACTCATAAACAATTCTTGCAGATGTGTCATCACTGAGTTTGACCTTTATTTTAATGTCGCTTCCAACTGTATAACCATTTGCAGGTGGATGATCAATTGTAATTGATGGTTTTACTGTGCTAATGATTGTTGTCTCATAGTTGGATCGTCTCCTACCTTCATCCAAGGCCCAAATATAAAGAGTTTTCGTCTTTGATGGACCACATTGAAGTGGAATTGAAAAATGTTTTGTTTTTTCTCCATTTGATGCATCCAATGAATCAAGTTTATGCTCTGTGCCATCATCTCCATATTTATAATCGAGGTCAATCTTCGAGTCATCATAAACGGAAGCAAAAGTTCCTTCAACTGTAAAGGTTGTTTCGTTTATTTGAGCTTTATTGAAAGAATTGACGTGAATAATTGGTGGCAGTTTAATTTTGTTTCCTACTATCAAAAGAACATTGAATGATTGTTTCTCTCCTGGTTTAATAACTCTTCCGATCCATGAGATTTCAAATACTGAATCTGTATTTTCCAAAGGCTCATCTGGATTTGAAACATTTCTACCAATTTCAGAACGATCGTCATAATATCGTCCCCAATATAAAGTGTCAACATTGGTAACATCATAACCATCTCTAACAAGAAGGGTAAGTATATCTCCTTTTCTTGGATCCTGATCCTTTTTATTCTCCATTGAAAATCCTTTTCCATCCGTTAATGGTAGGACTGCAGCAAGATCGTCACCACCAATTTGAATATCAGCATATACGCCAATGTCAAATAGCTTTGATTCATTTCCATTGTTTGTTAGATCAAATATGACTCTAATATAATCGTCGCCGAGTGATTTATCGAATCTTGAAATAAATGTTAAATTTTCCTCGGAAATTGATCCATTATTTTCTGATAGAGCGTTATAAGTTACGTTTTTGTCCGGATTTGATGGATTTGTTGTATTCGTTCTTAATTGAACTCGCCAGCCAAAATTATCAAATGTTGTTTGATAATCTTCTCCATATCTGAAATCAAATGCTCTATCGGGATCTGTCTTAAAGGTGTAATAAAGCCCTGAATTAATAAGATGCGTTAGCAAGAAAAACATTGCAATAATGATTTATATAAAAATCCCTCAATTTTTGAATGAAAATTATTTTGAACTTTTGAGAAAATTTTTTTTTGGGAAATAATAAGGTAGTCACAAAATATAAGTAGTGAGGCTCTCAAAAATTGAACCGTACTCCATACAAAATTTGTGTACCCTCACTACTTAGATTTTGTGGCATTCAATTGAGAGGTTAGTTTTGATAGAGCAAGTTATAAAATTAAAAGGGAAAAATAAATAAAATTTAAACATTTAATTATATATAATGTAAGGAGCGTAATTCCAAATTTTCTAAAAACTATTCAAATTTGAGCATTTTTTTGGAAATAGTAAATCTGTTGCATGCTAAGTAGTGTCAATGTGTAAACCTCTCAATTTTATCGTCGGGAAAGCAACACAATTCCCTCAAAAATATTGAAAAAATATAGAAAATAAAATGAATTAAGATGTACTTAAAATGAGAAATAGATTATGATATTAGATTTTAGAAAAAACAGACTTTTGATATAACTTTTGAGAATCTCATATAAAAAAGCATTTAAAAATAAATTTAAATATCTTATTTATTTTACTATTGTAAATATATTCTGAGATTTTTAGAAAAAAACACTTTTCATAATTATTCAATATTTGAGAATACGGTCCAAAAAAAAATAGATTCTCTTATATTTGCTTATATAAAAGGAAACTCTCTATCAGATGCGAATGCCTGAATTCAGCACCTCTGATAGAGAGTTTCCTCTTATATAAGCATCTTTTTCATGAGTTATTGTTAATATAAAAACATAAAAAGCTACCAATATGAGAAATTAAACCCTGCGAGGTGCCAGTCTAGAACTGGCGCTTCGCAGGGTTTAATTTCTCTTGACAAATGACAAAACTTGTTCGCAATTGTGAACCATTGCGTGGAAGTTTGCCAGATATCTGGAAGGAATTGCTCCTTATGATATATGCATTGTAACTGTATATATCATAAAGAGCAATTCCTTCAATTAAACGCAAAAACTTTGGTGCAATCGTTGCTGATTGCACCAAAGTTTTCGAACTTTCCCGAGGGAATTGGAGGGTGAGAGATACATAGTCTATCTATGTACCTCTCACCCTCCAAATCCCACTCTAAATGGGAGAAACTTTGTTCGCATGTTATTTTATTCAAACAAAGTTTCTCCCATTTAGAGAAGGAATAGGAGCCTACCAGGCACTGATATATAATCAGTGCATTGTAGGCTCCTATTCCTAATAAAAATTTGAAAACTTTGGAGCACTTGATTATTGTATTTTGTCAAGAGAAATTCAACCCTGCGAAGTGCCAGTTCTAGACTGGTGCCTCGCAGGGTTTAATTTCTCATATTGGTAGATTTTGATGTTTTTATATTAACAAAAACGAATGAAAAAGATTTGCTTATATAAGAGGAAACTCTCTATCAGAGGTGCTGAATTCAGGCATTCGCATCTGATAGAGAGTCTCCTTTTATATAAGCGAATATAAAAGAATCTATTCTTTTTTGGAGCGTATTTTCAAATATTGAATACTTATGAAAAGTGTTTTCCTAAAAATTTAATATAATGCTTAGCACAATATATAAAATTAAAATATCTATAATTATTTTCTATATCACACTTTTCATTACACCTTGAAAAGTCTTCTCAAACTCTATTTTTAATTATTTTTTAGATATATCTCAAGTGTAATTATTCAAAAACTCATATAGACTATATTTATTTTTTTCATTCAAAAAATTATATGAGAATCTCAAATTAACTTTCAAATTTTTTATTTTAAAAACATATTAATAATCATATTTTAAGATACTTTTTCGCCCAAAAAATAATTGTACTTCCTCGACGATTAATAGGATCTCAATTTCTATCGTTGACACTACTTAGCATGCAACACATCTAATAACAACATGATTCATCACCTTTTCAAGCTCTGCAGTCAATTTTTTGAAATTTGATTGAAATAAATGTAGCAAAAATTACATTTCATTAGGGAATATATGAGTTTCTCTGGAAACAGGCTGATAAATTTTAAATTTTGTCCAATCAACATGAATGCATTGAGAAATTTGGATTGATTTTCTGGTAGAATCTGGAACAATTCAACCATGTATAAATGGATCATGTAATCATCATGAAATGTTAGTGTTAGAGTTCAAAAGAAACAGAATGAGTGGAAATCAAACACAATCTGAATAATTTTAAACGTATACAATCTTTAAGTTTGTATTTTGAATTCTACATATATGATTGTGTAATTCGTTCTTTCAAATTTTCGGATTCAGGCATGTTTTGATAAAAATCATTCCCAAAAACGTCAATTAACAATTAAATTTAGTGTATTTTAAATATGTATACGTATTATATTTTATAAATTATATTAAATTCGCAAAATTTTAAGTTTTAAACAAAAATAAAAAATGTTCAAAATATGAAATTATGCATAGGATATTAAAATTTACATGTTAGCAATTTTTTGAATTGCTTTCAATTTTCATATTGAAATTTTTAAGATTTTTTTCTGAAATAATAAGCAAGAATATCAACCTAAATAATATTAAATTCCATGCGTTAATTTCCCCTCAAAAGTCATTGACCGCCTCTCAATCTAGATTTTGTGAGTAATTTATTTGTTTTATTTAATCACTGTTAGTGAATACTATCAGATTTTGTTGTTTCTTATTAGAAGCTTACAGAAAAGATTTAAATTCTGATGAAAACTGTTCAAATATTGAAAAATTATTCAAAAAATTAAGTTTATATAAGGATGTCAATTCGGAAAATTATTTTCATTTTAGGAGAATATAATTTTCCTTTTGGAAAATTTAAAAAGTGAGACGCGCAGGATTCGAACTTTTTAAAAAGTTGATTTAAATATATTCTAGTGTGGATTCTAAGGATAATATCATATTTAAAATAAGAATATACTAGTTTACGTGGTATAATTTTTTCGATAAATTTGAGAGTATGTACGTTTAGGGCATCAAAAGTGTCAAATCGCTCAGCGAAAGCTGAGCTAGCTTCGTTCTCGAAAAAATAGGGAAGGAGTGAAAGAGAGTGATACAGAAGTTGACACATTCATATCATTTCAACAAATTTTGATCAAATTGAAATTCAATGAAATTCAATTCACTTCATATCCTTCAGTCAGTACATTGACATCCTTCTACATCACAATGATAACTCGTGCATCAATCGTTCTACAACTAACTCAGAAAAAACAAGATTTTTACTTCCAGCTTACAGCTTTTAAAAAGTTTCGATGATAAAAATCACTCTACTCTTGTTTATCGATATGTTGTGATAGTAGGTAAACGTATTCTTATCGATATTAATAAAATATTTTTACGAAAATCTGAACCAATTACAGAGTTATTCATAAAGTTTATGATAACTGTAATTACTTCATCTTTGTTTTATATTTGAATAAACAATTTAATTTAATTTGCATAATTTTTTTTAGTTGAAAGACAGGAAACTTAGTTGAGTTTGTATTATTTTTATCGTTCAATTCATTGTATATGTGAGTGATCCAGATATTTAAGATATTTAGAAAAAATTTATTAATTTGATTAACAAATTTTTAATCAAAATAGCAAAAATCTATTTGATAGCTGTAAGCAAATAGTAATTTTTATTTCAACCAAAATCACTTATTTTTCATCTAAACGTATAAATTGTCAATTTTATGAGAATAAATTAAAATCTCATGAAATATAAAGGAGAGTAATATTTTTCAATTTTCTTTTTTTCTTTGTCTCAAATATTTTCTGTTGGGAATTTTCTTGTTATCAAAAAATAATTTTAATATTTGTTTATTTCATTACATACAATAAAATTTTAAAAACTCTATTTCTTCACAGAAAATTTTTTCCCTTCATATGAAGAAACATTTTGTTCTCCATTTGATGCTGAGTCTAAATCTCGATTTTTGATTTTTCTTCTTTCCAAATTTCTTTTTTCCAAATTAGAAGTTTAATTCAAATTTTCAATAGTTTATATATTTTCTCAAACCGTCTTAGATTTTCTCACTTTTTAGGGATTTTCTCTCAAAATATACAAAAATAGTAATATCAATACATGTGTCTAATATACTTTAAAAACCATCGTGATAAAATTTCAAAAAACGAAGAGTTCTTCTCTCCAAATTTTTTTCAAAATCAAAAAAATGAGATAAAAAAATATGTTTGGAAAATTCATTTTTAGCATTTTAGGAATTTTCTCACTTTTCTTCCAAATTGACATCCTTAGTTTATAATATCAGTTTGTTATAAGTAATAGGTATTGATTTTTCAATTTATAAACTAATATAATTTTGTGGCCTTTTTTACATTTTTTTGTTATATTGAGAAGCTCTAAATATAAAATCGATTAAATATAATAGTGGAAATTATTATTTGTCGTAGATACTTTTTTAAATACTGAAATTGCATTCATGCATTTATCAAAGTTATTTTTCTCAAACGACTAAAAATTAAAGAGAAACATTATAATTTTAATGCTTCTTGTCGCTAGGATTGTTAGATAAGGCCATGAACCAGATATGGTTTTGCAAATAACGGAATTTGAAAAAGAAAACATTTATAAAAATCAATTATATTATGTCAGATGTATTGCTTATGATATTGAAGTAGCATATCATAGTTCATAAGAGCAATTATGTCATATTCATGTAATGAAAAATGGTAATGTTATTCAAATTTAAGATATTTTAATAGTGATTCAACATTATACTGAAAGCGTGAAATATGTGCCATAAATTGATAAAATCTAATTTGAAATATTAAGTGCATTCCAGAACAAAGCTTCACCATTCCATGAACTTAAAAAGACCAATTAGTACAAATGTTAAATATATTTATTACTTCATATCATAATGAAATTATAAAATCAGAATAATTAGCAAAATTTTTGGTAATTCTATTACAATTCATCTTTTATACTATTTATATTAATAATCCATATAAGTTTGATCAAAAAAACGAAAAATAAATTTATTCATATATTTTTATTTGTTTCATTAAAATAAACACTTTATATTTTTTGTTACAACACAAACTCTTCTTGTGTGAATTCATTACCGTTCTCAACATCAAGAGTGAAAACTTTTTGTGAATTTATTGCGCTTCTACCATCTTCTGCGGATATAACAGTTTCTTCATTGATATCCACAGCATCAATATATTGATCTTTTTCGTTTTCTTCCTCTTCTTCTTCATTTCGTTTTCCTGCTGCAAGGAAGAATATTAGTAAACTTACTAAAGTAATTAGAGCTACAGCTCCAACTGCTGCGCCAATTATCATGTATATTTGCTTCTTCTTCTTTTTGGCATCGTGTTCTGTTGCATTATCACCTCCGGATGTTGTATTGCCTTCAGGTTTACTATGATCCTCTTCTTCTGTTTGCTCTTTTTTGTCATTGGGCTTTTCAATTTTACTTACTTCTTTATTTCTGTCATCCATAATGAATATAACAACTTTGTTATCTGCATTTTCTGATTTCTCTGGAATTGTTATGTTAAATGAGTAATCTGTGGCTTCATTATTTTCTGTAGGTGGAATAACAAATTCGTAAATTTCTCCATTAATTTCTGCTTTGAATGTATAGTTGATTGTAGATGGATTCTTTACTTTCATTGATATTGATACTTGACTTCCTGGTTCAATCTTTAATGGATATGTGACATTTGGTCCTGATTCAAAGATGGGTCTTGGATGATTGTTAACTTGTATTTCAAATGAAATGTCACTCTTGCATTTACAATTATCATTATCAACAACAGTAATTGCAAGTTTGTATTTGCCTTCATCCAACTCCTTTGTATTCAATGTGAACTTCTTAGTTTGTGGGGTGTTCTCAAGTATTGTGAATTCCTCTTCTTCAAACTTTTTTCCACCAAATTCATATGTTATTTTTGCGCTTTTATCATCATTTACTTGAATTTCGAAGGGAATTTCATCCCCAATCAAACATGTCTTTACTGGTTCTTTTGCAAAGGAAATAGTTGGAATTACATTTGCTGTTATTTCTTTGCTCACTTCTTCGGACTTTCTATGATCTTCATCTTCAACCCAAACAATCAAATTCTTTGTTCTTTCTGGTCCAGCAATAAAATCGAATGAAAAATGCTTTTGACTTCCATTTTCTTTGACAGAATGTTGCTCAACAGTATGTTCTGTGTCTGTATCTCCATACTTGTACTTAAGTGTAATTATGCTATCATCATAGATTGAAGAATATTCTCCAGTTACAGTGACAGTGTCATCTTTGATTCTGAATGTTTCCAAGTCATCGAGCTTTATTATAGGTGGAATTCTTGTATATTTGCCAATAACTAATAATACATTGAATGATTGTTTCGAATGCGGAAGAATCTCTCTATTAATCCATCCTATCTCAAAGATTGAATCAACACCTACAGTTAGTATCATGTAATTGGGTACCAAGGGTCTACGCCCCTTAGTACTCAAATTACTAGAATCTGCAAAAAACCGTTTGACACGTAAAATATTTTGACATTTACAAAAATAAAAAATAATTTTTAAAAAATAAACTTAAAAATTAACGTTCAAATTTTTGACACTTCACAAAATAAAAAAATAATTTTTAAAAAATAAACTTAAAAATTAACGTTAAAATTTTTTATTTATTTTTTTTATCATAGATTTTAACACCCAGAGTAAAAATAAACTTAAAAATAAATTAACTCAAAAATTTTTTAATTTCTGTATATACTAAATTTTTCATAAATGATAAAATTAATTTAGAGGGCTCTTTGAGCCCATCTCGCCGCTACGCGGCTTAGGGTAGATCTAACCCGATATCTAACCTCATTTCTAACCCTGTGAATTTTCTTATAAAGTTGCGATAGTTGAATTCAGTAACTGAGCCTCAAGGAAGAAAACATCCTTTCCGTCTTCGGGTAACACAACGGGGCATTTATGATCGTGTGTAGAATACATATCAATCCAAAACTCTCTATTATTTCCTGATAACTTATAATATTTAATATTTGTTAATGGTGATGCTCTAGTATGACCGATAAATTCATTTTCAACCCCTTTAGCGATATTTGAATATAAAATGACTTGTTTTCTGTCCCAGACATTATATGTTATTATTGGTGATAACACTGTTCGTTCTTCTCCGGGTTTATAATTAAATACATTCATGAAGTCTTCATTATACTGAGAAATTTTAAAACCTATCCTAAAATCACTTTGTCTCTTTTCTGCTACTTCATTAAACGGCGAGTATATAACAAATGTGCATGTATGTGAATCATCTATTTGTTCAATAAATTCATAATGAAAGTCTATAATTTGTGGTTGAATTCCTTCTTCACCTAATTTATCAAGATACACATTTAATCCTAAAGCGTTTTTGTTAAATTTCTTTTCGAAAATTTCATTAAAATCATTCATGCATTCATATAATGTTGTGTCGTCTTTGAAATATTTATATATGTGAATAGTTTGCTTAAATTCTTGTGTATCGTTTATAACAACAACTTCAAGCTCAAATTCAACCTTTCTAAATCCTCGCGTTATATACATATTTGATAAACCAATATATTTTTCATTTATATTCACAGTCCAGTCAATAGGTAGTTTAAAGGTAATTCTATTTCCATTTATTTTGGCATTTTCGTTTTCAGAACTGAAAGCAACTGTTAAAGGTACTTGTCTATACATTTATTACAAACAAAAATATATCATTTATTCTTTCTTCTCAATGGAAAAGGGTCTTCGACCCTCATGAGGCTCAATGAGCCTCTTGAACCTTTTCCTTTTCAGCTTTTTCTTTAGCCTCACGTTCTCTTTTTGCTTTCATTCTTGGGTTCTTCTCTCTTCCTGCAGCTAATGCGGCTAACTGCTTTTCACTTAATTTCCTTTTTGGTTTTTGTGGTTTTTCTTCTGTTTTTTATGTCTTTAGTTCTGTTAATATCTGCTCACGAATTTCTTTTTTGATGGCTTCAATATCTAATCCCTGACTCATTTGATTACCGATAAAAAATTCAAAATTTAAAAATTTTATTTGAATTAAATATGAGCCTATCAAAATCTGAGAGACAATCGATTATATTAAATGATGCAAGAGGAATTCAGCATCCATTATATTATGTATCAACAAGTAAAGATGGAAAAATTTATGTAAGAAAAAGACGAGTTCCATTAACGAATTCAGAAACTGATAAAATAGATATAAAACCTAAACTTGAAACAAAAGCGGAAGACAGTGAGGCTGTCAGGACAAAGCCCACGATAAAGGAAACGGAATCTAAACTAGAACCTAAACCAGAACCTAAACCCGATGTACTTTCGATAACGAATCAAGAATTAATAGCTAAATTTGTAAATTTCATTGAAAAGCAAACGGAATCAAAAAATCCAGACCCACCAGTAAAAGAGCAGGAAACCAAAATTAATGAAGAGTTTGTGAAAAACGTAAAACATGAAATTATTGAACAAAAGAAACAAATTCCTCAACTAAGAAGAAGAGTTAGAATATTAAACTAAATAAATATTTTTATCTAACATAAAACATGCAAAACGAACAGCTTAACGAATTTACACCAGCTGAACATATCCATCAAATTCGTTCATATTTTGAGGTAATCGATAATGCAATTAATATTGGTGATACTAATAGAAGATATATCGATGCAAAAATTCCATCACAACCAGGAAGCGCAAAGGATCATAACTGGGTCACATTCAATTTATCTCCGCCAGGTGAAAATATGCTAGACCTTTATAACACATTCCTTACAACTACCTATAAAAGTAAATATATCCTGGATAAAGCTATTACTGGCTTCATCAATTCCAAATACTAATTCTCCAGGTTTCTTTGGCGTTTTTGATGAATCAATTTACACCATTGAAGCATATCAGTTATTAGCAAATGGAAGAGTTATTTATAGTCAGGATAACGCAAGAGAAGAAGCATATATCATTTCTAATTCACAGACTACAGAACAAATAAAGAAAGTTGATGTTTTCTCAAAAACGAGACATAAAGATGTATGGAAACGTTCTGGAACAGTTCGAACAGGTCAAATTATCTCAGGACCTTTAGTTGCAGGAGCTGAAATTAATTTTGACATTAAAATAAAGATTCCATGTCGTAAATTCCTTATTCTAGAAGTTATTAGATTTATTCCTGCTTTTGCAGGCAACATTCAGTTAAAGGTTAAATTTAGTAGCGATGCATTCCAGGTAACAGCACTGCCGGTAGAAGATATTTTAGCTCATAATCCTTCTTTAATCAGTCAGGTAAAAGATAATTATGCCCACCAACTAATAAATTTGTTCCATGGAATGAACCATTCAATATGATAACAGCAGTTTCAAATCAAATGGTGAAATTACTGTTTCAACAGTTGAACAAAGATTAACGAAGAAATCAGCTGAATTCATTGATTGCTTCATTCATCCTAAAGCATTTTCACTCGATCCAAATATTTACACTGAATTAGTCGATCATTATACATCACAAGCTTTATGTTTTCCAATTAAAGTAATGGACTGGATTCCTATGGACGGTTCGTTCAGTAAAGGTTCACCATCAGCAACTTTCACAGCAGCTTATACACCAATTAACGTTAAAAGCATTTGGGCTTTATTTAGGAAGAATGATAATTATATCGTAAATTTCGAAAATCCTCAATTTGAAACCCTTCAATTATCAATGGGTGCTTATGGAAGTATGCCAGCTGAACCCGAAGCTCTTATGGTCCTGTTTCTATGAAATGGTTGCTAATGCATGCAATACAAATAACGATATGATAGGATTTAATGAAGATGTGATGAGGGCGTTAATTGATGATGGAAGCGTTAAACATTTATATGAATCATACGATAACACTCATTTCCTCTGTGGATTCCCTACGGAAACTGATTTCACATTTCAACAGGGTCAAACATCAACGGCACCAATTACATATAAATTAGGTGTTAAAGCTGATGATACAAATATAAGCGAAAAATACACTGTCAAACCTTTATTAGGATTTCTTAGAAATGCTTGTTTCGCTATTCAAGTTAGACCAGCCGGCATCCCTGTTGTTATAATTGATGATTATAATTTAGCTGCTGATGGAGGTGAAGAGTAAAAAAAATAAATGTAGTTAATTTTTAATTTTCTGATTTTTTTATTTTTATAAAACGATGGAAAATAATAACTGGGAAACATTAGTAGCTGATGAAGATTACGAAATTAACACAAAATATCCGTATCAAATAATAAGAAAGAAAAACGGAAAGACTGTCAGTGAGTATGAAGAAAAGAATGGATATATAAGATTAACCCTTAACGGTAAAAAATATCTTAAGCATAGGTTAATAGCTATTCAGTGGATTGATAATCCTGGTAGTTTTGGGGAAGTTGACCATTACGATAAAGTAAGAAATAATAATAAGATTGATAATCTACATTGGTGTTCAAGTTCTACAAATAATAGAAATAGAAGTAAAGCAAATGGAGTAGAATATAATTTCGTTGATGAAATCAGTGAAAATTCAATTACTGTTTCACATTATGGAAATCATGAATTTGAGGATTTATTTTACGACATCAATGCAGATTTGTTTTATTATTATAACGGTCGTCAGTATAAAGAACTATACATTAATGAAAACATAAATGGTTCATTATATGTTAACGTTTATGATGTTAATGGAAAAAGAACATGCATTACGTATAGTAAATTCAAACGCTTACATAATTTAATATGAAAAGTTTATTTTTGTCTTGAACGATAAAAATATATTATATCATAAATGACTTCAGAACTTTAATTTCCTGATGAAAGTATTTTTAGTCGTTATTGAAAAGTTAAACTTCTCTTCAAAACAGGGTGCTGTTGATTTGCATAAATCAAATGCGATTTCCTGACCATCGTGAAGGGCTTGATATAATTTCATTATACTGAACTCAGAATCTTTATCATATTTTCCCTGAGGAATATGAATGTTCTTATCTTCATTATAATAGCATTGTACTGCGTCAGGAAACATTTCGTTAGCGGTTAAAGCAATGACATCTTGTTTTACGCCTTTCATACGTGCATGAAATGCAACTTCACCAATGTCATTTATTAAAAGGTCTATGTAAGTCTTCTTTCCACAAAATATCGACTTGTAAGCTAAACTTTGTTTATCTTTTGTGATTTCTGCAAAATCTGAATGAAACTGACCTAAATTCTTTCCTATTAATTCACGACCATATCTTTTCTGAAATTCCCGAGCTAAACGTGGTATGTCTTCATTGAAAATATGCATGCTATCACAGTCCTGGTAGAAGATTTGAAGTCCCATATCCTCAGCAGTGCAAAATACTTCATTCATGATACGTTTCGACATAGATAAGATATTAACACCTAAGGGGCAAAAGTTAAAGTGTCTGCAAATGCTTTTAGTTAGTTTGAAAATAGTTTTATCCGAACCATCTAAACCTTCAAATTTAATGATATGGTTATAATTTCTGATGGTATACCTAACAGCATCTTTATCATCAATGATTTTAATTTTCGACTCTATCGGGGACAAAATAGTTTTTCCATAAATACTGTTCAAAATTAATTTAATATTTTCTTGTAGCGGATTTTCTTCCTTCTTATACTTTAATCTCAATTCAAACAATTTCTTTACTTCATCTCTTATTCTAAAATCTCTTTTTTCATCGTAGTAGTAACCCTGTAATACTTCGCAGCTGATGCCCTGATATTTTATTAAATCCTGCAAAGCTATGTGGTCCACATACATTAAACAGCATGTGTTAGAACTTCTTGGAACCTTTAGCTCCGGGTTTAATTCTGGATCTACTGTTATTAATGGAAAGTGCCTTTTAATCTTAATCTCGGTTATTTTTATTAAAACAAAGAATCCGGAAATGAATTTCTCACCTTCAGGCTCGCCCTGGTCATCATCGAATAAATGTTTCAAATATACTGTTTAACATTTCTTTCTTCATAACCTTTGGAATTCCTTCTAAAGTATAAAGTCTCGCGATAGCTGAGGATATAATGAAACAGCATCGAAGTCAGCAATGAGTTTCTTTTCGCTCTTTTGTTTCATGTTATCTGACAGCATACATCTTCCACCTTGAATACAGCGTGAAATAAATTCTCTTGGTTTATTTGAAAGGTCATATAAATTTCCATTCGGGAAATATACTCTGTTTTCGAAAAGTTTTTAGCGATTGAACAAATGCTAACGTAATCATAAACGTTTAAATCAAACTCTTTCAATATATCATTTCTGAACTTAACAAAACCTTCTCTTAAAATCCTTACGTCCTGTTTGCAATAAAATGAGCTATATTTTTCTAAATCGAAATGGTTTTCATCTATTCTGCAGTTTTCGATTAAATCTATGTTTTTCATGAACGTTTCAATATCTTTTACAAACTTACACGCTTCAGAAATTACGCCAGTTTTGTTATCATTAACTAATAAAGAGCTTGAATAATATTGATACGGAAATACTTCCTTTTCACCACACTGCAAATGAAACATTTCAGGAAATAGTTTAAGCTTCTTATTTATAACAGTGTATGAATCTTTAATAATGATTGCTTTACCTTTATATATTCCCGTTATCTGCATTGTTCTAGAACCCTTAATAATTGGTGTTCCGCTAATTTCTGTTAAATGTCTTAAAATGAAATTGATATCATAACTGAGGTTATGAAAATATATTAAACTTTTATCAGGAATTCTTTCTAAAAATTTTGTTGCACAATTTTGACCCCAAATGCTTTCGCTAATCTTTCCATCTTCACTATCATAACAAATGTTAAAGGCTTTATGAACTCCATCAGTGCTACATTCAAAGTCAGCGAAGAAAATGTGTTCAGGAATGAATTTTTGTTTTGATTTATCACTATCTTTACTTTCAGACTTTTTCTTTAACTGAACACAGTAGTTCGGGGTATAATTTAAATCTTTAAACGGTGCAAGTTTTTGTTTATATAAATCTGTTGTATAAGTGAAAAGTTCACCATAAGATAACGGTTCAAAGTAATTGCACTCTCTTAATGTTTTCAAAATATCCCATAAAGGAGTTGTTCGCGTAGAATCAATAACAAATCTATTTTCCCTTTTCTTATATATTTTCATTTGACGCTCAATATTCCAGCCGCCTAATGATTTGAGAATTTCGTTATAATTTATGATAAAATATGTTGTCATAGGTAATCTTTCATTTAACATGTAATGGTCTTCAACAAGAAGTAAGTCAATAGTTCGAACAGTTTCACATTCTTTTGGTATATATCTCTTTATTTCATTATGTCTAGAGTCATTGAAATAACCAATGGTAACATTAAATGCTATGCCTGTTGCGTTAGAAATTTCCTGAATCTTACTTTGTGGAAAATCTCTAACTCTAATAACTTCACGCATGTGGTCTACCGTCTGCTCATCAACTCCAGCCTGAATGCAAGCATAAACGAAGCAGTTATCTTCTGTCATCAACTTAGCAGTTCTTTTGTTAAGTTCATTGAAAATTTGATAGCGTTCAAGATTTATAGGTAATCTGCAAAGATACTTCCAAAACTCACCACTTCTCTTTTTATTCGTTCTCTTTTCATCAAGAATTTCATTCCAAAAATCATCTATATCCTGTTTATCTCCTATTTCTTTAAGTCTGTTTAATAATCTTTGCTGACGTGCTGTTAATTTTTCATCTCTTTTTTCTCTCTTCTGTGGCTTACCTTTCTTAATATCGCTCATCGTTAATCCTTCATATTCAGTTAAATCATACATTTTAATTTCTTCGAGGTTCTTAATATTTGTCATGAAGAAATCATAATGTTTTTCAATTATTCCGGCTGCGTTTGCTTCAATCTCTGTTATAAAGTTTTCTTGCTTTAACTGATGAAGCAAAGCTCCGATGTTCTCGATATTCAATGTTGAATTAGTAAATTTACCATCGAGTTTATAACAAATCATCCATTTTTGCTGTGAATTTACTTTTATCTTCTGCAGAAGCCTAATAAACATTTTACCGAAACGTTCATGTAGGTAATTTCTGTTTTCTTCATTGAGTTCACGAATATTAAAATCTATGATTCTATTTCCTGCTTTAACATTTTTGCGTTTATTATTTTCATCCTTCTTTAACCATTTTTCGTCATCGAGAGCTTTATCATCTATAGATTTAATAACTTCGTTTGCTTTGCGTAATTGTGCAATTGCTTTTGCATACTTTACAGCTATATTTTTCTTTTCTTCATCGCTTTTCTTCTTTCTCGTTTCACCTACATCAACATTATCATATCATAATTTCCTGCTTACTTCCTTCGGTACCGCTTGTTTATGATATAAATTAACCTGAACATCATTTAAAGGAAATGTTTTGTTATTAATGTAATCATTATTTTCTCGTAAGTGACTACACCTCTGTAATCATTGAGGTATTTAGCTAATGAAGATTTGTTAGTCGCATATCTTTTGCTAACTTCAATGTCAGCATTCTTCAATAACTTCTTAATTTCTTCATGGTCTAATCTAGATAGCTTTTTATACATCTATTATGGAAAATAAAAAAAATATTTTCCGTAAAAAATATAATTTAAAAATAAACTTAATTTTTTAAAATAATTTATATTTTTAATTTTAATAAAATAATGTCTGAATACAAGTTCTATTCATACAATGCTCTCGCTACTGCTGTTAAGGGTGAGTTCAGTAACGCGATAAACGTGAACGTTATATTCAATAAAAAGTTTGTGAAAGAATCTAAATACGGTCAGTTCGTTAAACCATACACTATCATTATTGACAGAAAACGTTACACACCACATGAAATAGCAGTATTACTTAAACAGAAAGGAATATTTGTAAATATCAAAGATACACATTATACGATTATGAAGAACTCTAACGTTGAATTTTTCAGCATTGTTTTAGATTTATCGCAGCAGAAAGAATACAAGAAAGGTGAAGTAGTTGTGAAATATTATCCTTCATCTCTGAAGACAATAACGAATAAAGATATAATCAATAAGCTCCTACCAGTAATTGAGGAAGCAACGATTGAATATGATGAAGAAGGAAGTGAAGTAATTGAGGAAATAGACCCTGAAGCTTTATAAGAAAATTTATTTTTGAATAACTGAAGGTGTCACCACGTCACCATGTGTCACCTGGTTAATTAACTTCTTTTAAAAATGATGACAGTATGACATTTAGACAACAGGTACGAAAGGAGGAAGGCATTTATGAATTATTTTTGAATAACTGATGGTGCCACCACGTCACCATGTATCACCAGGTTAATTAATTTCTCTTAAAATTACTGACAGCATGACATTTTGACATCACAGCAGGATTAATGCAAAAATAAATTCAAATCATACTTTATAAAGCTTCATTTACAGGTATTTCATCGTCAGTAAATGAATCCTCATTATCGTTTGGTTCAACCTGTTTATATAATCCTTTCATTTCTTCTTTCAAAACATAACACCATGTTTGTTTACCATCTATTCTTCTCTGTTTCCTATCACATTTATCCTTAATGCTCATTTGAAAGTTTTTGTCTTTCATGTCTGATGGTTTGCAGCAATAGAGCATTTTTACACGTCATACCTGCACACAATTCATCATAATGTGTATTTATCCATTCATCTAAAGGATTTGTTGATAATTCTATTAAATCTTGTTTGGCTTCAGTCATCGGTATGATTCGTACATTAAATGATGAAAGGTCATATTGCATAAAATACGTCAGTAAATTATCATAAAATTCCTTAGTGCATGAATCCATTAAATTCTTGAAGTAATCAAATTGACCCTTAAATTTACCATTAACTCTTAAAACTACGTATCTTCTGTCTCCAACTTCAATTTTGACAGGGTAGACGTTGTTAGTTACGAAAATGAAGTTTGTAACATTCTGGGCAGTTCTTCTGGGTTGATTCTTTTCATTAATTCTAATCTCATTATCCGTAATAATTGATTTCAAAGCGTTGAAGTTTGCGAGTCTGTCTTCACCTACATTCTTGAGTTCATTAAGTACAAGAAACATTTTATTCTCAACTACTGAATTGAAATTACCCGTTAGCTCACTTATTTCGGTAATGTTTTTACATGAATAACCGGCGAGAAGTTCAGAAATAATGTCTGTAAATCTGTTTTTACCTGTTCCCTGAAGTCCTTTCAAAATAATTGCTGTTTCATTCTTGATTCCAGGATGTTGAATCATTGATGCAATCCAGCCGAGAAGGTATTTATACACTTCATCGTTATTATCACAAATGGCTTCTTTAATGAAATTCATAAACATCTCAATTTTTGAGTAATCTGGTTTTTCGAGAACGTTGTATTTATAACCTTAAACGTTGAGAAAACATCTGGAGAATCAGATTTAAAGCAAACACCCTTAACGGTTAATGAGGATAATTGATTTAGTAGTACGTCCCATGCTGTTATGGTTTTACCTTCTTCTTTAAATAATTTAATCATTTTGAGTGACTCTTTCATGTTTGATTGAAGAACGAATGATATTTGATTCATTTTCGTGATATTATAGTCCTTTTGAATGAAATATTTGTTTCCACAATCTACAAAACGGATTACACGTGATAAATCCTCAATTACTTCAGAACTGTTTTTATACTGATGATTTTCAGCCTTGCGTCTAATATCTGTTATCAAGAATGAATCATCAAGTTTGATATCAAATGTTATTTTTGGCTTACGTAATAAAGGTAAAACATATTCATCATAATATTCCTTTTGATATAGTTTTAGAATCTTCACTAAAACAAATGGAGAAGTCATTAAATGTGCATATCTACTACGTGCTTTTTCAAAATTACTTTTTGCATTTTCAATTAAACTGCAGAAGTTATAAACGTTATCGTATGCTTCATTAATTAAATGATTAGGTAACGAATTAATTGCTTGAAACAGTGTGAATAATGTAACTTCTTTTTCTAAATTCATGTTTCCACCGTCATTATGTACTTCAAAATCACTGATGCCATCAACTATGCTCTGGGCAAGTTTATCGTCAATGTTTACATCTTTGTTTTCATTCATGATAGTCTTTATTTCTTCGTTCTTCTGTTCAACTCTTACCTTAATATTCAAATCATTTAATATATCGTTTACGGTTCTAGTTATGGTCGAGTCATAACTTCCACGAATGAATGAGTATGTATTGATTGGTTCTGTTGCATTCTTGCGAACTCTTGAATCAGCCATAACTACTAAAGAACGCTTTGAATCATCCATAGAAGTCATTATGTCAATATCATAATCATTGCAGGAATAGCATTTAATCATTCTGTTCGAAACTGAATAGAAGAAATTAGTGTTACAATAAATGTGAAGACTTCCTGAAGCGGTTTTAACGATAACATCTTGATCCGAAAGTTTTGATAAAATATCTTTTCTAACCGTTTCTTTAAGTTCATCATTGTATGATTTATTGATATCAACATCCATAATCGTTAAATTTGAAATTTTATTTACTAATAAAGCCATACCAGTTTTCCTTCCTCTTCCTCCATCGTGTTTGAGGTAGTTATGTAAATCAATCTTGTTTTCACCAATTCTTTCGTTGAGGGTTTTAGTTTCTGCCGTAACTAATTCCTCAGCTAATGAATCAATAACTTTTTCATCAGAAACGATATAGTTGCTGTTGTTGTTTGTTGCTGTCATTTATATAGGAATAAAAAAATAAAAATAATTTTAAAACTAACTTTATTTTTGGACTGCATCAAATTTCCTGGACTGTTGTCAAAATGTCATACTGTCATCATTTTTAAAAGAAGTTAATTAACCTGGTGACATGGTGACATGGTGACACGTTCATAATTAATGAAAACATTTACGAAACATTAACGTAAACATAAACGATAAAATTTATTTCCTGGACTGTTGTCTAAATGTCATGCTGTCAGTAATTTTAAGAGAAATTAATTAACCTGGTGACACATGGTGACGTGGTGACACCATCAGTTATTCAAAAATAATTCATAAATGCCTTCCTCCTTTCGTACCTGTTGTCTAAATGTCATACTGTCATCATTTTTAAAAGAAGTTAATTAACCAGGTGACACATGGTGACGTGGTGACACTGAAACCATTAACGATAAAATATATTTTTTGGTCGTTTATGATAAAAATAAATGGTTCATTTACTCACAATATTTTTGTACAAAACGACCCCAAACTTTTAACTTCTTTTCTGCAGCTTCTAATGCTATCTTAGCGAGTTCATATTCTCTAAATTCTCTCTTTAAATCTTCTTGTTCCCATTGGTCTAGTTCGTATGGAGAATCTCTATAACCATAACATATCTCACGTTCATGTTCTAATTGTTTTTCATGCATTTTTCTAACTTCTTCTTCAAACAAAGGTTTAGCATTCTCTACTGTATCTTCAAGTTCTTCTTCATCTAATTTCTCATGAACTTTCTTGTCTATGGAGTCCATAATATCTTTGACATAAAATGCATACTTTACAGAGCACCATTCAGCAACAAAATGAACGAGGTCAGGATGTATGTAAATACCTTTGAATTCATTCATGACACCCTTTGTAAGCTCATAAAATGCTTGTTTTGAGGTCGAGCCACTTTTGGCTTGACCGTATTCTTTCAACCAAAACTCAAGAATTTCCTGCATTTTAGCACTATTGAGAAATCTGTTTAAATGGTTTAACCTTCCCGCTTCTCTTGCCATCTTTGTTGCATTAATGTAATCATCCTTGTCTCTACGTAAGACTTCAATACCGTTATAAGTGCCTTTTGTGAATGTTTCGCCATTAGATTTGTTCGTGAACGTCTGTGCTTCGACTGACATTTTTGTTCTTACATACAAAATAAAAAAAATAAATAAAAATAAAACTAACTTTATTTTTTCTATCTTAAGGAAATTCATGAAAATTCATGAGGGTAGAAATCGGGTTAGATATCGGGTTAGATCTAATCATTTACGATAAAATATATTTCTGCAGTTCATCCGCTACATTATTAACTAATTAACTTCAGACATAAAATATATTTAGTTTAGAAGAATTTTCTTATTCTTTCTGGCATATTTTTATCTTTCCAGTACTCCCGCTCTAATGGTCCCAGATGTGTTGGCTTTGACTCTCTCAAATTTGTAGAAGGAATTTTATCATCCACACCTCCTTCATAAATGACAGTGTATTCATCTTTGTCTTCATCATAACTCACAATTTTATTAACTATACCTCTTTTCGCTTCATCAACCGTTTTAGCTAATCTTCCATTTTCGCTTTCAACTAATCGAAATCGTGGATAAAACGCAACCGAATGGTCAGCTGCTTTAATTAAATAACCATTACCCTGTGAGGAATCAACGATATAATAATCATCACTTAACTGATTTCTTACCTTTTCATGTGGTTTATGTTCAAGAATGATTCTAACTTTAGTTCCTGGCAGTAATGATGAACTTCTTCTTTCCTCCGTTAACATTCTCTTTTGTTTTATGTATTCATCCTCCTCTTTTGAAGTCATTTCGTTTGGTTTAAATCCTGTGCTGTTATGGGTGGACTTATTATAAGCATTAATGACTTTATTCATTGATTCCTCCGTAAAATCTCTTTCTTTATTTAAATCTCTTAGCGTTCGAATGAAACGATTAATGATACCTAAAATATTATGGTTATGGTCTTCAGTCGTGTAATGAGTAACGTTATGTTTAATCAAAAATTCTGTAATTTCATTACTGAGGTATGCTGAATCCTGGTCTGAAGTTAATGAAGTGGGATGATGTTCTGCCACAAACGTCTGCAAAACTCTTAAAACTTCTTTTGTTCCTTTATTTTTCATTATATACGCAAAAGCTTTACGTGTATTAACATTAATGAAAATCAAAAATGGTGGCTTTCTTCCTTTCTTACTCTGAACGAGTGTATCAAATTGATATGCATCATGGGTTTTCGAGTAAATGGGAAGGTAATAATCGTAAGGATTAACTTTTACCTGATGAACTATATTTTCATCATAAAATCTCTTAATTTCTGTTCTATCATTAAATCCCGCATTCTTTGCAGCTTCATAGAATTTTTTAAATGACCTCCACGGTGATGATTCGAATACTTCTTTTAAACTCATTTATGTAAAAATAAAGATTTTATTCAAGACGGTACCATGCGAATACAGTCATAAATGGTGGCATATAATCTTCACCCGAGCCTGTTGGATTTGTTGTAAATGTATGTGTATGATTACCTCCTGGTTCAGTTGGTCGAAAAGTCTTTTTTGCTGAATTGTTATAAGATGGAGATAAAACGTCATTGCCAGCTTTATAGTCTGAGTTGTATAATGAGTGGTCTCTTAATGAGTGGCTATGGTCGCCAGAAAAGTTTGTAGTTCCTGTATGAGTGTGCGCAGGTAAGTTTGCTTCAGTAATTTTCTTCGAACCTCCTGTTTGCTTTGAAGAGTTAGCACAGTATAAGAATTTGTCTACAATCTGCTGCCATGTACCAAAACCCAGAACTGTTGCGGGATTTGTTGAGTTCATTGACGTATAAATAGAGCCTATAGGATATAATGTTTGAAGTATTTCAGTCTTTAATGTTTGAAGCTCTGTTTTGTCTGCTTTCTTATCATATAAATCCTGAGCAGTGAATTTAACATTATTTTCATCATCCATGACATAAACATTTTTACAGCTAATGTCTTTCTTCGTTGTTATGTTTTCATTCGATGTTAAACCTTGTGGAAAGTTAGGAGGTTTATAATATAATGCATCCCCACCAGTTCCGCCAACCGTTCCTTCAATACTTTCTATAGCAACAGTTGAGAAGGAGTTATGTGTATGTTCTATATCTGCTTTTTTATCTAACATTGCTGGTAGTTCATATGTTTCAAAGTTTCTGACATGACCTTCGATATTTATACATTTGTTATTTAAGGAGTTTAGTGTATCTTTTACGCATGTACTTGGATTCTCTAAAGGTGCACTTGAACCAAGGGTATAGTTCAATATTATGTCGTCTGCTCTAACAGTAGTGAAGGATTCATGTGTATGGTTCTTGTCTGCTTTACTATTTAATGTAGCTTGAAGTTCATTTATATCGGAGATATTGTGTTTATGAGATTTCAAAACTTTGTTCGTTGCGTCAAGTTCATCTTTGTCAGCTTTACTTTTAATAGCATCTTCAACGGTTATTTTTGCCTTAACTCTCAACATAAATCTTGGTTCAACTAATACACCGTTAACAAAGAAACTAGAGGCATAAATTTCATCGTTATAACCAAATGCTTCTGGTGCTTTACCTGTGTCATACTGTACAGTACAGCGTATGTCATAACTTTCAGCACGAATGAATTTATATCTTCTTTCATTAACATCTTCCGTCTTCACTTCTTCATCCTGTGTTAAATATCCATGATAATCCGTTATAATCTGTTCATCTGAACTTATATAATGAACATGGTTTTTATCTGCTTTATTATCTAATTTCTCATTAACATCATTCACCTCTAATTCAACTCTTCCGCCAGAACTCTTATTATCATTAATCTTTTTCATTAATTCAGTAATTACGTCATAAAGACTATATTCTGTTTTCGGTTCTGTAAATAATGAGTCAAAATTTCTTTTCATCATTACATCACTACATTAATGATATCAGCTTATCCTTTTTCATTTATTCTCTTCATTAGTTCTGCAATAATGACGAATATATAATCTGTTAATTTATTCTCTTCATCAAGGGTTATAGAATGATTTGAAATCGAATCATTAACACCTCTAAATAAATCAATAACTTCGGGATACACGTTTTTTAATGTCTCGAATAACCTGACCCGTATCCTCTGTTTCTCCTTTCTTCGTGGCTTCGCCCTCGCCGCTACGAGGCTTTATGTCTCTAAGCCATCATCAACGCAGCCATAAACCGGAGGGTTTGTTGCTACCTGTTCGAAAATCTGTCCGTTATGTATGGTATATCTAAAATAATTTCTTTGTGTTTGTTAAAACATTTGAAACAAGTCTTTTAAAACCATCTACAAAATTTCCCGTTTCACCTAATGTTCTTGCAGCATTCTACAAGCTCACCCATTCCCGCTTTTGACCCCAAAAACGTCCATATTGCATTTATTTCACTCTATATATTGTCCATTCAGCGAAACTAACACCCGCATTCGCTAAGTCGAAAATGAAACCCAGTGGATCGAACTTAATTCCGCCTTCTTTTTCAATTTCAACGAACTCACTAACATGAGATTTTAAATATTCTTTCGTTAAAATCGTTTTTCCTGATGTCATGCTGTTAACGGAACTATCACCATCAAAAGTTAACGAATTCAATTTCGTCATTGATGCTTTGATTTCATACACCGCTTTATCAATAGTTTTTGGCTCACCTTCTTTAGAAGTGTATGAAACATTAATGAATGAATTATATGTATTCATGAATGAGTTAAAATCAATGATTTTCATTAATGAAGCCTTTAATGATTCATTTACTGTCGAATCCCTTAATTCAATTACTGAACTGTCATTAATGAAAGGTACACTGCAAACCGTCGAATTTGGATCAAATGCCGTAGTCGGCTGGGGAGTATTAATTATATAAGTCATTAAATCATTAAGTAACGTAAATAATGTTGTAATTCTTGATTTAATTTCTTTAGCATCTGTTATATACGGTAATTTTATTTCTGTAGTTTCTGAATTAAAGATATTCGCTAAAATGTTTTGTAAACTGTTTTGAACAGCTGTATAAACCGTTGAATTCGGAACTCTTACGATTTCACCATCCTTAATAAAGGGCATTGCACATGGCGTAGTGCTTGGGTCAAATCTTTCGGGATTATAATTCAACATATATTCTAATGCTTCATAAACAGACCTATATACTGTTGTGTTATCTTTTTCAATAATTTCACCGTCCTTTATGAAAGGCATTGTACATGGCGTTAATATTGGAATAAATTTTTCATATTCTTTCCATGAGATATAATGTTCAGTTTTTCCATCAGTGATTATTAAATGCTCATCATCAAATGAAAACGTGTATGAACCAAAAATTAATCTTTTCGCCCTATCAGCTTCATAAGAATATGCGGATATACTCATATTTTTAATTAGAATAAAAATGTTGTTCTATTTGCAAAGTACTGATCCTAATGATTACGGGACATTAAAATTACAAACTAACCTTGGTCTTCAGAATGAACCACTAGCTTTCAGAGTTCTTGATTTTAGCACTATCGCTTCATTTGTTATAACAGACACTAACGATTTCATTACATTTGAAATTGATGGTATTAGTACTGAAATTCATTTTAAAGCAAGAAATAAATATGATATTGATACGTTAGAGAAAAAGATTCAGGATCTCATTGATGAAAAATTTAACGGAGCCCTTAACTGTGAATTAACTGATTCAGGAACTATAAAATTCAGTTCCGAAAAAGAATTTAAAATTACTGATATGACTCATCGAGCACGTTTATTACTAGGTGCTTATCATCAAGAATTACCGTTGAAATCTTCTATTGAAAATCAAAAATATATAATTGAAATGAAGTCTGCGCCCTACATCTGTTATGGAAACTGTTTATATGTTGAATCAAAAATAAGTAATGTAACAGGAATTTCAGGAGTTAATAATAAAAATTCTGTTATAGAATATAAATCGTTCTGTTACGCCGTTAATTCTGTATTCATGCCTAATTTTCCGATTTTATTAAGACACGAAGGAAAATGGGTTCGAATACAACCACACCACTTAAAAGATATGACATTTAGATTAGTTGATTTTCAAGGCGAACTAATTGAAATTAAAGCTCCTGTTCAAATGACTATAGAAGTTGATTTTTGGTCTAATATAAGAGCTAATGGACTAGATGATGAACCAGGGATAAAAATATAAATTTAAATTAATTCGTTAAAACATATTTCAAGCAAAGTTTATATTCTGTTGAAAGTTTTGTATATTCATTCGAATATTTATACTTAAACTCAACTCCTGTAGTTCCTGGTGTTTAAATTATTCTAATACTACCGATTTTCATAAATACCGGCATCTGACCGCAACATTCAATTTCAGGGTCAAGATAATCAATAACGCACTGTTTCCCTGTTATTCTTGATATAACATTTTCTAAATCCTCCTTTGTTAAAATTATTTGATTCTTACTAATAAGATTTACCAAAAGCTTCTTATCGTCTTTGAGTAATATTGTTTGGTATAAATTAAGGAGGTAATGGTCTACGTTATCTGAAGGATTAGTTTGAATAGTTGAATAAGGATTAGGGCTCAATGAGCCCGAGAACCCTTTGAGTTCTTCTTGAGCATCACGCGATATGATTGGTTCTAATGGAGGTGGATATTCTAACTTAACTTCACTGTTAGTATTTGTGTTTGAAGCTGTGTTTAAATTAACGGATTTTAGCTCCGGCTCTTTATCTTTCAAGTTTTCGGAGCTGTAATTTTTGATTATAATATTATTTGTCGTTCTTGAATCAACATTAGATGTAGGTTCAATAGGAACATTCACTGCACCGGCTAAGATGGATTTACTTCTCATTTTCTAAAGAATAAAAACCTTTTATTACTATAAAAATGAATAATATCTTTGATAAAGGTTTAAACGTGAAACTTGAAAATGAAAATCTTGTTGAATTCACTGAAACGGGCGCAGTTTATAAAGATGTTGAGGTGTTAAATAAGAAAGCAAAAGGCAGAAGTCGAAATATGAACATCGATTATAAACCATTTACTATTTACGTAAATGATGGTTCTGGTGGTTCAAACATTAAATATGCAGAAAGTAATAGAGTTTATGCGTTAAAAGGTGAAGCACCATCAATTAAAAACAGTTATTCTAATCTTTATCCTCAAAAACTAACTGATCCAGAAAGTGTGGACATGAATGACACCAAAAATATAAACAGAAATGGTGATAGAGATGGATGGAATCTATTCACAACACCTCATCTAAAAATAAAGCTTTAAAATAATGTTGGTCTTTCCCAAGGTATATTTTTAACATTAATTGTATTAGTCATTATATGAATTTCTAAATATGAACGTGGTGAAATGAGTGATTTATAAGCATCCCAGATTTCATCAAAAGGTAATGTTATACCTGATTGCTTCCAAATTAATTCTATATCGTATTTTGAGAAACCTTGAAATATAACAAAATCAGTAATTAAACGTTTATGTTTAAAGCTAAAAACCTCCACGTTGCATAAGTATTGCAACAGTCATGTGGTAATGTCTGACTTTAGTAATTAAATTAACTAATGGTGAATCTGGTTTTGAAACTAAACCTTTACCAGCGAAATCATCACAAACTAATAAAGTGTTTGATGGATATTTTTTAAAAGGATATTTTGAAAGTTTCGAGAGAATGTAGTTTGTCAATCGTTTCATATCATACGTACCATCCTGCTGTCTCAAATGATGTTTATCAATAATTCTTTCCATTTCTTCCGAGGTCTTTTGCATTCCTGATTGTATAAATTCAACTATTGCATAATATTTCTTCTTTCTTCTTATATATTGTTGAAGAAAAGAAATTAATTCGCTATCTGGAACTTTAATTACTGATGCCTGAACTTTACCCATAAACGTTTTCGCTGTTGAATCCATTGAATCTGAAGTTGCTGATATAATGATTTGGTCATAATATGAATCTTGACCTAAACGTTCAGTAATTAAAATATGACGAATTAAATTAAAAGTCTTTCCCGAACCCATTTTTCCACAATAGAAATACACACCGTTTGAACAGAACTGATAATCCTTACTGAAGGGAAGAATTAATGAACTATTGAGTTTATCAGATTTTTCATTCATTTTTTCATCTACTTCTTCAAATAAATGTTTCATTTTATTATAATTAAAAATGCAAGTCAGAAATTTTGTTAATACCGTTCCCAGTCTTAATGATAAAAGTATTAAAATCTATTATGAGCACATATTTTCACAACCGTTTAAAATAATCAATGGTGAATACATTTATGAATACCCTAAACACTGGGTTGATTATAACACTGGCGAAAAAGCAATTGAAATAAGACAGATAAAAACCATTCCTGCAGGACGAACCATTGAATTATATAACTTTGGAATAATAAGAGATAATCATCAATATGATTTACAGATTTATAGATTTAGACACAGGAGATGATATGATAGCATTTAATACAAAGATTAAATCGGTTCTTATTGAACAGTTAAAAGGTGCCGGATATCCTCAACCTAATGAAGTTGATATGTTTTATAGTTTTGAAACTAATTCAATAGAATTTCGTGTTAATTCAAATTCAAAAGCTGGTTTCATATTTGATTTAAAAGATGGTGCTGTCGGTGATGAGATTGAAAATATATACACGAATAATAATTTTAGAGCTATTACAGGAATCAATGATGAAGAATGTTTTAAGAAAATGGCTCTTTTTGGAGCAAAAGAAATAGCATTAATCGACCTTTTAGAATATTTACCAAAATCAATAGCCGTGAGGGCAGAAGGTAATTTATTAACTTCAATTTCTTTTCACAGCGTTTGGTCCAGAGAAGCGCAATCATTAAATCGAGTATAAGTGAGTTCGCAGAAGATTCAATTTTATGTTTAACGAACTGCTTATATTCTCCACCGAAGCATTATTCAATAACTAATTATGTTAATAAATTTAATATAAAATTAGTTGAACCATCGAGCCTAAAAGATATTGTCCTTCCTGATGACAGAAAAGATAGCATTATTATCGAACTCATATTAATCGCTTATTAAAATTTAATTATATATAAATGAGTTCAACGACTGAAAGCGCATGGGCTAGTTTTGATGAAGACCCTAAACCGCGGAACTATAATAGAATTGTAATTCCTGTAGGTCTTTTATTAGCTGCAGGTGCGGTAGCTGGACCATATTTATACTGAAATTTATATAGAACACCGATTAATCAAACTGCCGTGGCTGATATTATTCCAACAGGTCTGAAAAAATCTACACTGTTTCAAGCAATTAGCCAGCGCATAAGGCGCCACGACCCACTCCCACGTAGTACGCCCGCAGTTAATTATTTAAAGAATAGAAGAAATTAATTTGTAATAAATGACGTCGTTAAATGTAAAAATAATTTGTGATGATATTACTATCATTGATGATGTAAGTAAATGTGCTAATATAATTGATAGAATTAATGAACTAATAAAGATGTTCAGTGGTGAAAAAGTCAGAGTTTCATTAACGTTTAGCTCCGATGAAAAATTTTATGAGTTAATCATTATGAGAAATGATTTTAATAAGCATTAAATGGTATTTTCAACACTATCAGCTTTGTATGGAGGTTATAAAGCTATTGACGGTTTAACTGGTGGAGCTGTATCAAAAGCTTTAAAAAATAATGCTGGAATGCTTGTGGGAGCTGCTGCCAGAAAATTGAAATCTGAAAAGTTAAAGAAATTAGGTAACTGGGTCGCTGATCAGTCGCAAAATCTTTTAGGTGAAGATAATGAAATATCTAAGCAGCTAAAAGATTTTAAAGGTCAGTTGAATGGCGAAGAGTTTAAATTAAATTCACTTAAAGAAAAGGAGAAACAGCCAGAATATCCACCAGTTGAGGCGCCGCCGATTAATTCAGCACCAGCGTCAGTAACTGCGGTCGCACCATATGACCCTGGCGGTTATGGAAGACCTTTTGACCCTAAAACAGGAGGTTCGAATTGGTTCCATTACGATCGAAGATATATTTTAGCTAAAATCACAAAAGCAAAGAAACTGTTAAAAACTAAAAAGAAACCAAGAGTTTTAAAGTAATTAAATGGTTAGAGATGTTCTCGAATACCCTGCACCACCTGAAACGCCTAACAATAATGATTTATATAATCGATTGAAACTTTAGGTAAAGCGTATTTATGGTTTAATTATCCTTATCATATGGCGGCTTATAAACTTTATAAACACTATAAAGAAAGTAATAGACCTTCAACCGACCTAGTTGATCCGCAGGAATTAAGGAAAAGACGACAAAGCCGCTAAGCAGCTCAGATGGACTCAGAGAGTCCTCATAAAAAATAAAGTTAATTTTAAAAATATTTTTTATTTTTTACTTTTAATAAAATGAGTACTAAAATTACTGAAGCAACAAAACAAAAATTTTTAGTTGAATACATTAAATCAGGAACTATTCCAGAAGGTTTTTATGTTCATCAAATGAAAGATGGTAGAGTTCAATTTAGAAAAATTAAGCAGCCATTAAATAAAGATGGAATATTAAGAAAGATTAAATTATATGAAGATAATATAGCAGAACTGAAGAAGAAGTTAGAAGAATTCGAAAAATCAGATTAGATATAAAATTTTATTTTTATATAAAATGAATTTTACTAATAAATTATTAATTATCGTTTCATTACTCCTCATCTCCCGTGAAGCTCGTTTATGGTATGAATCTTTAACGTATGTAGATGACACTGATGATGACATCCCCGAATCATGCCAGCATATTTACTGTTGAAAATTCACAAGGTTAGAAAAGACCCAAAGGGTCTGAGCCACTAAGCGGCGAGGTTAGAAATGAGGTTAGATATTGGGTTAGATCTACCCTAAGCCGCTTAGCGGCGAGATGGGCTCAAAGAGCCCTCTAAATTAATTTTATCATTTATGAAAAATTTAGTATATACAGAAATTAAAAAATTTTTGAGTTAATTTATTTTTAAGTTTATTTTTACTCTGGGTGTTAAAATCTATGATAAAAAAATAAATAAAAAATTTTAACGTTAATTTTTAAGTTTATTTTTTAAAAATTATTTTTTTATTTTGTGAAGTGTCAAAAATTTGAACGTTAATTTTTAAGTTTATTTTTTAAAAATTATTTTTTTATTTTTGTAAATGTCAAAATATTTTACGTGTCAAACGGTTTTTTGCAGATTCTAGTAATTTGAGTACTAAGGGGCGTAGACCCTTGGTACCCAATTACATGATACTAACTCCTACTAAAGGGTTGAGTTCTTCCATGTTTCTGCAGTTAGTATACAAGTCTTGGGTATGGTGGCACTGCGTTCCACCTTACCCAATACTTGTGAATTTGACACTTTACAAAACCGTTAACGTATATTTTACAACATGAACGCAAAAACTAACTTAACCTTAAATATTTACAAAGCCGCCAACAATTTCACCTCACTATCGTTCTCACTAACAACTTCACTAATGTTCTCATAAATTTTCCTCAATATCTTCATCATCAGTGTTAACCCTATTGTAGTCATACTTGAAGCCATAAACTTTCTCTAACTTCTTAACGTACAATTTACATAACTTACCTTCGTCATCGTATGGTTTAATGATATAACTATTTCTATCTTTATACACAGTCAATGAAAAGTCAACTGGTCTCGGATGTATTTGAAAGAACATGTTATGCTCAGGAAGGAAGAATAAATGTTTAAATATATGTTTGTTATATGTTTTGATTTGTATGAGTTGCTTTTGTTCTGTCATTACATCCAAATAAAATAAAAATAATTTTAAAAAATAAAATAAAAAATAAATGATATCACCACCCTCACACGTATGAAAACATAGCACAAAAATAAATTTAGGTGAAGTGGTGAGATCTCACCTCTTTTTTCACCTGTTTTTTCACCCTGTTGAATTCATTGCTTTATAACTCTCTTCCTTTCTCCAACTCTTCTAACTTCTTCTTAAGTTCAGCAATGTTGTCCTCATGAAGTTTAATCTTTCTCAAAATTCCTTCTTTATCTAATGGTTGCTTTATCTTTCTAAACTGAACTCTACCATCCTTCATAGTATGAATGTAAAAACCTTCTGGAATAATTCCTGATTTAATGTATTCTACCAAAAACTTTTGTTTCATTGCTTCAGTGACTTTATTTGTCATTTTACTCTAAGGTGAAGCTAGCACAGCGATAATGGATTTCATGACTTTTTAGTATTTCATGCAATCTTAACAGATAGCCTTACAAGTACTTCCAGTGTCCCTAGCTGTCCATCCTTTTTATATAACTCCATGACATTTATAATCTCGCGAAACTTAACAGGTAGCATAACAGATTAAAATCAGATGAGGTTTTGAACCAAAATTTCTAAGCAACGTTGTCAAGGATTTTTGAGGAACTAGGGACAGAGTGTGGCAAAGTCCAAGATTTAATTTATCTTCATCTGTTTCATCAGCTATCTCATCTAATATTCCAATATTTTATTCATAACTCGTGGCAAACTCACTAACTTTCGTTATGTTCATCTGCATGCTTCATCTGATAGAAAGTATGACTTTCATTAACTCTGTGAGATAATGAAAACTACTAGGGACAGAGACCATGGCAAAGTTTATGACTTTCATTATTTCCAGAACTTAATGAAAACTACTAGGGACAGAGAACATGGCAAAGTTCATGATTTAATTTATTCTCTCACTAACAACAAACACAAACTCCAACACTAACTCAAGTACTAACCTCAGCACAAATGACAAACACTAACAACAAACACAAACTCCAACACTAACTCAAGTACTAACCTCAGCACAAATGACAAACACTAACAACAAACACAAACTCCAACACTAACTCAAGTACTAACTTCAACACTAACAACAAACACAAACTCCAACACTAACGACAACAATAAATGTCCTCACTTCTTAACAAAGTAATATGTGCTTCTTACACCACCATAGCTCAAACGTTTCTTTTCAAACATCGATTGAAACTTATTTTGAGCCATTGGCTTTAGTCTCTTTTTCTTCAAATACGCCAAGAAATCTTCTTCACATCTTTTCACTTCATAGCCTTCTTTAAACTCCTCCTTGTTAAGTTCTATGAAATCCTTTATCTCATCTTTGTTGCAATGGCTTCTTCACGAACGACATCATGAACTATTTCATCACTGTTCTCATGTATGACCTCCTCACTGTTCTCATGAACTATTTCATCACTGTTCTCATGTATGACCTCTCACTGTTCTCGTGAACTATTTCATCACTGTTCTCATGTATGACCTCCTCACTGTTCTCATGAACTATTTCAACACTGTTCTCATGTATGACCTCCTCACTGTTCTCATGAACTATTTCATCACTGTTCTCATGTATGACCTCCTCACTGTTCTCATGAACTATTTCATCACTGTTCTCATGTATGACCTCCTCACTGTTCTCATGAACTATTTCATCACTGTTCTCATGTATGACCTCCTCACTGTTCTCATGAACTATTTCATCACTGTTCTCATGTATGACCTCCTCACTGTTCTCATGAACTATTCATCACTGTTCTCATGTATGACCTCCTCACTGTTCTCGTGAACTATTTCATCACTTCTCATGTATGACCTCCTCACTGTTCTCATGAACTATTTCATCACTGTTCTCATGTATGACCTCCTCACTGTTCTCGTGAACTATTTCATCACTGTTCTCATGTATGACCTCCTCACTGTTCTCGTGAACTATTTCATCACTGTTCTCATGTATGACCTCCTCACTGTTCTCGTGAACTATTTCATCACTGTTCTCATGAACGACCTCCTCACTGTTCTCATGAACTATTTCATCACTGTTCTCATGTATGACCTCCTCACTGTTCTCATGAACTATTTCAACACTGTTCTCATGAACGACCTCCTCACTGTTCTCATGAACTATTTCATCACTGTTCTCATGTATGACCTCCTCACTGTTCTCATGTATGACCTCCTCACTGTTCTCATGAACTATTTCATCACTGTTCTCATGTATGACCTCCTCACTGTTCTCATGAACTATTTCATCACTGTTCTCATGTATGACCTCCTCACTGTTCTCATGAACTATTTCATCACTGTTCTCATGTATGACCTCCTCACTGTTCTCGTGAACTATTTCATCACTGTTCTCATGTATGACCTCCTCACTGTTCTCATGAACTATTTCATCACTGTTCTCATGTATGACCTCCTCACTGTTCTCGTGAACTATTTCATCACTGTTCTCATGTATGACCTCCTCACTGTTCTCATGAACTATTTCATCACTGTTCTCATGTATACCTCCTCACTGTTCTCGTGAACTATTTCATCACTGTTCTCATGTATGACCTCCTCACTGTTCTCGTGAACTATTTCATCACTGTTCTCATGTATGACCTCCTCACTGTTCTCGTGAACTATTTCATCACTGTTCTCATGTATGACCTCCTCACTGTTCTCGTGAACTATTTCATCACTGTTCTCATGTATGACCTCCTCACTGTTCTCGTGAACTATTTCATCACTGTTCTCATGTATGACCTCCTCACTGTTCTCATGAACTATTTCATCACTTTCTCATGTATGACCTCCTCACTGTTCTCGTGAACTATTTCATCACTGTTCTCATGTATGACCTCCTCACTTTCTCGTGAACTATTTCATCACTGTTCTCATGTATGACCTCCTCACTGTTCTCGTGAACTATTTCATCACTGTTCTCATGTATGACCTCCTCACTGTTCTCGTGAACTATTTCATCACTGTTCTCATGTATGACCTCCTCACTGTTCTCGTGAACTATTTCATCACTGTTCTCATGTATGACCTCCTCACTGTTCTCATGAACTATTTCATCACTGTTCTCATGTATGACCTCCTCACTGTTCTCGTGAACTATTTCATCACTGTTCTCATGTATGACCTCCTCACTGTTCTCGTGAACTATTTCATCACTGTTCTCATGTATGACCTCCTCACTGTTCTCATGAACTATTTCATCACTGTTCTCATGTATGACCTCACTGTTCTCATGAACTATTTCATCACTGTTCTCATGTATGACCTCCTCACTGTTCTCATGAACTATTTCATCACTGTTCTCATGTATGACCTCCTCACTGTTCTCATGAACTATTTCATCACTGTTCTCATGTATGACCTCCTCACTGTTCTCGTGAACTATTTCAACACTGTTCTCATGAACGACCTCCTCACTGTTCTCATGAACTATTTCATCACTGTTCTCATGTATGACCTCCTCACTGTTCTCGTGAACTATTTCATCACTGTTCTCATGTATGACCTCCTCACTGTTCTCGTGAACTATTTCATCACTGTTCTCATGTATGACCTCCTCACTGTTCTCATGAACTATTTCATCACTTTCTCATGTATGACCTCCTCACTGTTCTCATGAACTATTTCATCACTGTTCTCATGTATGACCTCCTCACTGTTCTCATGAACTATTTCATCACTGTTCTCATGTATGACCTCCTCACTGTTCTCATGAACTATTTCATCACTGTTCTCATGTATGACCTCCTCACTGTTCTCATGAACTATTTCATCACTGTTCTCATGTATGACCTCCTCACTGTTCTCGTGAACTATTTCATCACTGTTCTCATGTATGACCTCCTCACTGTTCTCATGAACTATTTCAACACTGTTCTCATGAACGACCTCCTCACTGTTCTCATGAACTATTTCATCACTGTTCTCATGTATGACCTCCTCACTGTTCTCATGAACTATTTCATCACTGTTCTCATGTATGACCTCCTCACTGTTCTCATGAACTATTTCATCACTGTTCTCATGTATGACCTCCTCACTGTTCTCGTGAACTATTTCATCACTGTTCTCATGTATGACCTCCTCACTGTTCTCGTGAACTATTTCAACACTGTTCTCATGAACGACCTCCTTACTGTTTCATAAGCGTTTCAAAGTCTCCTTTACTCATTACTTCAATCTCATGCTGTTCACAGTAGTACTTAAACTCACTGTATATGTCTTTGTTGTATGTTATATTGCTTCCCATGTACTCCATGAATTTTTCAAGCACTTCCTCATAATTCACTGTTTCTTTCTTTCCACGACCTTCTAATATCATACTTGCTTCGTAAATATAACTTCTTGCAGAACCGTCTCGCTTTCTACTTCTCTTCATGACAAAACATTTACGATGAAATCATGACAAAACATTTACGCTCATTACGATGAAGAAGTCATGACAAAACATATACGATTAAATCATGACAAAACATTTACGCTCATTACGATGAAGAAGTCATGACAAAACATATACGATTAAATCATGACAAAACATATACGATTAAATCATGACAAAACATATACGATGAAATCATGACAAAACATTTACGCTCATTACGATGAAGAAGTCATGACAAAACATATACGATTAAATCATGACAAAACATATACGATTAAATCATGACAAAACATATACGATTAAATCATGACAAAACATTACGATGAAATCATGACAAAACATTTACGCTCATTACGATGAAGAAGTCATGACAAAACATATACGATTAAATCATGACAAAACATATACGATTAAATCATGACAAAACATATACGATTAAATCATGACAAAACATATACGATTAAATCATGACAAAACATTTACGCTCATTACGATGAAGAAGTCATGACAAAACATATACGATTAAATCATGACAAAACATATACGATTAAATCATGACAAACATATACGATGAAAATCATGACAAAACATTTACGCTCATTACGATGAAAAGTCATGACAAAACATATACGATTAAATCATGACAAAACATATACGATTAAATCATGACAAAACATATACGATTAAATCATGACAAAACATATACGATTAAATCATGACAAAACATATACGATTAAATCATGACAAAACATATACGATTAAATCATGACAAAACATATACGATTAAATCATGACAAAACATTTACGATGAAATCATGACAAAACATTTACGCTCATTACATGAAGAAGTCATGACAAAACATATACGATTAAATCATGACAAAACATATACGATTAAATCATGACAAAACATTTACGCTCATTACGATGAAGAAGTCATGACAAAACATATACGATTAAATCATGACAAAACATATACGATTAAATCATGACAAAACATATACGATTAAATCATGACAAAACATATACGATTAAATCATGACAAAACATTTACGATGAAATCATGACAAAACATTTATACGATAGAATCATGACAAAACATATACGATTAAATCATGACAAAACATATACGATGAAATCATGACAAAACATATACGATTAAATCATGACAAAACATTACGATGAAATCATGACAAAACATTTACGCTCATTACGATGAAGAAGTCATGACAAAACATATACGATTAAATCATGACAAAACATATACGATTAAATCATGACAAAACATTTACGATTAAATCATGACAAAACATATACGATTAAATCATGACAAAACATATACGATTAAATCATGACAAAACATTTACGATGAAATCATGACAAAACATTTACGCTCATTACGATGAAGAAGTCATGACAAAACATATACGATTAAATCATGACAAACATATACGATTAAATCATGACAAAACATTACGCTCATTACGATGAAGAATCATGACAAAACATATACGATTAAATCATGACAAAACATATACGATTAAATCATGACAAAACATATACGATTAAATCATGACAAAACATTTACGATGAAATCATGACAAAACATTTACGCTCATTACGATGAAGAAGTCATGACAAAACATATACGATTAAATCATGACAAAACATATACGATTAAATCATGACAAAACATTACGATGAAATCATGACAAAACATTTACGCTCATTACGATGAAGAAGTCATGACAAAACATATACGATTAAATCATGACAAAACATATACGATTAAATCATGACAAAACATTTACGCTCATTACGATGAAGAATCATGACAAAACATATACGATTAAATCATGACAAAACATATACGATTAAATCATGACAAAACATATACGATTAAATCATGACAAACATTACATGAAATCATGACAAAACATTTATCATTACGATGAAGAAGTCATGACAAAACATATACGATTAAATCATGACAAAACATATACGATGAAATCATGACAAAACATTTACGCTCATTACGATGAAGAAGTCATGACAAAACATATACGATTAAATCATGACAAAACATATACGATTAAATCATGACAAAACATATACGATTAAATCATGACAAACATTTACGATGAAATCATGACAAAACATTTACGCTCATACGATGAAGAAGTCATGACAAAACATATACGATTAAATCATGACAAAACATATACGATTAAATCATGACAAAACATTTACGCTCATTACGATGAAGAAGTCATGACAAAACATATACGATTAAATCATGACAAAACATATACGATTAAATCATGACAAAACATTTACGATGAAATCATGACAAAACATTTACGCTCATTACGATGAAGAAGTCATGACAAAACATATACGATTAAATCATGACAAAACATATACGATGAAATCATGACAAAACATTTACGCTCATTACGATGAAGAAGTCATGACAAAACATATACGATTAAATCATGACAAAACATATACGAAAATCATGACAAAACATATACGATTAAATCATGACAAAACATTTACGATGAAATCATGACAAAAACATTTACGCTCATTACGATAGAATCATGACAAAACATATACGATTAAATCATGACAAAACATATACGATTAAATCATGACAAAACATTTACGATGAAATCATGACAAAACATTTACGCTCATTACGATGAAGAAGTCATGACAAAACATATACGATTAAATCATGACAAAACATTTACGATGAAATCATGACAAAACATTACGCTCATTACGATGAAGATCATGACAAAACATATACGATTAAATCATGACAAAACATATACGATTAAATCATGACAAAACATTTACGATGAAATCATGACAAAACATTTACGCTCATTACGATGAAGAAGTCATGACAAAACATATACGATTAAATCATGACAAAACATATACGATTAAATCATGACAAAACATTTACGATGAAATCATGACAAAACATATACGATTAAATCATGACAAAACATATACGATTAAATCATGACAAAACATTTACGATAAATCATGACAAAACATTTACGCTCATTACGATGAAAAGTCATGACAAAACATATACGATTAAATCATGACAAAACATATACGATTAAATCATGACAAAACATTTACGCTCATTACGATGAAGAATCATGACAAAACATATACGATTAATCATGAACAAAACATATACGATTAAATCATGACAAAACATATACGATTAAATCATGACAAAACATTTACGATAAATCATGACAAAACATTTACGCTCATTACGATGAAGAAGTCATGACAAAACATATACGATTAAATCATGACAAAACATATACGATTAAATCATGACAAAACATATACGATTAAATCATGACAAAACATTTACGATGAAATCATGACAAAACATTTACGCTCATTACGATGAAGAAGTCATGACAAAACATATACGATTAAATCATGACAAAACATATACGATTAAATCATGACAAAACATATACGATTAAATCATGACAAAACATTTACGATGAAATCATGACAAAACATTTACGCTCATTACGATGAAGAAGTCATGACAAAACATATACGATTAAATCATGACAAAACATATACGATTAAATCATGACAAAACATATACGATTAAATCATGACAAAACATTTACGCTCATTACGATGAAGAAGTCATGACAAAACATGTACGATTAAATCATGACAAAACATATACGCTCATTACGATGAAGAAATCATGAAAATTCATGAGGTGAGAAAAGAGGTGAGAAAAGAGGTGAGAAAAGAGGTGAGATCTCACCACTTCACCTAAATTTATTTTTGTCTGATTTACGCTCATTACGATGAAGTCATGACAAAACATTTACGATGAAATCATGACAAAACATATACGATTAAATCATGACAAAACATATACGATTAAATCATGACAAAACATATACGATTAAATCATGACAAAACATTTACGATGAAATCATGACAAAACATTTACGCTCATTACGATGAAGAAGTCATGACAAAACATATACGATTAAATCATGACAAAACATATACGATGAAATCATGACAAAACATTTACGCTCATTACGATGAAGAAGTCATGACAAAACATATACGATTAAATCATGACAAAACATATACGATGAAATCATGACAAAACATATACGATTAAATCATGACAAAACATTTACGCTCATTACGATGAAGAAGTCATGACAAAACATATACGATTAAATCATGACAAAACATATACGATTAAATCATGACAAAACATTTACGCTCATTACGATGAAGAAGTCATGACAAAACATATACGATTAAATCATGACAAAACATATACGATTAAATCATGACAAAACATTTACGATGAAATCATGACAAAACATTTACGCTCATTACGATGAAGAAGTCATGACAAAACATGTACGATTAAATCATGACAAAACATATACGCTCATTACGATGAAGAAATCATGAAAATTCATGAGGTGAGAAAAGAGGTGAGAAAAGAGGTGAGATCTCACCACTTCACCTAAATTTATTTTTGTCTGATTTACGCTCATTACGATGAAGTCATGACAAAACATTTACGATGAAATCATGACAAAACATTTACGATTAAATCATGACAAAACATTTACGATGAAATCATGACAAAACATTTATGTTATACAGTAATGTTAGTCATGAATGTTTGTCCTACGTGTTGGCGTTAGTGTTGAAAAATAATGTTTGT